GTGACGAGACTGGCAAGACCGGCGAGACTGGCCAGCAGACTCATTCCGAGAGTCGTTTTCGTCGCTCTGTCTCTCTCGCACTCACGGGGCGTCCCGAGTAAGGTGCGAGAGAGACAGAGCGAGACTCTCGGAATGCAGGCCCGCCGTAATGAACGGTCAGGGAGAAGAACTCGTACCGGAAGTGCGCGGGCCCGGCGGGCCGGAAGCCAGCGGGCATAAAAAATGATTGGTGTCGGCATCGCAAAAAGAAACGAGAAGCGTGGAGGCAAATGGCCCGAAGCGCGCGGGGAAAAAGGATAATGACTGAAAAAAACGGCGTTTAAACACTGTGCCTGGCCGCGGCGGCGTGCAGTTCATCCCCTCATCCCGGCCAGATTTATTTTCAGACGGACGCGGCCCCATCCCTTGTCTCTCCTTGTCCCTCTCTCGCTCGCTCCCCCACGTGGCCCGGTCTCACCCCCCCCCCCCCCCCCCCCTCTCTCTCTCTCTCTCTCGCGCGCGCGCGCCCCGACCGCGACTCGCCCCGTCCCGGCCGTCCCGCTCCCGGATCGATGCGGGTGACCTTGACGGGGGAGCTCCTCTCCTGGAGTTCCGACGTGTCGCGAGGGGGAGGGGGGAGGGAGGGGTGCTCTGTGATGGTAAACGCGTGCATGGCCGTGTCTGTCCCGGAGGAGGGGAGGGGGGGGAAGTCCCACGGGAGGGGCCGAGGGTCCCTGGGGATTAGGTGCGGAAGGGCGGGGCGGGGCGGGGCGGGCGGGGCGGGCGCGGGGCGGGGGGGCGGGGCGGGGCGGGGCGGGCGGGGCGGGGCGGGGGGCGGGGCGGGGGGGGGGGGGCGGGGCGGGGCGGCAAATCCGGCGGACGTGCTGGACCTCTCCGAGTCGCTGGGGTCCCGCTCGGTCCCGCTGCACCAGTTGCCTGCCGTCTGCCCGGGGCCGTCTGCAGCACACTGATTCCGAGAGTCGCTTTCGTCGCTCCGTCTCTCTCGCACTCGCGGGGCGCCCCGTCTGGGTGCGAGAGAGACAGAGCGAGGAAAACGACTCTCGGAATCAGTGTGCGGACTGGGGCAGGCTGGCCGGAAGACGGCCGCGCATTTAAAAGCTCGTCGTGCGCCCCCTGCTGGTCCCCCCCCCCCCCACCGCGTTCTTTTCCCCCAGTCGCCTGTCAGCTGGCGGCATGATATATCGGTGTCGTCCTGGACCGTCCTGGACGGCAGGGCGCTGGCGGCGGTGGGCTTCCGTCTCCGCGAAAGGGGAAAGGGGGGAGGGGGGGCGCCTCGGTTGGAAACAATGCCGCGGCTGGCTTTCATTTTACAGGTGGAGTTGGCCAAGAGGGATTCATCGTCGTCGCCGCGGTTCTTCTGAGCGGCCTCGGTGACGGCAGCGAGATGACAGTGTGTCTGCGCGGTCGTGCGCTTGTCTGCGTGCTCGTCGTCGCGGTGCTCGTCGTCGGGGTGTTCGTCGGGGTTCTCATCGTCGGGATGCTCATAGTCGTGGTGCTAGTAGTCGGGGTGCTCGTCGTCGAGATGTTCGTTAGGGTGCTCGTCGTCCGGGTGCTCGTTGTCGGGGTGCTCGTCGTCGGGGTGCTCGTCGGGGTGTTCGTCCGGGTGCACATCGTCGCGGTGCTCATCGCTCGGGTGCCCGTCGTCGGGGTGCTCGTCGTGAGGGTGCTCGCCGCAAACTGCGCGCGCGTCCGCGGCGCGGACCTCAAAGAGCCACTTTTAATTAGTTGAGGCGGTGCGCCCGGCTCGGCCCGGCCCGGCTCCGCTTGGCCCGACCCTGCACTCGAGGGCCCGTGGAACTCTGCGGAAGGACACAGCGCAAAGTGTTCTGGCACCAGTGATTCCCCCTCCCACCCTCTTTTTCTCACCCCACGCACTGCACTAGTTGTGGCGCACCGAGTTGCAGAGACAGAGGCATCCCTCTCTTCCCACTGCCCTGCAGACTGATGCCGAGAGCCGTTTTCGTCGCGCTGTCTCTCTCGCGCCTGTACGGGACGACCCATGAGTGCGAGAGAGACGGAGCGACGAAGACGACTCTCGGAATCAGTCTGCAGGGCTGGGCAGGGTGTCCCGTTGCAGGTGCAGGGTGTGCCTGGGGGTGGGACGGAGACGGGCTGAGCCAGAAAGCCTCAGCCCGCGGCGGGTGCGAGCGGGAGGGCGCGAGCTGCCATTGGTGGGTCCGACAACTGGAAATGGTCGCCTTGGAACTTGGACTTTCCCACTGCAGGCGCTGGGGCGGCAGCATCGCACGGCTATGAGAGGCACTCTGCCAGCGCAGCACGGCATGGCACGGCACGGCACGGCAGGGCACGGCACGGCACGGCAGGGCACGGCACGGCACGGCACGGCACGGCACGGCACGGCAGGGCACGGCACGGCATGGCACGGCACGGCACGGCATGGCACGGCACGGCACGGCACGGCAGGGCACGGCACGGCACGGCACGGCAGGGCACGGCACGGCGCCCTTGCACCAGAATTACGAGCAATCACTTGGCTGTCTCTCTCGGGACTTTCTTTCAATTGCCTCCCCCTTTAGTTGAGGTCCGTTTTCCCCGGAACATATTCCCCCGGGGATCCCGGGGGGGCCCCCGGGGCGGGGTCCCTTTTCCTTTTTCAGGGGCCCGCCTCTGCTGGGGGTTAAAGCCCCCTCCCCCCCTCCCCTTTAAAAGTTGAGGGGCCCCGGGCCGGGGCCGGCTTTCCCGGGAACCCTATATTTCTTGGGAAATTGGGCCAACCAAAAGTTTCGGGAAAGTGCCCCTTTTTAATCAATTGGCGCAAAAAAGGGATTTTTCCCAATCCCCGCAAAAATGTTTTTTAGGGAGAAGGGCAAGGAGGGGCGCCGGGCGCTTGGGCTCGCGCTGGGGCCCTTGCGGGTGGGGGGTGGGGTTAGGGGGGGGAAACCAAAAACCCTCCCCCGGGGCTCACCGGGACCACCCTTTGGTTTCCGCAATGGAAAGGTCCCTTGGAACGGACTTTCCCGGGGGGCCCCTTGGGCCTCGGAGGGTTTGGGGCCTTTTGGGGCCAGAAAATCCCGGGCACCCCAAAAACAAAGGGGGGAAGGAACCCCCAAGGCAGGCAGGCCAGGAGGGCAGGCCCCCAATCCCCGGCCCATGGCAAAACCCAGCAAAAAGGCCGGCAGGCAAAACCCCGGGCCTTCCCCAGATAGAAAATTTCATTTGGTGCTTTTTTGGGCTTTCTTTAATTTTTTGCTTTTGTAGGATACCGTGTCAAAAGACCACGGCACAGCATCATTCCAGCCAGTGGTGGATCCAGGGGCGGCCCAAAGGGGCCGGGGGCATCACTTTTTGCCTATTTACAGGGGTAAAGTGTTGCTTTTTGCCTGCCGTTTAGGCGCCTGTCTAGGTGTAAGGGGGGATTGTCTCCCCCCCCCCCCTCCCCCGATCCACGCATGCTTGCAGCAAACTTACAACGCGTTGATTCTACAGAAATTTAATTCGCAAAACAGTTGTGAGTTATTCCTATGCAGCAAGTTGACCGAATTTCGCGAATTCCTCTCTCCCTTTCCTTCCGTCCTCCTTGTTCCGAGGTGTTTCCCCTGGCCTTCCCTCCCCGCGGTCGCCGAGGTGGCGCGCTATTGGCCATATCGACACCGACCGCGTCGCGTGGCAGGGGGAGGGGGCAATTTACCAAGGCAGTCGAGAGGTTTGCGTGGCCCAAACAGTGGCGGCGACATTAGCAGCAATCTGGTAGATGGATCCGGGGGAAGGAGGAGGGAGGGAGGGAGGAGGGGGAAGAGGGAGGGGAAACCGGAAACAATGGATGACGCATGTGGAGGCGGTTGACAGCATCGAAGTTGATTGAAACCAACGTGATCATGCCCGAACGGCGCAGTCGGGGGTGGGGGCGGGTGATGAAGTAAAACACGTATCGACAACCTGTGGGCATGACCTGAGCCGACATAACTCTTTTATCGCACACGCGAAACAAAAAAACACTTTCGAAAAGCTCATCTCCTTGTCGGTTGGCACTGATGGAGGTGGCGGGGCTGGGTGGCGGAAGCGCAAAGGGAGGAGTTGGCGTCGGCGCAACTTCCGTGATGCAGACCAGTTCCCAGGGCTTATCTCTATTCCATTATGGAAGACTGCTCAAACAGAAAGCCGCACACAGACCGGCCCCTTGCCAGCCAGGCAGCCAGCCCGCCAGGCAGCCGCAAACCCAACACTTCCCAGAGTCGCCAAGACCGTCGCTTCCGTTCGCCAGCATTGATTTCTCCCCTGAAAACTTGCACACGATGAATACCGCATTGAAACAAATTGGTTTTTTTTTTTTTGAAATATTTGAAATAAAATATGAAAAGTATCAGTGGCGGATCCAGAGTCGGCCTAAGGGGGGGCAGCACTTTTTGCCTACTTACAGGGGCAAAGTGGTGCTTTTTGCCTACCTTTCAGGCGACTATCTAGGGGTCAAAAGGGGGGGGGGCAATTGCCCTCCCCCCCCCCGGTGGATCCGCGCTTGAAAAGTATACACACTGCTACTGTGATGATAAACAGTTTTTTTCATGAACCACGCAGGCACACCCTGAAAAGCCATTTCTTGAACCAAGAAAATTGACTTGCCAAAGAGAATTTACTTGGAACCATTCAAGTAAATTCACTGGAAGCAAGGATGTTATTTTGTTCTAGAAACGGCGTTTTTTTGTGGCCTATTTGGGGTGTAGTTCGCGTTCTTCACAGAATGATTTCTTTCAAGATTGATTTTCTTTCTGGCGGCACAACGCTGCGCACGCCACAAGGCGCTGATTGCCCCTGCATATTGGCCGCCGTTTAATGTTTGCCGCGAGCGGCGTAAAACAAAAACAAACAACAAAAACAAACGAGGAAAGCAAACATGGAAAATCCAGGAAGGGCGCGGCGCTGCTAGGCGGCCTGGCGTGGCGCTGGCGACACCGTTCCAATCTCAGTCCTGCTCTTTGTTTTTGTTGTTTTTGTTTTTGTTTCGCCTTGTTCGCCGCGTTCATTTCCATTTTCTCGGTGTGCAGGTGCTGCCCGGGCTGTTCGTGGGCAACTACCGAGACTCCAAAGACGCGGCGCAGCTCGACCGCTTCGGCATCACCCACATCCTGGCCATCCACGATGCCGCCAGAAAGCTGCACTCGGTGAGTCGGGTCGCGGGTTCGATCCTCACCAAAGTTCTTTGTTTTTTTTGTTTTATTTCACGCTCAAAACCCTTTAAATTTTAGACCTTACAAAGAAAAGTGCACATAAGCTTAGTGCAAAGAAAATACTTCGTAATTTTCTTCCTTTTTCTCCGTATAAAGATCTAGATATGTAGTTCGTACCTTACATTTTTTCGAAATAATTCGCAAGGTTTCAAGCGTGTTCTGCATCAAATTATTTTATTCTCTTTTTCTTTCAGGACAAGCACTACCTATGCGTTATGGCATCGGACACGCCGGACCAAAACCTGCAGCAGTATTTCTCGCTGTGTAACGACTTCATCCACGGCGCCCGCTTGCGGGGCGGCAACGTGCTCATCCACTGGTAAGTCCGCCATAGTGCACAGTGGGCCAGAAGACCTGGAGGCGGTCGAGATCCCGGACGCGAGCTCCAGAGTCGCTAAATGGGACTCGAATCGAACGTGTGACCCACCGTGGTCACACGCTCTGTGTGAGTCCCATTCAGCGACTCAGGAGCTCAAATAACCGTCCGGGATTTTTACCGCCTCCGCCGTTCTTCTGGCCCACCGTGCATAGTGCCCGTCTGCGGGTATCGGGTCGATCAGTGTTGCCACCTTGCTGAGCCCAGAGACCGCCTTTGGCACCCGGTGCCTTTCCGAAGGGCCCCTCCGTAATTTATCGATTTAATATTTCACGGGCTAGCCCTTTGCGCGGGAAGCAGTGTGCTTGCTCCAAGTTGGAAGCTCAATTATTCCCGACTCCATCAGGGGCGCATTCCCGAAACATGGTCACCTTGAAGGCGTCAACCCTTTACGTTAACCTCCGAGATGGTTGCCACGAACCCACGACCACGGCGTGGGGAAAGACCCTACTCCCTACACCACGCCCACGCCCAATTTCGGTAAAAATGTCGGTTTTTCATGTTTGTTTTTTGTGCGTGTTACTGTTGCTTTTGTTTCCGTCAAAGCCTTTTAAAAATTTTACTTTCGTGACCCAGTGGCCCTGTGCTGCCGCCAGTCGGATAAGGCAACCCTTTACATAATGCAGCGCACGAGGCATGAATGTTTACCCGCGACCGCATCGGCCTGTTCCGAGGACGTCCCCGAGCCGATTAGTCGAAGTGCTCACTCTCGTTCCCCCCGACGTCCCCAAGTCAGCCGATGTGTTCATCCGTTCCTCTCGACGTCCACAGGTCGATTAGTCGGTGTTCATTCCTGTTCCCCTCGACGTCCCTAAGTCGATTAATCGAAGTGTTCACTCTCGTACCTGCCAACTCCTCAAGTCGATTAGTCCATTGTTTTCGTTCCTCTCGACGTCCCCAAGTCGATTAATCGAAGTGCTCACTTTCTTTCCTTCTCGATGTCCGCAGCCTGGCGGGCATGTCGCGCTCGGTGACGGTGGCGGTGGCCTACATCATGAGCGTCACGTCGCTGACGTGGAAGGAGGCCCTGAAGGTGGTGCGGGTCGGCAGGGCAGTGGCCAACCCCAACTTCGGCTTCCAGCGGCAGCTCCAGGAGTTCGAGGCCTACCGCCTCGGCGAGGTCAGTAAACCCTCCCCCTCCCCCTTCCCCTTCCACCTTCCCCATCCCCCTTCCTCACGTCCGGGCAGCGCCCTGTTGCTAGTCTAGCGCGCCTACGCCTAGGCGGGACCCGCCCGGCTGGGCTGGGCGTTGGCGCGTTGCGTGCTGACTGCGGGGCCATTGTGGGCCCTCTGCGGGGTCATGCAGAGCGACCGACTGCCGAAAGAACCCGCATGACCTCTACCAGGTCGCCGTCATGTGTCCCGGTTCTCTCAGACGGTTCAGCACCCAAAAAGATGGTTTCTTGATTTTTGATTTTCTTGGATTTTGTAAGAAAAATAATCTAGACACAAGAAACATTTTCTTAATTCACTGACGACTGACGACTCTCGGAATCATTCCGCGTGCCGCGGGCAGGCAAAAGGTCGGAGGACTTCCAGCGCCTTCCTGGAGCGGCCTCCAGGGAAGGCGCGGCAGGCTGATTCCGAGGGTCTCGCTCTGTCTCTCTCGCACCAATACCGGACGCCTCATGAGTGCGAGAGAGACAGAGCGACGAAACCGACTCTGGGAATCAGTCCACTGTCCAGCCAGCCGCAAGCGAACCCTCGTCGCGGCTGCCTCGGCCGAGCCGAGCCGAGCGCAGGGCCGCGTTGACGGCTCGCTGGAGGCCAAAGGATTACTGCGGACTTCGTGTTCCTGTCGCGTCGAAACGCCATGAGAGAGAGAGAGAGAGAGAGAGAGAGAGAGAGAGAGAGAGAGAGAGAGAGAGAGAGAGAGAGAGAGAGCGTGCATGCCAACACTGACATGGGAAAAAAACCACAGGGACATCGATCCCTCCCGACTTCAACTACCGGCTGGTGCTGCGCTGGCGTGCCGTGGCTGGCACGAAGGCGGGGCGGGGCGGGGCGGGGCGGGGCTCCCCTGTCAATGGCCCCGAACGGGCGAGGAATCGCTTCCGCTGATCGCTTTAGTGGAAGCCCCTTCCTTCCCCACGAAAAGTGCTCGCTCGGCGCTGATGATGTGCTTGGGCTGGCTCAGGAGAGGGTGTCATATTGAATTGGGGGGAATGGGGGAGGCGCGGTGACACAGTAGACCGATTCCGCACGGCGCTTCGTCGTTCTACCTCTCTCGCACCCCTAGGGGGTTACGCGGTTACGTCGTGAGTGCGAGAGAGATAGAGCAACGAGGCCGCCTGTGCGGTTCGCAACAAATAAAAGGGTTGGGGTTCGCGACTCACTCGATGCGATTCGCTTATTTACGAAATGGAAACATTCGCAGGACTGGAGTGTTTTTTGTGTGGCTTGCCTCATAATTTTTTGGCACGTGTCATGCAATCATCCTTTTGTTACGTGGAGGGGGAATAGGGCCTCCCCGATAGGTGATGACCCTCCCCGCCCAATCAGGATCACAATGCGGCCGATACTTGGGCAGTCCACGGGGCATTTACCTGTAAGTGTGATGGCTCAAGCCGGGGTATTGAACTGGCGAATGAATAAGCAATGCTGAATGCTGCCTACCGTCCGGGATGGGGAAAAAGGGGGGGGGGGTTACCCCTTCCCCACCTCTCTCTCTTCTCTCTCTCTCTCTCTCTCTCTCTCTCTCTCTCTCTCTCTCTCTCTCTGTCTCCCGGAGCTGGAAAGAGAGAGACGAAGATAGATTGGGTGGGATCACCGTGTCAGGCACGATGCGCGCTGTGAGCCCTCACGCCACTGTCATGGGTGCGCGCCTCATGCCTGTCCGGCCCAAGGCGCCCAAGGCCCTGCACCTGTGAAGGCCTGTGAGGCACACGTGGCCCCACGTGGGGCGAGGTGGCCCCGGATGGGGCGCCCCGGGGCCCTGCAGGGAAGGGCGCCTCTTGCAGCGCCAATCGCGTTTCTTTTCCTAAAGCGGCGGTAAGCCGGCGATAAGCAGCCGACAGATTACGAGAGTCGGTTTCGTCGCTCTGCCTCTCTCGTACTCGTGGGGCGTCCCGTGCAGGTGCGAGAGAGACGGGCCAAAGAAAACAACTCTCGGAATCAGTCTGCAGGTGCGCAGAGTGGGTACGTGAACAGTCGAAAAAGACAGCAGCACCAGCAGCGATGCAGAAGAAATAAAACAAAGGACAAGAGCAGTACCTGGAATTCCCACTTTAACCTGGAAGACCCCCTTTTTCTAGGGTGGGACTGACTGGGAATTCCAGGTACTGCTTTTGCCGTGCTAAAGAAAGACAGTGGTTCCTAGAGAAAAATTCTTTCTTGTTTTATTTTTTTTTTCTGCGCTGTTGGCCCCACTGCAGGCCGCGCCCCCTTGTCGACGGCCCACTCACGGCCCCTAGAGGGCCGGCCTGGCGATTCATCGGGAAAGCCCCAAGCCCACGCGCTCCACGCGCCCAGCAGAGTCGTCGCTCTGTCTCTCTCGCACTCACGTGGCGTCCGCTATAGGTGCGAGAGAGACAGAGCAACGAAAACGACTCTCGGAATCAGCCTGCGGGTGCTCATTGTCTCCCTGACGTGCCCCGGGCCGATCGGGCCGCCCCGGCCGAAACGAAGTGCGAAGTACCGACCCAACAGGCACAGCAGGCGTAGCGGGGCAAACAGCGCTACCCGCTGGGAGCTCCTTGGAGACCCGCCGCCGCCCTTGACCCACGAGCGGTGGGGGAAGGTCGCTAGGAAGCCCGTCCTGCCCGCCCTGTCCGCCCCCGCGGGTCTGGCCCTGGGCCTGGGCCGGGACCGGGACCCAAACCATGCCAAGCCCAGTGCCGCCCAGTGCCTGGCCGCCCTCCATGCTCCGCCACGCTCCGTGCCCGGGCCGGAAGCGCGACCCGGACTCCGAGAGAAAGCACTTGTGGTGCTTCCGGAGGAGCCGGAGCCGCTGGAGCTGCTGGAGCTGGAGACCAATAATGGGGCCGCATGCTCCCCTACGTTGCACCACCACGACCGAAAGCTGCTGGTATTCTCCTGACTCCCCACCACATATTATGCACCATGACTTACACTCCTTACTTACACTCACTTACACTCACTTGCACTTCTCTCTTACACTCTCTTACACTCACTTACACTCACACTCATTGGCACTCACTTACACTCACTACACTCACTTCACTCCTTACACTCACTTACACTCACTTACACTCACTTACACTCACTTACACTCACTTACACTTCACTCTTACACTCACTTACACTCACTTACACTCACTTACACTCACTTACACTCACTTACACTCACTTACACTCACTTACACTCTCTTACACTCACTTACACTCACTTACACTCACTTACACTCACTTACACTCACTTACACTCACTTACACTCACTTACACTCACTTACACTCACTTACACTCACTTACACTCACTTACACTCACTTACACTCACTTACACCCACTCACACACCCTTACACTCACTAACACACATGTGAAACACGGGGATATATGTAAGTACATATGATCCACTAAGATGACCCCCGTCGCTGGTTGTTGTTCTGCAGGAGCGGCGCCGCCTCAAGGAGCGCTACCCCAGCCTGGCGCTGCAGGCCACCGACGAGGAGCTGTGCCGCCAGCTGCTGCTGTCCTACCAGGGGCTGCTGCTGTCCAAGGACCTGTGCGAGGGCCGCTGTCCGCTGGGGCAGCCCTGCCCCACGGGCCTGTGCCGCTCGCCGAGCAAACGGTGCGTGAACAGTGTGGTGGGCCGTCCGAGAGTCGTCGCTCTGCCTCTCTCGCACTTCCGGGGCGACCCGTATGGGTGCGAGAGAGACAGAGCGACTAAAACGACTCTAGGAATCTTCAGTGTGGGAACAGCGCCACGCGCCGCGCCGACCTTCGCCGAGCCCGTTCGCACGGTTCGCACGTCAGCGCGTCGAATGGGATGCCTAGCCTCGCGGCGGTCGCCTCATAGCCGCCTTACGACCCTGCGGCGTGCATACGCCTCTGGAGCACTGGTAGAGCCGGAGCGTACTTCTACGCCTTTCTTTAAGCGTAGCTCCCGCCTATCTAAATGCACGGGAGAACTACCTCCCTCCCCTTGAAGCGTATAAAGTCTTCAAGCGTAGTTGTATGCTTGACTGAAGCGTAGAGGAACGGTTACGTTTCACCAGTGTGCTTCTAACCGCCGCCTTTGCGGACCATCCCCAGGACGGTGCGGCGCAAGTCCTCGACGCAGAGCCTCGGCGGCGGCCGCCCCACGCCGCCGTCGTCGCCCTCCACGCCCAGGATGCTGCCGGCCACGCCGACCGGCCCCGCGGCCGGGACGCCCGGGGGCAGGACGTCGACGGGGGGCTTGGTGCGCAGCGGCTCGTCCATCAGCTACCGCCACCGGACCAGCGTGTCGTCAGCGCCGCCGTCCAGGTGAGCGACGCAACCCAGTGAGCGCGTACGGCGTAGGGACTGCCTACCTCAGCCTGCAGGCAAGCGCCTGCGAACGACGCGATAGGCAACCCCGCCAGCACGTCAGTGCGACGGGACTGCCTACCCTCGTACCATTACCACTACGGGCTGGACCACAAATGATCATGCCCGCCCGGTTTGCCACAGGTCCTCGTCCCGCGTCGACCTGGCGCCCGGCGCCCTGGTGCGCACGGGTTCGACGGCGAGCTCCCTGGACCACCACGGCCACTGGGGCGGCCCCGGCTCTGGTGCCGGGCCGGGCTCCGGGTCGCGGCGCTCCGTGGGCTCGGCGCCCACCTCGCCGCGCGTGTCCCCCGCGCCCTCGCCGCCAGTGACGCCGGCCCACGTGCGCGCCCAGCACGCGCAGCACGCCCAGCAGGCGCAGCGAGTGCCGGCGGTGTCCTGAGAAAGCGCCGCCGGGCCCGTCACGGCGCCGATGGTGAGTGTCCGCTTTACAGTGGCGCGGAGCTGCTGGAAAGAACGTCACCGAGGGCGGATCCAGGGACGGGTTCAGGGCGATGTCGCGAAAGTTGCCTACCTACAGGGGTAATGTGCGACTTTTTGCCTGCCTTTCACCCCTCCGGGATCCGCGCCTGAATGGCGCTGATGCCTCCTCTCCCTTTCAGGGTCCGGCACAAGGCGGCATGGCGCGGAGGGCGTCCGTCGAGAGCCTCGACGACGAGGACCTGGTGGCGGTGGCGCCCATCGGGGCGTCGGGCAGCCCCAGGGGCTCGTTGTCCGCGGCCAGCACGACGCCGGTGCCGACGCGGGGCTTGGTGCCGCGGCTGTGCCGCCAGGGCTCGCTGCCCGCCAACAAGCACGCCAACCAGCACGCCAGCCCCTCGGCCTCGCCCACCAAGACGGCCATGCTGTCCAGGGCGCCGTCCAGGGACTCAGTCCGGGACTCGGTGCGCCGCAAGCTGCCGGGCTGCCCGTCGGGGTGCTCGCGGTGCCCGTCGACCTCGCCGTCGGGCTGCCCGTCGGGCTGCAGCAGCACCGCCATCGCGCTGGGCCAGGCCACGCCCGTCTGCTCCACGGCGGCCGCCATCGCCGCCTCGTCGCCCTGCTCCTCCAGCATGGCCAGCCTGGCCAGCCTGCGCAGCATCTCCGAGGTGGGGTCGGACGACGAGACGCCGCAGCAGAAGCGGCGCTCCAGCTTCAGCAAGACGAGGGGCGTGTCCTCCAGCACGGTGGGCGGCATGACCACGACGCAGCAGACCGTGGTGCACCAGGGCACCGTGGTGCACCAGACCACGGTGCGCGCCGCACGGACCTTGCCCAGCACCAACATGGCCAAGTGACGGCCTGCTCGCAGGGCGGCCGGTTCAAAAATCTCTTGGAGCAGCATCCACGTCGCATGATCTCGTAACACTGCGAGACCAAACGCGCGACGGGAGTCGAATCCGCGTTCCGTTTCGTCCGAGTCGAGTGCACGACGACCATTATTTGAAAGATCTGTCCTCTTCACGTGTAAGAGAAGCCTTCATGGCGAGTCGGGTCGTCTGCAGTCTCGAAGAAGTGAGTTTCCTTAGACGTCTGGTCTGGCTCGACGCGGGCTGACTCTGATTTGCAAGTCCAGTCCTTCCATGACGCCGGACGGAACGCACACGTTCCGGTGCGGATTCAAAACTCACCGAGTCACTGTACAAATTTGCGTCCGCGAAGCGAGGCAGTTATTTCGCACTGCGAAGGCACTAAGCAGCCATCCAAAATCTGGATTCCAGATACGATATTTTTTACGCGATTTTCCTCGGCGTTCACGTCGAACGGAACGTTCACCATTCATTCGCGGTGGTGATCCCACTTTACTTATTTATTTTCGCATGTAAACGTCGTGGCTAGTATGGTAGAGACAATACAGATAATTATTTTGTACAGGCATTGTTGTTGTTGTTCTCGTTGTTGTTAATAATGACATAGAAATAGGCGCAGGCGCCCGTTCAAAGTCTAGAAGTGTGGCCTTGTACACTTACAAGCGTCAATTACTTCAAGGTATTTTTGTAAAGTGTGTTAGAGAGAGAAAGATCATGAAAATGTTTCTATCCAAAATCGTTAATCATTGTGCAGAGCGGTCATCCCCGTTTGGGACAGAGCAGGCACGAACAACTTCATGTTTCCTTGTCATTGTTTCTTGAACAACTAACTTTTCTTACTTCCCAACATCGTATGCAATCCTGTGCATCTTTGCCAAGGCTTCCAGTTTTTATATTTAATTAACTCATGATACGAGAGTTACCCACCACCCTCTACAGTCTTTTGATTAACCGAAGATTGAAATTCTATTACAAGTAAATGTAAATCCCTGCCAGTGTAGTTCTTTTCTCCTCTGCGCTGGATGAGCAGTTCAATCAAGATGGACCTCAATTGAGAATAGTATTTCGTCGTGGGTCTTAGCCCAGTAGCAAACATGCATTCTTCTCTGTCTTAGTTAGGGTCTACGCCCAAAGTAGAGCTTTTTACGTAACGCACATCGTGTTCTGACATTCTTTGAAAGTCTGTGATACACTTTTCGTGGAAACCTTTTGGAAGCCCGGATTGTCCTCAACAATGTCCTGTTTTGTGAAGAAAGTGCTTAAAAACTTGAATCGAGTTGAAAAGGTGGGATCCTTTTAAAGATTAGTTTATTATTGTCAATTTAATATGAAGTGACGCTGAGATGGCTGACAATCACCCCGCTGACCTAAGAGGGGACATTATTTATGGCCACAAATTTATTTCAATTCTATTATCAAAGGTGAGACATGACGCGCCAGAAGCATTTTATTTACCCAAGTCCAATATTGGAATATTGTATTGCATGACCTTATGATCCCAATTTAATAGAAAATAGATTTGTGAACGAAATTTGGTACAAAATTATATGTGTTCATCATTATAGGTACAACTAGGTTCAATTTTTTAGACTCCTCAAGTAGATATAATTTGAGAGAGTTATTGAAAAGGGTTAAAGAACACTATTTTGGATCTTTTTAAGGTGTAATTAATCGTCAGTTTCTTCTCAAATATTGTGGAGTTTTCTCCAAAATATTAATGACGCTATAAGATAACATTGGTATTCTCTCAATACACTGTTGGAAATTTCCCTATTTGTTTTTCGGAGATTTTTTCTTTTGTGATTACAAAATCAATTATTTCAAACTGCTTAAAACATGCGAACGTATTGCAGAATTTTTGATGTGTTGAAAGTGTGCAGATACACTCCATTATTAGTTAACTTAGGGAATTTCCCACAGTGTACATCATTCATTATGAGCCTTGGCTCCGATAAGTAAGTAGTAGGCTTCAAGATGGGCGGAACTTGGGGCCACGGGTACTCTGTACGAATCCCACTACGGCGATGTTACGTCAGATTCGACGAAAACCGATGACATATCCTAGCCAATCGAGGTAGGGATTGAGTGGTGAACCAAACCAAGTATAAGAAAGAATCCGTAGAAAAAAAATTCAACTGTAGCTTCGGCATAGTGACACATGTAGGGTAACAACTGGGATCGCCGAGCCCGCCCTAACATATCGAAATTTTAAAAAAATATTTTCCCTGTTTCTCGACCCCGTTCATGCTCAATCTTTTTCCGCGGATCTTTTTGCTCGAAAGCGGATCTCTACAAACATCTGAGACGAGTGGCTTTTCGACTCTACATTAATGGATTTGCGCAGAAGAGAGTTGCAATTAAATTGACTCTTCCTTGCCGCGAGAGAACTTGAGATGAGTCAATTAGATAGCTTTAAATCGGCTGTTTGGTAGGTAGGTCCGCGCAGGCGTGGAATTTCGTACGTAACGTATAGTAACATCGTAATTTTTTATCAAGCCTCATATAAAAAAATAGTTGTAGTGAAATGGGTTTGCTCAGATGCCGTGGTGGTGATGCATGTGACTGGAGTGGTGTTTAAGTGTAACAGCCACCGCAACGGCTCCAAGACAAGACAATTTGTAATTGAACTAAGCAATAATATTCCTCAGGAGCAGGAACATGCCCAGGGCTCATTGAGGAATGCACAGAGTGAAATAATTAGGTTGCTCAAAAAAGGTTGTGCTCGCCAACTTTGTTTTGCAGTGTCGTGGGATTGTTCAGATCTTTGACCTGTTGACGATCGAGTCGGAGCATTAGAACTGGTTTGAAGTGAGTGAGTGGTTTTTTGGCAGTCGCGAAAGTGCCGCTGTACTGTCTTGTTTGTTATCGTCTTGTCCTCTTCTCTCTAGCCCCCAAGGCCGTCGAGTCCTTCCGGGGGTAGAACTTAGATTTTCCCTTTTTCTAAACCACGAGTTAGTTTACGAATGAGCACAAAATAATAATTCCGGTAAGCCTGTATAAGAAGAACCGTCCAGGTCTCAAACGGCAATGCCATGCCAACTCGCCATCATCATGTTGTCAATTCTGTAAGAGCGGCTCACGTACTGATTTACATGCCTCGATTTTTTCGAGACGGCATCTGTTTATTGTCAGTCGGTTGTAAGTGCTTCTCTAACTTCTTGTGGATTTCGGTTTTGTCAGTGTGGCAGAATGTATGGTTGGCTGGAAATCGTTTCAGGCGCTACTCTTTTTTTTTTTTCAAGTGTAACTGTATGTTTGAAGCAGCCTGGCCAAAACGAGTCGAAATGTTTCCAGCTGACTTCCGCTCGCACCGCACCCGCACCCATTAATCACTATAATGTCCTTTTAATAAAGCTTTTCTAAGAACCAACGCGTTTTATTCAAACCAACCCATCCCCAACAACTATTTTTCTTTGTTTGCTTGTTGCTATATTTTTTCAAAGCCCTGCCACTTGATGCGCGAGGTGGCAGGCGGCCACGCTAACCACCCATTTTTCAGTGTCACGCCTGGGAGCTGCAGTGTCCGCCTTGTTCCACTCACCAGGATTGGAAGGTTGGGGGGGGGGGGGGATAGAGGGAGTTCAGATCGGACGGACAGACAGTTTAGTTACTTCAATGATAAATCGATTCTGGGAATTTGAAGGTACAGTACAATGATGGGCCAATATTGGGCTGTACTATTTTAGTTACAAACATGCTGGCCTCATCTCTCTCGACAGACAGACACGTGGACTCTGAGGCGTAGATTTGCCGCGAGAGGCGCGTGGCTTTCAAACAGACACCTCCCGCCATTTGCGCACTGGCACTTATTCGTTCCGTTCATTATGAGAGCAAATTCAAATTTTTCAAAATTTGATGATCTTGTACTGAAAGCAGCAGTATCGGCAACGACAAATGAGAGCGTATGCAGCATTCCTGACTCCGCTCCATCACTTGGTTTGTCCCAACAACGGTGTTTTTGTGAGTGCAGGAGCTTCGCCGCTCCGCTCGGGTAGCTCCGCACCGCTGAGCTGCGCGGTGCTGCGCGGCTGCTGTGTGCAAAATGATGCGCTTGCGACACGCCGCCGCGAGGCGAGGCGGTGCCCTTTTTACTTTGCACTACGAGTGCGCGCCGCCAGCCGCTTTTAAAGGAATGCCAATTTAAATTTTGACGTCAGCCCGCCTGCCGCCGCGGAGCTTGGGGCACCCGTGGAGCACTCACTCCGACGGCCATCATAGAGCAATTACGGGTCTGGTTCGCGTGCCCCCTCCCCTCACACACTAAAACAGACTCACAAACAGAGAGAAAGAGAGAGGAGAGAAAGAGAGAGGAGAGAGAGAGAGAGAGAGAGAGAGAGAGAGAGAGAGAGAGAGAGAGAGAGAGAGAGAGAGAGAGAGGGAGAGACAGACAGACAGACAGACAGAGAGAAGAGAGAGAGAGACAGAGAGCAGAGAGACAGAGAGAGAGAGAGAGACAGAGTGCAGAGAGATACACTGGAGGGCGAGCGTTTGGCTGGTTTAGCGCCTGTGAAGTGCGAGGTAGGCAACGCCACGACACACCCGCGTTCGACGGGCCGACCCGCCTCGCAGGCGCTACGTCGTCGCTGGCGTCTCTCTCGCACCCACGTGGCGTGTCGCAGGGGTGCGAGAGAGACAGAACGACGACAGAGCACCACTGACAGTGTGGGGGATATGACGCTGGCGGACGGAAGACGGACACAGACGAGTCGCGAATTTGCCTGGATCCGGTCCGTCCTGGCTGGCTGGGCGGGCTGCTGGCTTTGACCGACACGGCGCGTTGCGAGATGGTTAAGTCCGGCAAGGTGGCGGTCCCGGCCGCTCTGGCCGCCCCGGCGGTGCAGCAACTGTGTCGCTTTGCATCGTCGGCCCGCGCTCTGCTCGCTTGCTCACCGAGCCGCCACGCTACACTGCAAATCTACACTGCAAAGCTATTACACTGTTAAGGTCGGTTAAGGTACTACACTGCAAAGGTACTACACTGCAAAGGTACTGCACTGCAAAGGTACTACACTGCAAAGGTACTACACTGCAAAGCTATTACACTGCAAAGGTACTACACTGCAAAGGTACTACACTGCAAAGGTACTACACTGCAAAGGTACTACACTGCAAAGGTACTACACTGCAAAGGTACTACACTGCAAAGGTACTACACTGCAAAGGTACTACACTGCAAAGGTACTACACTGCAAAGGTACTACACTGCAAAGGTACTACACTGCAAAGGCACTACACTGCAAAGGTACTACACTGCAAAGGTACTACACTGCAAAGGTACTACACTGCAAAGGTACTACACTGCAAAGGTACTACACTGCAGTACTTCACTGCGAAGCTAAGAAGCAATACACCACAAAGCCACACAACAAAGGTACTACGCAGCGAAACTTCACCGCGCCGCTACACTGCAAAGCTACACTACTGCAAAGCTACACTGCAAAGCTACACTGCAAAGCTGCACTGTAAAGTTACACCGCGAAGCTAAACTGCAAAAATACACTTTAAATGCACATGCGAAGCCACACTGCTACACTGCCAGCGAGACGACCCGAGAAGAGTGTTGTCGTGCGTCGGGCCGTCGTCGGGGAGTCGGGGCCGCTGGCTTGGCCGCTTGGCCGCTGGGCCGCTGGGGCCGCGCTCGCGCCGCCCTTCTCCAGCTGGAGGGACATCGCGAATGCCATCAGCCACTCCGAGATAATCGAGTACACCGCAAAAAGAAAAGAGCTGGCGATGACCGCGCGAGCTGGCCGGCCGGCCGGGGAAAAAGAAAGACAGCGCTGATGATTAAAAGTAAGCGAGGGCGCGCGGGCCGGGCACAGTGCCCCAGTGCGGCGCGGACTCCTCAACATTGACGTAGTCAGTGACTGGGCTCATTCCGAGAGTCATTCTCGTTTCTGTCTCTCTCGCACTCATGCGGCGTCCCGTATAGTTGTGAGGGAGACGAGCGACGAAAACGACTCTCGGAGTCAGTCTGCTGGTCCGGTTCTCAGCGCCGGAACCGTCGGCAGCCGACACCGTCGACGACGGCAAGGTGCCCGTGGAGTCCGCCGCGCCACTCACCGGGCGGCACCGCAACTCGCTTCACATTTAAATCGGTACGGTCGTTACCGGGCGGCTGGCGCTTGATTCCGAAGGACCGTTTCGTCGCTCTGTCTCTCTCGCACCTGCGCGGAACAACCCGTGGGTGCGAGAGAGACAGAGGCAGGCGGCTGGAGTGCGAGGCTGTTTTCCGGGCGGCCGTCTCGCTGCGTTGCGCGTTTGGCATTTGGACGGCTAACGTTACAGTTCTCTTCTTCAGCTTTCGTTTAACGCGGCAAGAAGAATGTCCGCGTTCCGCGGGCCCACTCTGGAAAATGCGGCCTCTTTCTCCAGGGTGGGTCTGGCACTGCACGGCGCAAACGCTCCCTTTCAGGAACTCCCTGCAAATCATCCAAGTCTTTGCAAGAGTTTTGGCCGCCTCCAACGTTCTTCCGGCCTACTGTGCATGGGGCCCGAATGGGACGGATACCCGGCCAGCCGATCGCAAAGCACGGACTATCCCGGGATTGTCGTTCGTTTGGCTCGCCGGGTGCGTCGTGCGTGCGACTGGGGTCTTCTTGCGGTCTCCACGGGGACCTGGAGGCCCATGCCGAGAACCTCTCGCACCTGCGCGAAACGCCCCATGAGTGCGAGAGAGACAGAGCGACGATCTCGGATTCAGTCTGCGCGGGTAGGGTGAGAGGGGGGAGGGGGGGGGGGTCAGAGAAAGGGGCGTTGGGGTTGACAGCAGTGCGTGCGATCAGCGCTGCCGTGACTTCCGAAGCCGGTCCGCTGCAGAGGTTCCCCCCCCCCCCCAGTGGGCCAGAAGACCGGTGGAGGCGGACAAAACTCCAGACGCGTTTTGAGCTCCAGAGTCGCTAAATGGGACTCGAACCGAACGTGTGACCCCACCAATGGATTGCTCTCCGAACGAGGAATCCATTGGTGGGGTCTTACGTTCGGTTCGAGGCCTGTTTAGCGACTCTGGAGCTCAAAACGCGTCTAGAGTTTTGTCCGCCTCCACCGGTCTTCTGGTCCACTGTGCCCCCCCCCCCTTTCCCCCTCGTGGAGCGCACCTGCCTCGGCCCTGGCTGCGCGGTGCGGTGGTGCCCGCTGCACTAGCACTGGGTGGCTGCGTCGCGCCGCGCACACTGCTCACAGCTCGCGGCACTGTAGGCGCTTTAGTGACGACCGGCCGGCCCGCGGTCCGCGAGCTCCCCGCCGAACGCCAGACGGAGAGGGAGACGACGGCGGCCTCGCGCACCTGGCGGCAACGACTCGCGGCACCTCGCCGACCACGCCCGCCTCTACACGCCCCCCGCCGCCCCCCGCCGCCCCCCGCCCCTCGCCGACACGCCGGCCGCCGCAGACTCCACGCGCCTCGAGAGATGCGCCGCCCCGGCCGCCACAACCCGCCCGGCTTTCGGTGAGACATGGCGCCCCGCGACAGGTGAGTGAGTCAGTGAGTGAGGGCACTGGCGCCACAAGGCGAGAGTTCCCACGACGCGCCGGCGTGCACAGTGTCGCAGTCGAAATCGTTGCCAACGTCAGACTAGGCAATATTTGGGTTTCGCTCTTGAGAAGTTGCAACAGTGGGCCAGAAGACCGGTGGAGGCGGCCAAAACTCTAGACGCGTTTTTAGCTCCGGAGTCGCTAAATGGGACTCGAACCGATCGTGTGACCCCACCACTGGATTGCTCTCTGAACGAGGAATCCATTGGTGGGGTCACACGTTCGGTTCGAGACCCGTTTCAGTCTGCAGGTGTTGGTTTCTCCGAGAGGGCGACCGTGGCATGCCGTACGCTTAGCACCCCACGCGAAAGGATCAGTAGTGATCAGTAGTCAAACGGTATTTGAAACTGCAGCGGCTCATCTGCAGTTCCTTTCTGCAGTTCTTTACTGCCCTTGAATTGCATTTAATGTCTTGCCGGCTGCAGTCGCGCCCGAGACTCAGGCCTCAAATTCGGTCCCCTTTATTTCTCATCCCGGGCATGGCGCTCTTGGCGCGCGCCGTTTGCGAGACCCGCCGACTGGTTCCGAGAGTCTGTCTCTCTCGCACCTCCGCGGGACGCCCCATGAGCGCGAGAGAGACAGAGCGACGAGGACGACTCTCAGAATCAGTCTGACTGCTGGACACTTTTTGAGCGTGACATTAAGCTGTTGGTCAAGTAGACGTTATCCTCGGGATGCGCGTGGCGGCGTGGCCTCCAGGGCGGCAGTGTGGCGGCAGCACGGAGAGCCTAATGAATCCGCGGCCGGCCGCCCGAGAGAGCCATTTACGGCACGACTCTGTCTCTCTCGCACTCACGGGGCGTCCCGCGTAAGTGCGAGAGGGACGCAGAGCGATGAACACGACTCTCGGAAGGAGGTGGGAGACGGGGAGAGGGGGCGAATTTTCAATAGTTCATTTCAAGGGTGCGAGGAGCGCTCGCTTATTCGGCTGTGATGTCACTCGACACACATACACACTCACACACACGCGCACACACACACACACACACACACGCACGCACGTGCACTAGGACAGACTCGCTTATACATATACTTACATACATAAATACACACACACACACACACACACACACACAAAGGCAGCTGGTCCCCGCCGGCGTGCCAATAGTGACACCGTGGCGTAGTGCCTGCGCGTCGCGGCGCGTCGCGGCGCGTCCCTGAGGAGAGCGCGTTGTCGCGTTGACAGTCCGAGTGGAGTGCGCGATGATTCGCACCAACTCCACCGGTCTTCTGGTCCACTGTGCGCGCAGAGAGACAGAGGGATGACTTGGTAATGCTGCCGGACAGTGATTTTCCAGAGCGCCCCCCCCCCTCGCCCACACTCGGCGAGCATCCCCCGTGGGAGCTAGGAATGCCCCGGTGATCGACCGCACGCCCCGAGGCGAGCCCCGAGGCGTGCGCGGCGGCAGACTGCCCACCGATTCAGACGCTCGGCTCGTCGCTCTGTCTCTCTCGCACCCTTACGGGCAGCGCCATGAGTGCGACAGAGACAGAGCGACGAAACGACTCTTTCGAACCGCTCGGCTGACTGACGGTACCGCGGTGTGGTGTCCGTCGCGTCACCAGAAAGCACTTGTCATCCAGTGAGCCCCGCGGCGGCAGCGCGGCCGCCGCTCTGGACTGGATCAAGTTCGCGGTTCCATTTTACAGCCGATGACACCTTCACTTTAAAACATATAGGAAAGTATAGGACACATTTTCACGACAAACCTAACTGTCTTCTTAGTACACACTTACAAACGCATGCTTGGCGCCGCATAACTCCATGCTAACACAGGTGTAAATGGGATCAGGATTTTCTGATCATTTACCTATTTTTCTGATAAAATTTGGGATTTTCTGATCATTGGTGCACTATCAGAAAAATTGGCATCAGAATTACAAGTATTTCTGATAACTGTGAAATGATCAGAGAAAAAGTCTGATCGCTAATAAGTGATCAGGGAAAATTTCTGATCCGAAAAGTGATCAGACAGTGATCAGAATAGAGTCATCAGAAAACATAGACATTCTGATAACATGCAAAACTATCAGAAAATCGTGATGTCTCAAAAATCTAGATGTCTGTAAAACAGAAAGTTTTCGAAATTTTGGTTTCAAATTTGGTGAGCGGTATGTTCGCAACATTTGGCTAGGGCATTTTCAAGGTCATGAAATTTAGACCATATCTTCTGGCATTTTGAGAGCTGATGGCGAGCTAGCGTGAAACGGATTGCAGAATTGGATCGGACTCAGTTTCGACCCCCTAGAGCCGTTTGCCTCATCTCCGTATCTTTCATGGTCGTGAAAATATCCTGAGTCAGATATCGTTACATTTCTGATAATACAATTTCTGATTCTACTCCAGTGGTGATCAGACACGAGGTGATCAGAGCCACGCTGATCAGAAACGTGATCAGGAATCAGGATAAAAAAACATCAGAAAAGGTGTTCGAAAAAGCATCAGGTTTTTTTCTGATCCTCTATTTTCTGATCCAGAAAGTGATCAGCGCTAGGTGATCAGAAAATCCTGATCCCATTTACACCTGTGAAGCATAAGTGTAAGTGTGTACTTGTCAAAGCATGCATTTGTAAGTGTGTACTTGGCCAAGTATGCGTTTGTAAATGTGTACTTGCAAGCATGCATTTGTAAGTGTGTACTTAGTAGACAGTTAGGTTTGTACACGGCAGAAACGGTACCTGGTTTTCTCAGGAAGGAAGCCTATGGTAAAGACATAGGCGATTTCCAGGGGGTTCCTGGGAAAAACAGGTACCGTTTTTACGTAGTAGTGTTGGTGTTAATTAGTCTTTAGTGTCGGGTCTAGAAAAACCAAGCGTGAATCCTAAAAATAATAACGTGTAGTAGTTAGTACTATGCTGTCGTTGTTGTTGCTTCTTGTTGTTGTATCGCTGTGCATGCCGCCTGGTGCCGATAGGGCACGCCAGGCACGCCAGGCACTGCATGCCAGCATAGCCTACCTTTCAGTGGGTCAGGAACCGGCCTTGGCCGGTGCATCCCTGCATCAGACCCTGCAGTTCTATGCAGTCCCTGCATGCATGTGAGTGCATCGCCCCCCCCCCCCCTATCTCTCTCTCTCTCTGCGGTGTCGGGTTGTGAATCCGCCTAGAGCTGGATTCTGAACAGCGGCCCCCGTCGCTCTGTCCCTCTCGCACCCCTTGCGGCACGCTCCGCGAGTGCGAGAGAGACAGAGCGACGAAAGCACGTGGTTCGGAATCGGCGTCCCGGCGGTCCGCGGACACATCGACGTATACGTCGTGTGGGGAACCCACATCAGATACGCCCTTGTTTGTGTGTGAGTGGGGGGGGGGAGGGGAGGGGAGAGGGGGAGGGGGGCCGCTGTGACACTGTGTGCGGAAGCCGCGCCCGGCGCCAAGCTGCAAAACTAATACTTGCACTTTTCCGTGGAGAGAGAGAGAGAGAGAGAGAGAGAGAGAGAGAGAGAGAGAGAGAGAGAGAGAGAGAGAGAGAGAGAGAGAGAGAGTATGTGAGTGAAAGGCATAACTTACCTGTTGCATCCGATCAGATAGCGAGCTGGCTGGCCCGCACGCACGCGTGCCAAAGAAGCGGCTCTAGGACTCCGTGGGAAAAGAGCAGGAGAGGAAAAGGACGGAAAGGGAGAGGGGAAGGAGGGGAGGGGGGAGAGGCTTTGACCCTCGGCTAGTTTCATCGAGTTTCATCGCGATCCAAAAGAGAAAACGCTGATGTATCGGACGTCCCTGCGGACTGCGGACTTCCCCACCGGAAAGCTGCAGGTCCGGCGATGCGATACGAACAGAGCCAGGCAGGGCCAGGCAGGGCCAGGCAGGGCAGCGAGTAGAGGCCGGCCAGCTACCGCGATTAAATCTATTTTCACAAATAATTACCACTTCTATTTATTTTTTAAAATTAAAATTTTGACGAGAATCAAAACGATAACTCGTATTTTTAACTGTTCAACTCGGCGAGATCCCCCGCACAGTGGGCCAGAAGACCGGTGGAGTTGGACAAAACTCTAGACGCGTTTTGAGTTCCAGAGTCGCTACACAGGCCTCGAACCGAACGTGTGACCCCACCAATGGATTCCTCGTTCGGAGAGCAATTCATTGGTGGGGTCACACGTTCGGTTCGAGTCCCATTTAGCGACTCAGGAGCTCAAAACGCGTCTAGAGTTTTGTCCGCCTCCACCGGACTGGTGGCCCACTGTGCCCCGCAAGCCGCAACCACTCACTCCAGCCAGGGACAGAAAAAGGCATCCTCGCCGCTGCCGTAAAATCTGCATAGTTGCAATACTAATGCCGCGAGTCGCACCTCCCATTTTTTTTCGGCTTTCCGAACGCCGCGCGCGTTCGCGTCGTCGCGTCCCTCCGCTGCCGTCGAGAGCGAAAGCGGAGCGCGTCCGAGGCGCGCTCGCGAGGTTTGTTGTGTGTCGCCTCGTTCGCAGACAGCAGACCGATTCCGAGAGTCGCCCTCGTCGCTCTGTCTCTCTCCCACCAATAAGGGATGCCTCGTGAGTGCGAGAGAGACAGAGCGACGAAACCGACTCTGAGTCTGCTGGCTGGCACGCAGCCTCCCAGCCCTGCGGTGCAGCAAGTGCGTGCGCTGGGCCCATCCCGAACAGTGCACGTCGCTCTGTCTCTCTCGCACCCGTGCGGCACGCCCTGTGAGTAGGAGAGAGACAGAGCGACGAAAGCACGCTTTCGCACAGTGCACTGCGCGGAGTCAGCCTGCTGACCGGGCTGCAGACTGAGAGTCGTTTTCGTCGCTCTGTCTCTCTCGCACTCATGCGGCGTCCCTTAAAGGTGTGAGAGAGACGGAGCGACGAAAGCACGCTTTCGCACAGTGCACTGCGCGGAGTCAGCCTGCTGACCGGGCTGCAGACTGAGAGTCGTTTTCGTCGCTCTGTCTCTCTCGCACTCATGCGGCGTCCCGTAAAGGTGCGAGAGAGACAGAGCGACGAAAACGACTCTCGGCAGCAGTCTCCCTGCTGACGCATCGCCCGCGAGGCCAACCTGTCAACCGCTAGTCGCGCTTGCCAGCGGTTAGCCCTCTGCGGCCGGACTTCAATTTGACGCGTTAGCAGCGCGTCGCTTGAATGTCTTCCGAGCCATTCCATTTCACTCCGCAGACACCGACCGTGACCGCCTGTAGTAGACTCATTCCGAGAGTCGTTTTCGTCGCTCTGGCTCTCTCGCACCTATACGCGACGCCCTGTGAGTGCGAGAGAGACAGAGCGATGAAGACGACTCTCGGAATCAGTCGCTGCTGTATGGAAAGTACTTTCTGGGCGCCAGTAGTCTTGCAAGCGATACAGCCGCGGAGTAGCCATTGACGTCAAAATGGCTATCGAAAGGTGACACCAGCCGGGTCAAAGTTCTGACGAAAAACAGTCATGAAATGACACGACTGAGGTTTACGCGTTGGGTAGTGGTGCGAGAGAGACGGAGCGGAGCGACTAAAGCAAAGATCGTCAACGGGTGGATCGCGTTGGATCGTGCTCGCCAACGTCGGCCCGGGTCGGTCCGGAGCCAAGCCCTGGCGGGCGTGGGCCGGCCGGCGACTGGCCCAGCTTCGAGTCCCGCCAGAAGCCTGCATTTTTGTCGGTCTCTGGTACCCTTCAGGTTCTTGAAAAGGAATCTCCACGGTATTTATGTGTGCCGTGAAATGTTAGTTGCGGTTGCAGCTCTGAAATCGCGAAAAAAAATTATAGCGCCGCCGGGACTCGAAGCTGGTCAACGGTTTGGGCCAAAACCGGCGCTCCGGTTTGGTTCGGAACCGACCCGAACCGACGTTCGGGAGCACGATCCATCGCGATCCACCCGTTGACGATCTTTGGACTAAAGGGCTGCTCGGAATCAGCCTGCAGACTGATTCCGAGAGTCGTTTTCGTCGCTCTGCCTCTCTCGCACCATGCGCGTCACGCACAGTGGGGCAGAAGACCGGTGGAGGCGGACAAAACTCTAGACGCGTTTTGATCTCCAGAGTCGCTAAATGGGACTCGAACCGAACGTGTGACCCCACGAATGGATTGCTCTTCGAACGAGGTGTCACCGCTCAAACTGGCCTCGCGCGCGGACGAGGTTCCGCGAGTCGCCGCGAGATGGCGCTGCGCGCGCCGAGCCGCCGCACGCTCGCGGTGGCGACCTAGGTTAGCGTTGTAACTAGTTTGTAAGCAAGATTTCGTGCATTCAGTGCGGAGTTTTCCACCATTCCCATTATTAGCATTAAGTGGATTCACCTGTCCCATCGCCGGCCCTAGGAATTCATTTGAGCGTTCCCCGCCCGTGGCTAGCGCCTGCACGGCTGTTCCCCGAGGAAAACATGCGCCTTCTACGGCCGGTCCCCCCCGTAGGCGTCGCGCCCCCACCGGCTGCTCCCCCGGTCGTCTTCGCCGACAACGACGACAGATTCGAAGGCGACATCGGGATCCTGGGCCCTTTTACCCGGGTGGCGACCGTGCCGGCGGTCACAGAGGGATCCGTTGGTGGGGTCACACGTCGAGGGGTCGTATTCAAAGAATCTTATCTGCGCGTTCCCCCCCAGAGAATCTTATCTTAAACGCAGGCAAATTCCACTCAGTTTGACCATTTGATACAGCTACAAATCAAAATAATTTGTGATTTAATTCATTGAAATGTGAAGATGAATGATCAAAGAAACCAAAAGTGCGTGTAGAAATACATTCCGCTTACTCTCGTATCCGTCACAAATGGTCAAAATGTGTGAAATTCGCTTGCGTTTAAGATAAGATTGTCTTGGGGGGAACGCCCAGATAAGATTCTTTGAATAGGACCCCTCGACGTTCGGTTCGAGGCCTGTTAAGCGACTCTAGAGCACAAAACGCGTCTAGTGTTTTGTCCATCTCCACCGGTCTTCTGGCCCACTGCGTGACGCCCTATGAGTGGGAGAGAGACGGAGCGACGAAAACGACTTGCAGAATCATTCCACTGCAGCGGCCTGCAGCGTCGGAGTCAGGGCCGGCCGGGGGCCTTCGGACTGCCTTCAGGCTGACTGCACTGGCGGCCCTTGTCCAGGGGATCCCAGTTCCCACAGAACAGTGTACCAGTGTAACGTCCCACAGCCGGTGCGTGCGGCACTGCCCCTGCAGACTGATTCCGAGAGTCGTTTTCGTCGCTCTGTCCCTCTCGCACTCGCGGCTCGTCCCGCGGGGGTGCGAGAGAGACAGAGCGACGAAAACGACTCTAAGTGTGCATGGCTCTGCATGGCTCCGCACCGGTAAAACTGAAGCGTAGTTGTATGCTTGATTCAAGCATACAACTACGCTTGAAGACTTTACGCTTGACGTCAAGCGTAGAGAAGAAATTCTCCCATGCATTTAGATAGGCGGGAGAGGGGCAAAATGTAGAACTATGCTTGAAGCCGAGCGTAGTTCTACTACGCTTGAAGAAAGGCGTAAAACTACGCTTGAGTTCTACCAGTGCGCCGCGCTGCGTGACGGAAAGTGACCAAAGTGACCACCAAGTGAGCCTGCCCGGTGGACGGGACGGACAAGTGGCGCGGTTATTACGGCATTTAGGATCCACGCGCCGGAAGACCTGGACAAGGACCTGGACGTGGACCTGGACGCCGTGCTGGCCGTGCCAGAGAAGAGGCCTCATCCCGGCGTCCTGCCGTGGACTCGGAAAACCCTCGGCCGGAAATAGGCTCCAAGTTTCACGCATTCCTCCCATTGTTTCCGTAAACTGCATTCGCAGTGCGGGGAGGATGGTCAGATGGTCGCAAAGGCTTTGGCTGTGGCTTTCCACAGTGTGCCAGAAGACCGATGGAGGCGGTCAAAATCCCCGACGCGTTTCGAGCTCCAGAGTCGCTAGACGGGACTCGAACCGAACGTGTCACCCCACCAATGGATTGCTCTCCGAACGAGGAATCCATTGGTGGGGTCACACGTTCGGTTCGAGTCCTGTTTAGCGACTCTGGAGCTCAAAACGCGTCTGGAGTTTCAGCCGCCGGCGCCAGTCTTCTGGTCCACTGTGCGCAGGTTTCGCGACGACGCACTGGACACCTGCCTCGCGCTTCGCGGCGCGGAGGGCGCTCCCTTGCGCCGCTCGCCGGGACTCCGGGACTCCGCGAGGCAGGAGGCTGATGGCTGATTCCGAACACTGTCTCTCTCGCACTCGAGGGGCGATCCGTTGGGTGCGAGAGAGACAGAGCGACTGTTCGGAGTGAGCCTGCACTGCAGGCACTGCAGGCGCTGCTACTCCGCGGCGACTGCTGCAAATCAGGGTCGCCTCCGAGTCACGCAGTCACGGCCGTGCCGGAGCCCAGTGTCTTGTTTGTCGTCGACGTCGTCGGCCACACTGGAAGTGCCCCTGGCGGGCTGCAGCCTGCGGCCTGCCATCGCCTGCACTGTAAATCCATGGGCAAGTTTCCTTGCCACTCCACTTTCACGTCACTCCACTCTAAATCGCTCTAAATGCAGAAATTTGGGCGTGAATCGCCCTCTGAGAGCCTCAAAATTCGGCACTCGGACGGCCTGGGTCGCCCAATTTTGGCATTTTCATAGGGCGACCCGGACCCGGGGCCAGAAGACCAAAAATGTCGGCGTTCAAAACGGAGTGGCACTGCCACTGGAGTGGCAAGGAAACTAAGCGATGGCTTTGCAGCGCGTTGCAGCGCCGCGCGGGTTCGGGGCGTCAGTCCCAGCCGCCACTCCTTCTTCTCAAGGGTCATGTCGTTGCGCAGGATGGCGGTGTGCTTGGCGGTGCTGGCGGTGGCCTCCGCGGCCGCCGCGTCCGCCTCGGCCAGCTTGTCCAGCGCCAGCACGCGCGCCCCTTCGGCCCCCTCCAGGCCCAGCGCCGCGCTGGAGCGCTCCTCGCAGGTCGGCTTCCTGGAGAGCAGCATCCTGGGCGTGCTGCCCTCGGCCATGCTCACGCGCTACTTGTCCCGGCTGCGGCTGGGCGGCGCGCTGCACGAGCCGCAGGTCCTCATGAGCACGGTGAGTGGAAGAAGCAGAGCCAGTGGCGCCAGTGGCGGATCCAGAGCCGGCATTCGGGGTGACGCACAGTGGGCTGGAAGACCGGCGCGGGTGGCCGAAACGCCAGACGCGTTTTGAGTCCAGAGTCGCTAAATGGGATTCGAACCGTACATGTGACCCCACCAATGGATTCCTCGTTCGTAGAGCAATCCATTGGTGGGGTCACACGTACGGTTCGAGTCCCATTTAGCGACTCTGGAGCTCAAAACCTGTCCAGGATTTTGACCGCCTGCGCCGGTCTTCTAGCCCACTGTGGGACGGTGGTCAGATGCCCCCTCGGCCCCAAGCAGCCACCTGACTGGTGGGCAAAAGGACCCTCGTTGCCCCCGTTAGTAGGCAAACAGCGCTACGTTGTCCCTCCCTCAGGCCGGCTGTGGATCCACCACACTGGCGAGAAGGAGAACCAGAAGCAGAGGGAGAATGAGGCGGTAAACGCGTTTCCCGCGCGACGTGCACGACGTGCCGGACGCGCTGACTCGATCCTCTCGGCGTGCAGGAGGAGCTGATCAGGCGCGAGGGCTACCCCGTGGAGACGTACACCGTGCGCACCAAGGACGGCTACATGCCACTGCTGGTCCGCATCCCCCGCGGCCGCCAGGACCGCCAGGACGCCGACAACGCCTCGGCCCGCGGCGCGCCCCCCAAGGCCTCCAAGGCCCCCAAGGCCACCAAGCAGGCGGGGCGGCCCGTGCTCATCACGCACGGCGTGCTGCAGTGCTCCGACAACTGGGTGCTGCGCGGCAGAGACCACGACCTCCGTGAGCATCCTTAGAGCACGTTTGAGCGTCATGTTACCTTAGTTTTGCCGCGGGGTGCGACGTCTAGCTGGTCCGGTCCAGCAGTTTGCGGCGGCTCTGACTCAGATTGTTGTTCCTGTTGGCAGCGTTCCTGCTGGCCGACGCGGGGTACGACGTCTGGCTGGCCAACACCCGCGGCTCCACGTACTCCCGCAAGCACGAGAAGTACTCCGACTCCGACTACCGTTTCTGGGACTTCACGTACGTCACGAGCCTCGGCTAGCCTCGGCGGTCCGTTCGTGTTCGAGAATGCATTTTGAGGGACTTGGCATGCTTCCAGACTGCACGAGCCAGGGGTGTACGACCTGCCGGCCTTCATGGACAAGGTGCTGAACACGACGGGCGCGTCCAAGCTGCACTACATCGGCCACTCCATGGGCACCACCATCTTCTACATCCTGGGCTCCACGCGGCCCGACCTCATGTCGCGGGTGCGGCTCGCAGTGCACCTGGCGCCCGTCACCTACTGGAGCCGCATCCAGAGCCCCCTGGCCAAGCGGGCCTTCCAGGCCGCCTCCGTGCTCAAGGTGCAACACGTGCAACACCGGCACCCTCAGCCGGCACGACTGGCGCCGGCGGCCAAAGTTCTAGACGCGTTTTGAGCTCCAGAGTCGCTAAATGGGATTCGAACCGAACGTGTGACCCCACCAATGGATTGTTCTCCGAACGAGGAATCCATTGGTGGGGTCACACGTTCGGTTCGAGTCCCATTTTGCGACTCTAGAGCTCAAAACGCCCCAGTATTCCTCCCCCAGTATTCCTCACACATATCCCCACGATGCACCAGTGTCAAGGTGGCTGGCTGCCAATCTCAGCTTGCCTTCTCTGCAACTCCTCGAGAGCAAAGCCCAGTTATTGCCTGCTAGGCAGGCTGAGGTTGGCAACCCTTTCTACACAGGTGCATCGTGGTACAATTTTTGCCCGCGTACGTGGCAACATTGCGCGGTCCACCGCACTGGGATGTTCCCCAGGTGTCCCTCCCTCGGTCGTTCACCAACTCCTTGTTGTCGCAGAGACTGAACATGCCGATGCTGTTCGACAACTACTTCTCCCGCAGCAATCGCTCCGTCGTCATGGCCGACGTGCTGTGCCGGGACGGGTCCCCCGTGCAGGGGCTGTGCGCCGAGGCCCTGTTCGGCATCGTCGGCTCCAACAAGGCCCAGCTCAACATGGTGAGCCTCAGCCCTTCCTGGAGGGGTGTGACAATTGGGTTGCCTACTAGTCAGGCGGTTCAAAGTTTAAACCGCCGAAACAATGTTCAAGCCGCCAAGGCTTGAATGGAGGATGACTAGTGGGTTGCCTACTTGTCAGGCGGTTTGTTTCCTGAGCGGTTCAACGGCGGAATAACTGCTGCTGGGTTCCCTACTTGTCAGGCGGTATGTTTCCTGAGCAGTAAGGGGAATGACAATTGGGTTGCCTACTCGTCAGGCGTTTCGTTTCCTGCGCAGTTCCACAGGCGGATAGATGACAGTTGGGTTGCCTACTTGTCAGGCGATTCATTTCTCTAGCTTTTTCGCCCACACGACTTTCGAAGAAATAATGCGTCTTCATCATTACAGACCATGCTGCCCATGATTTTTGCTCATTTCCCTGCTGGGGCATCAGTTGGTCAGGTCGCCCACTACTACCAGAACTACGAGCAAGGTAAATCTAATTGTTTCTGATTCTGTGAAACCTTAGGAGGTTCAACTAATACTTTGGAAATTTCTAGGTATTTTTCACCAATATGACTATGGATCTGAGCAAAATATTAAAAAATATGGCAGTTCAAGGCCTCCAGTTTATAACATGAGCAGAGTCACCGCCCCTGTTGCTATTTGGTACGGCCTAAATGATAGGCTTGTGTATCATGAGGTATGTGTGCAATGTCAGATTTGTATTCCCAACGGGTGATGCATGTCACGTTGCATGTTTGACATTACTGACTTTATTGATGCTGATTCCAGGACGTGGTGGCTTTGTCAAAGCAGTTGCCCAATTTGGTGGGATTGCACCTTGTTCCATTTCCCAAATTTAACCATTTTGACTTCTTATGGGCTACAGACTCACATTCTTTACTGTATGATGATGTAATGAAGGTTATGAGTAGATTCTAGTCAATACAATAAGCAATAGCTTCCAACAAAATTCATAGGAAATGTTTAATTTGATAAATAAAATAAAAGCTTGGTTGTAAAGTACAGATAAGTGTTAAAGGTTAAGAAACAATTTGGAGAGAAAATGCTGTTGGTTTGCTGGAAAATAATTTATTTCTCAAAAAAGTGCATCGGAGGCTGGTGCTGGTGTGGCCAGTGTATTGACTAAAGACTGACCTGTATTCATAAATTCGAGTTTATTGTAGAAATTAAGGCAAATAAGAGTTTATCTTAAGCATTTGACAAAAACAAAGCATGAAACTTTGAAAGAGGTGTGCAGTGATCCAATTTGCTTGTAATGCACGTGTATCAAAAGTAAATCTGTTGACTTCACTGATTATAAAAAAAATAAAAAACTATCGCTGGGTGAATACACCCCCACCATAGCCCAAATATTTATATGGCAAAGCACGGGCGCGACCTCTGAAATCAAAACAAATCGAACCATCACATAATGTCAGATTTTAATAACAGTACTTGGTTCTTTAGGTAGGTTCCAAAATAAGTGTACTCTATACCTGGAGGCCTGAAAGTAAACCTTTTCACGGGGATATATTTTCTTGTCTTCATCAGAGACTGAGCTGGCCTCTAGATAAATATCAAAGCAATAGAGCAGACGAGTAACTTGGGCAGCAAGTAGAGTTTCAACCCAATTAGGTCCAGCCATTAGCTCCTTGTAGTAAACATTGACTTCGCATTCCATATCCTGCACAAAAGTAGCAGTAAATACACATCCATTGTGAAAAACAAAACTAAAGGCAAAATGTGTTTACAGAAATATGACCGCACCCTAATGGCATCACAGTCTACAGCTGAATGGTGTCCTTTCCAATTTACTTCCATTGAGAACATTGGTGGGGACTCCGGATAATTGCTTTTTATGGCAATCAAAGCTAGGGCTTTAGCTGAGAGAAAGACAAAAAAAGGATAAATAAACAAAACTAGAAAGTTGACAGCATTGAAACAATGTTAAAAATTTCCCTCACCTGGTCCGTGGGAGATAGACATGCGATACACAGAGTCCAGCTCTATGACTTGCTGTTGGTTAATGAGCCACTGGGTGCTCTTGTGAGAGCGGTACTCATCCCAACTTATCTGCTTCAAGTCACTGATTTGAGAATTAATTTTGGTGGGGAACTGATCGTGCAAAGATGGCATAGGGGGAACTATTCCCGTTTCTGAAAATAAAATAGCAATGGCATAAAACCAATCACAATACTTGTTTCCATGAATTTTTTTTAAACTGACTATACACGTGGTTACTTTTGCTTACCTAAACTTTGTACTTGCTTACACAAAGCAAGACGAGATTTGAATCTTTGGCGCAAAGATTTGATGACACTTGGAACACTTGCTTTACTTACCTCTATACGAGCCTAACAGAAAAAGACACAGCAAGTTGATAACTTGAAACTTAGAATGAAAACTACACCAGTGGAACAACCATTACCTTTTTTGAACTCTCTGGATTTTGACTGATGAAGTCCAGTCCTGAAACCCTCTGAGCCCAAATGTAGGGAGCACCAAGATCAGATATAAAATCAGAAAATGGGCCTAGTCCAACATTTTGGAGTTGATAATCGTTCGCCACATTTGGACTTTCTTTGCCTGTGTCACCAGGGTATAGAGAGCACAGAATGTTTTCAGGCGTCATTAATTGGCTGAAAATACAATACATAATGATATGTAGAACAAAATGAAGGGAGACACCAACATCAAAACTGCCTGTCTTCAAACCTGTCTGTACCTTGCAAACAAACCGGTGATTGGCTGAGACATTTGAATGGAGCACTTAACAGTGACTACACCAAGATTAAGTAAGTATGAAAACACCAATTTCATGTTGCTTCCATCTGAAAAAAAAAAATTGGATTGAGGGAAAAAAAATAGTGGGAAATGAAACCACTTACTTAATTGGATAAAATATACCTTTCAAATTGATGGTTAGATTCACGGTCAAAGGATGTTTGGCCAGTAAGCGTTTCCGTCTTTCTTCTTGGCGATCAACTTTACTATTTCTTTTCCGATGGTGACGTTTACTCTTCTCATTACTTTCAACCTACAACAACAAATATCATTTCTTATTATCGTCATGAAATGTTTCTCCACAAGGACATTATTCAAACAATATGTCAACTACTCACCTCTTGCTCCTGATCAGAATCTGATTCTTCTTCTTGATTTCCTTCATCTGATTTATCTTTTAAACGACGTGCTTCATCTTCATCACCGTCAATAGTAACAACCAGGAGAGGGTCTGAAATAATATGTTAAGGGAGTCATATGTCTAAAAGCAAAAACCAGATTGCTGAAATGACAGATCACCCACCACTTGCTTGTTGCTGAGCGTCAGCTTGCACATACAAAAAGAACAAGCAGGCTGGCAAGAGGTATGCCAGTTGGTGCTGCATTCTTGTTTCCAAAACCTTCTCTCCAAGGCTTTCTTCAACTGGTTTAGTTGCCTAGAACGACATGATAAAACTCAAATCAAAAATTCCATGTTCTCTCTGCTTATTACTCACTCAATAGTCAACTGAGCCTATCAAAATAAATCAGACAGAAAAAACTACCACACACCTGAAGAATATTTCGTAACATTGGAGCCAGGTTGTCCAAATGCTGCTGTTGTTTTTCAATGTCCTTGGCTACTGTCTCTTTTTGGGAGTGCATTTGCTTGCACATTTCTGCCAGTTCTCGTCTTTGAGTGAGTTCCCACTCCAAGCGTGCCTTCTGGAGCTGGTGAGCGTCATGCTCTTTTGACTGTAATAATAATAAATACAATATTTTAATACCGTAGTCCATGCTATGCTACAACAACTCAATTGAACCACATGAAATGACGACTGCAAGAAAAACAGGATTGATAGACATGTCACTCACAGACTTTTTGGAGGGAGCAGAAGCTTTCAATGCTTCAGGAGCATCACGCATAAATTCTTCAATGGGGACAAGGTCAATATTTTCGTCCTGTGACCTTGACAAATTGAAAAAAGAAAATCATTAGCATTCCAGAGAACATTTGACTGACTCCACACTTACAAGTGATGTACTAACTTGAATTGAAGACACTTGTTAACTTCTTTCTGCAAATGAAGAACTTCGTATAGCAGGTTCTGAAGCTGCAAATGTTGACTGTCAACCTGCCCTTTCACTTTTTGTAATTCCTCACGTGAATGTTTAAGCCGTAATTTATTTAACCTATTTAGCTTTCTTAGCATCACAAATAAAAGACAAGCTTCAGAGCATTTTACATTGATGGCAGCCTTTGCCTGTAAGCATAAATTTAAAAAGTCAATCCACACTGGAGAGGCATTGAAGGATAACAAAGGACAGTTATAATAATATACCTCAGGTGTTCCCTTTTTCTTCAGAGCAGCAATTTCTTCCATGTAATTTCTAAAAGAATTACAAGTTTCGCTGAATAGCTTCCTATCTTTGTCGGGGTCTCGTGCAGCAGCTTCATTTTCTTCCCACTCACACACACTCTGAAAACAGTCAATGAAAGCAGCACTTAATGAATTTGAAACCACAATCTCAACTCTGGGAAATTACCAATGGGAATAACTTGAAACTATTGCAAGAGATGTAACGTATTCTTTTGCTGAAGGAGTAATGACATTAGCGCTTGTGTGTGTCACACCAGAAATGCCCTATGCATTAAGCCAATAAACCAGAAACGAGGAACAAGAGGAATACTAAGGCAGGGAAACTTGAAAATATTAAGTTGTTAAAAGATATATAACTTGAACATAGCAAATTACCTTGTAAACATCTTCTACCACTACTTTTGTAGGGGTGGGTGGAGTAGTGTTTAACTGGGAGGCCTTGCGCCTCTTTTTCAGGAGGGGCTCAGAATTATCAGTTCCATTTTCCTTCATCTTCGGTTATGATAAAAATGCCCACTCACTGCAAAAAAAAAGGCTTGTTTTTGACACCGAATCTATGAATGATCACCACCGGTAAGTTAACCTCACCACAAAAACAACACACTGCCCTACAAAAACATGAAAACCGTTTTGCATGCCAGTAACATGACAGCGATGACGGCAAAAATAATTATATTTGCATACTATTTTCAGTCAGAAAACAGTGAAACCTTTTCAATTGTTACTTATTGTTTTAAAGCTAGAAAATAAAAACAAGGAAGTTTTGGCACCAAATGCAGTCACGGATTAACGAAAATGTAACTAAGCTGCTTTGAAGGAGTTGGTAGAGCTGATCCCAAGTTTGAAGTTCGAACCGGTCGGTCCAAGACCAGAAGACGCTAACCCGAAGAGACGGCCGGTCCCCTTGTTCTGTTGTTAGTGTACAGAAAAACTGTCAAGAAAAGTTTGCGTTTCGTGTCATAATGGGTACCATCGAAGATATTGTTTCGTCCATTGTCATCCCACCTTCGTGTAATCACAACTTGGATGAAACCGTAGATGTTCATAACGAAATGACTAAGGTCATTAAAAGTAAGCTCTTCTCTTTCTACAATTTCAATAACACACTTTTATTACTTTTCTCCATTCTTATTCTTTTTCGTTTCAGAAACCGGAGTTTTAACTAACAAGCTTCAAGGTGATATGAAATCTTTGAAAGATAAACTGTCTTCTCTTGAAAAGGAACGTGCTCAGGCTCGGAAGGATGTGATAAAAATGAAAGAAGACAATGTACTAAGCCATTTTTTAATTTGTTCCTCTTCAGCTAATAAAGTTTATTGCTTATGAAATAATTCTCATCTCATTTTATAGACTGCAGTGTCCACAAAGATTGCAAAATTAAAATCCGAGATTAAGGACGTACAATACAAAATTAACAAGATAAATCAGAAATCCAGTATAACTCAAAAAGAAAAAGAAATTCTGAAGCAAAATGAGTAAGTATGAGTGTTCCTGTCTCTTTTAACATTGCATCACTTCTCAAATTTGTACTTTCTTAAAAATGGCAACTATTTTCAGGGAGGAGCTCCATGCATACAAAGCATTCACTGGCATCAGGTGGAATTTCAATGCACCCGACAATGTTGTCGAGGGAAGTATCCTTTTATGCACTCTGATTGGAGCTTTAGAACAATTTTACTCCTTAAGGTACATCCACAATTCTCCTCATTGCTCCTCATACGGTAGTGCTGCTGATACTGCTCATTTTATTGGCCACACCAGGCCCTGCTGTTGAATATAGGACCTGGTGCGGCCCATTTGATCACACACTTTAAAAAAAGAGAGAAAAAACGGTGATAAAGAAGGGGTATGAGCAGGGCTATGAGCTATGAGGAATGAGGGGTATTGTGGATCCACCCTTAGTGGTAAATGAATTTTTGCTTTAACTGACATAATTTATTCAGAAGTTTGTGCAATCCTTAACCATATTGTCAGTAATTACCAATTCCAAGACGAATTTTGTAAAGGTATTTCAATTTGAGAAGTCTATGCCGAACAAGAAAATTCGTAACTCGCTGTGGTGTCTCATCGGTGAAGCTGGATCAGCATCCTGGCACAATATGGATGAAAATAAAGAGAATCAACTGAAGTAGTAAAATCTGTATATATGTTTCATTTATATTGCCGTTGTTTATGTATTTGATATCTGAACTGGAATTAAATATTCGTATTTTACATCTCTTGAACGATAAGTTTGTCAAATTACAAATAAATTTCCCGCCAAAACGACCTCTCATCGCGACCGCAGCGCCTCTACCGGTGGACTAGTGATTTACCGCTGCTGGCGCGAATCTAACCTGACTAATTAGGTAGGTTAACTTACCCAATTGGGTAAGTTTTAAATGAACATCCAATGGTAACGTCGAAACTCCGCCTGATGGAAATTCTAGATATTATCTGGTAAAAAGAAAACTGCTCTGTGTTGAAAAGAAAAACCTTCTAGTCATAGAAAACTATTTTTTAAAATCATACATCTTCATTGTATCTTTGGTGGCCAGTACAAATTGTTAGTTAATGTCTCAACAAACATTTTCAAACACAATCACTGCTGACCATTTTCTCTTTCAGAGGTAATTTCAACGTGATGGCTCATGGATTTACCACGGTCATACAAGTCCTCGAGTTCAACCAAGAAACTGAGCCTTGGGAAGACACAGTCCCGGATAACTAGTTTTATCAAACCAGAACCCAATAATGACAGTAATTCTCAAGACTCATTTTCTCAGAGACTTGCTATTGGTGAAAAAGTCAACTTGTGAGTTCAGTAAAATTTAAATGTCTTTTTAATATGGAAGCTTGTGTTAAATTGTTGTTGTCAGTGAAAAACTCTTATTTTCAAAGGCCTGAGAATTACTGCCAAAGCGCAGCCTCAAAGAGCAACACGCATGCCTCTCAAGAGAGTAGTAAGTTAACTTTATCTCGAGAGAATCTTTCAGTGCTCCTATGCAGTTTCCCCATGTCATTATTTTAATCTAACATCTTTTGTTCAACTGGTCCAGCTAAGTTCAAAATGGACGATGACGCTCTGGATGCACAAATCACCCGAGGATGGAACTCAGTAAAACCTGGCAGTCCTTCGGCAGATGTGGACTGCTCACAAAATGATGTTTCTTTTATAGAGCCACCGCCAAGCCCACCACCCATTCAAATGGATTGTATTTCAATAAGTAGCGATGACGAAATTGGTGCGTTTTTCATGCATTTTTTATTTTTTTTTATTTTTTATTTCCACAAGTGTTTTATCGAAGCACAGTGGTTTTTGTGGGTACATTCTTTTACCAACCTTCTGTTTCATTCAGGAAATGTCTTGTCAAACAGTAGACCTTGTAGCCCAAAGAGTGATGACATGTTCAAAGATGAAGATTTACCTTGCTCGGGCTTCTCTCTGACTGGTGTGGTAGATGCTTTTGTAGAAGCTGCTGTTGCGACGGATGAATCTTTGGAACAGAAACCTTCAATGATTGAGTCACATCCCTCTTCACCACCTTCCAAAAAGCTTTGCATGGATGGCCAGAATGCTTTCTGTATTTCTAATATAAAATCAGAATCAAAAACTGAAGTGACGTCTACATCTGATGAAAGAGTTGGTGCTAAGATTGCATCTGCAACAGATAACAAGAAATCATTGACTTTGTCAAAAGCCAAGAGACATTTTTCAGAAACTGTCAATAGTATAGAGGAAGAGAATGACCCTAAAACTTATGACAATGAAGAAAGGTCATTTTCAAGAGAAAGTACTATCTCTCCACCTGGTTCTCCCAATCCAGCATATGTTAAACCTTCTAAAGAACGAGATTTTAAGGAAGGAACTACAGGTTAGCTTTGTCCCTGGTTATTAAATTTTGAATCAGGTGTTGTTAATAATGGTAAATTCTTAGATCTTACCTTATCAAATAATTCCTTTGTTTGGTTTTTTTTGTTGTTGTTTTTTTGTTTAGAGCAATCACGATCAAAGTTAAAGCATATGGGAGACAGAAATAGAGAGGACCTCAAACCTAGGAAAGAAGAAAAAAGTGTTTCTAAAACGTATCATAAAGATCTCTCTAGCAAGAAATTTAAAATAGAAGACCAAGTTGATTTAAAGATAAAAAGAGAAGTTGATCATTCAAAGGAAAGCCCGAAAAAGGCATCTTTTTCAAAATCCATTAAGAGTGCTTCATCACCTAGTAAGAAATATATTTTGTAGTACCTTTGTCTTAACGTAGCTATTTTTGTTATAATTATCTGGCTCAGGATCCAAAGTATTATTAATTTCTCTGCCTCTCTCTAGGTAAGAGGCCTCTAAAACAGACTTCATCAGAGAGCACATCTGATGTGGACGATTGGATCAAAGATTTCAAAAGGGGAATCTCAAAAGGCAATGTCTCAACAGATGTAAGTCTTTTACTGAGTTCATAAAATCCGCAGCTTGCCTGAGGCATGCAGCATGTATAATGCATTATTTTCTCTCTATCTTAACAGATGCCACTCACCTCTATAAGATCAGAACTTGATTCATTGAAGACTTCTTACATAGAATTAATGGAAAAAATGCTTGATATCTTTTTCTCTATCCCCAAAGATGTGTTTGATGTTATACCTGATTTTGATTCAAGTGTGTTCAGACTTCGAGTAATGAAGGTTTGGCTGCAAGGTAAACTTAAATCAAGTACCTCAGTGTACTTAGCGGCAAGAAAAATTTCTACAAGTCAATCAAGCTCAAGGAGTCCATCATCAAAACTCACAAAATCTGACAAAGCCTCCTCATCACCATCTAAATGTACCAAAAGTAGTCTTGGTGAGAAACGGTCTTTTGAAGCTGACAATGAAAAGATTTATAAGAATCAATCATATGTTAGAGAAAAGTCTGAGTCAAAAAGTCAATATGAAAGGACATCATTTAACAAAGATGTTGCAAGTGATGGTTTACAAAATCAATGTTCATTTGCTTTATCCTCAAGCAGTCTTGGTGTTGCATCACCCATAGCTTCTCCAGCAAAAAGAACATTATCAAATAGCTCCCATGGATCCCATGGATCTCCCAAACACCATTCTGCTACATGCAGTTATTCTGACTCTGGGTATAGTTCTCAGTTGAACTCTACAGATCAGTCATTCAACTCATCAGATTCAGTGAAAACAACTGGAAAGTTTACTTTCAAGAAACCTTTCATGGCTACTGGAAGGGTTGCCAATAGTTTACCCTCTACATCAGGTTCCAGTCACTCTTCAAGTCCAGGCTCATCAGCGTGTGAATTTCCTCAAACATCTTCTGTATCAACTAACAACTGGCTTTCCAAAGGAGACCAATCTTCGCCTGCCTCTGCCTCTTGTTCAAGTTATAACAGTAATAATACAGTTTCTTATAAAGAACCAACGCCAAGTAATTCACCAAGGAATAGAAGTGATGTCACAAGCACATCATTCAATTCCCCCATTTCATCAAACTTCAGGAGAAATGAGAGTGTTAGCAAATCTTTCGCTTCATGTTCAGCCGGGTCCAGCACAAGCAGAGCAGTGGATGAGAATATTGAATCAGACTGGAAAGATTCCTTCATTGATGAGGATGAGGACGACTACAGGTCGAGCAGCCGTCATGAAAGTGCCCAGTATGGAAGGAAAGCTCCAACGCCTCAAACTTTGGGAGCCAAAATGAGTGCCAAATCAACTGCTCCTTCTTCCTCCTCAATGGCCATCACCAAACCTGTGTCTCAAGTTACAAGTGGTGATGCTGAGTTAGGGCGTTTCCATCAAGGAATTCACAATGACGGTAGAACAGGAGAGTTTGATGGGAAGAACTTTCCTCACTCCAGGGCAATGATGGAGGTGTTTAGGCAGAGGTTTGGTCTTCACGAATTCAGACCTAATCAGCTGCAAGTTGTTAATGCAGCGCTACTAGGGCATGATTGCTTTGTTCTCATGCCTACTGGGGGAGGTAAATCTCTCTGTTATCAACTTCCAGCATTATTAAATCCTGGAGTCACAATTGTCATATCACCACTCAAGTCATTGATTTTCGATCAAGTGCAGAAGCTCAACTCGCTTGATGTAAGTAGCACATTTATTTGTACAGAAGTGGTTTAAAGGATAAACAGAAACTTTTATGTTTTAATTTTAATTTTGTAGATACCTTCCTCTTGCTTATCAGGGGACCTTTCAAAAACGGAGATTGAGCAAGTCTACACAGATTTGAATACAAAGGAACCAAGTAGGTACATATGAGACACATGTTCTCTGTTTTAATATAAATTTTAATAATAATTTTTTTCCCTTTTTCTTTTCCTGTTTTAAGGGATAAAATTGTTGTATGTGACTCCTGAAATGTTGAGTGCCAGTGAAAAACTCCGTAATTGTCTCTCATCATTACACTCCCGTAGTAGATTGGCGCGGTTTGTGATTGATGAGGCACATTGTGTTTCTCAGTGGGGCCATGATTTTCGGTAAGTATTTGTGAGGATAGAGCTTGCATTTTTTTTAATAAAAAATTGTTATTTTCTATTTGATGACCATTGCCTTGTTTCCTCTCATGCAGCCCAGATTATCGTAAGCTAAATGAACTTAGAACCAGGTACCCTAATGTTCCATTCATGGCACTCACAGCCACAGCTACCCCCCGTGTTCGGATTGATATCAAACACCAGCTGAGCCTTGTTGATCCAAAACTGTAAGTGATATGTCTGCATAATTTATGGCTGCATGTGTACATGTTTATGTAAGGAGTTATAAGTTTGCTCTATTGATTGTTTCCAGGTTCATGTCCAGTTTTAACCGGTCGAATTTGAAGTATTCTGTGGTGCAGAAGAAAGGTAAAAACTCCACTAAAGACATTGTTGATCTTATCAAAGACAAGTTTCCAAGAAGTTCAGGCATAATCTACTGTTTCTCAAGAAAAGATTGTGAAAACACTGCTCATGAATTAACACAAGCAGGCATTAAAACCCTTGCATATCATGCCGGTCTTTCTGACAAAGCCAGAGCTACAGCACAATCTCAGTGGATTTCTGACAAAGTGAAGGTACTTTCATTTAGAATAACCAATTTCTGGCTGAATATTTTTTTGTTACTCTATATTTATGATTGTATTTTGTAACAGGTTGTTGCTGCTACCATAGCCTTTGGCATGGGTATAGACAAACCCGATGTCCGCTATGTTATTCACCAGACCATGCCCAAATCAGTTGAGGGATACTACCAAGAAACAGGAAGGGCTGGTAGGGATGGCAGGTTGTCACATTGTATTACTTTCTATAAGTATGAGGATTCCATTCGGCTTCGGTCAATGATAGAAAGTAAGTTCCTTTAGTCTTAAAACTTATCAATAATGTGTTTTTTCTTCTAAATTCATTTCATCAATTGGATTGAATTTTTATTGTTATAGGTGATCAGACGTCTTACCCAGATTGGAATGCAAAAAAAGCAGTTCTTGATAGACACATGGAAAATCTTAGATTCATGATTTCTTTCCTGGAAAACAAGACAGACTGTCGCAGAGGCCTCCAGTTGAATCACTTTGGTGAATTCTATTCATCTGAATTGTGCTTGAAAAACAGAACTTCTGCCTGTGATAACTGTGAATCAAAGGTAAAATTAAACAATGCTGTGTTCCTCTGTAATAATAATAATTTTTCACTGAATTATCTAGTTGGTTCCCTGTTCTAAAAATTTCTTGGAGAAAGATCTTATTAAGACACCCTGTCTTAAATGGAAGCAAATTTTTAAGAGTTTGATCATTTTGGACAGCTTGGAGAAAAAAGACTCAAAGTAAAGATTAAAAAAAACCAGTGGTGCTAGAATTTACATCAGTTTTCTCTCCAATCTATGCCTAATAATAAAACTTTGAATAATTTGCCTGCATTTGATCTAGCGTGTCTTCTTCTGGAAAGGGTCAGATACGATCTTTATCCTGGAGACAGTAAGATAAGGTTGCGATATGTGTATCAGTGAAAGTTGGAGTCTAACAGGTGTGTCTTCTTATGTTTCAGGGTCAGTATACAGAAATAGACATTGCACCTGACGCCAGAGAAATAGTTAAGTTTGTGAAAGATATGTGCAATGATACCAGAAAAAACTTTTCTTTGCTTCATTTGGTTGATGTGTTCAAAGGAAGCAAAATAAAAAAAATTGTCGATGCAGGTAAACTATGGCATTTATCTTCACTCAATGGCAGACAGTATTTCTTTAAGCTTTATTGTATATCATTATTATTTATCAATCAATAAACGGGGCCGAGGGCAAGCCCTGCACGGACATTACATTTTTAACAAATTTTTGCATCATACATTTGCAGGACATGTTGATCATAAAATACATGGTATGGGAAACAAATGGATGAAAACAGATATAGAGAGAATGTTCCATAAACTGGTTATTGAAGGCTTCTTGAAAGAAACTTTGCAAACTAACTACCTGGATATGACAAATGCTTATATAAAATTGGGTCCCAAAGCTTCATTATTACAAGACCCAAGTTTCAAGGTATTCACTTTGGGTTTAATGATTGAATATGGGCTGCTACTATTACGACTTTTGATGTTTACACTGTTGCCTTCTCTTTTAAGATGATGTTCCCCATGAATGGTCCTGGAAGCAAATCAGTCACCGTGGAAGATGAAAGTTCTTCTGATCAGATTGATCAAGAAATGGAAACCATTCACAGCGAATGTCTTTCAGAACTGTCGGATAAGGTTCAAGCAATGGCCCTATCAATGGGTGTCAACTCCTCATCAATAATGAATGTTGAGGTGAAAATAATGTCATAGGATTAGTTAAGTATTTATGTCTTAATTTCAAGTGCCTTTCCAATACTGCTGATTTTGTATCTTTTCAGGCTGTTCATACCATGGCACAAGTCTTGCCTGAAAGTGAGGAAGAAATGTTAAAAATACCACATGTGACAAAGGCCAACTTTAAGAGGTATGGCCCTCCCTTGTTGGAAGTTACTCAAGAGTTTGCTGCAAGAAGAAATGGTAAAATTTTAAAATAATATAAATACGTATTATTTCTTGTATGCTGAGATAGAGACATCTTTTCTTAATTAATATTTAATTTTTCAGCATTGCAAGCAGCCCGTGAGGAGGAAAAAGTACAAGAATTCTTTGCCAATGGTGCAGTACAAGAGGATTGGAATCTGGGTGATGATGATGATGATGAAGATAGTGCCAACAATGAATCACCTTATTTCACATCCACATCACCTAGAGGAAGTTCCCGTGGCACAGGATACAAAAAGCGAGGGACTTTCCGTAAAGGGAGAAAAGTGTGGAAAAAGTCAAGGTAAGTAAAGTGAATGGTTAAATATGTATTGTTGTTTGAAGTGTCCTTCAACGACATGTGTTTATTCTTTACTTGCTATTTCAGCAAAGGAGGCGCTTCTCGTGGGAAAGGATCGTCTAGTAGTCGTGGTTCAAGTTCCAGCAGTCGTGGTTCCAGCAGAGGTGGAGCAAAGAAGGCACCTGCCAGTTCTGGTCCAGGAATTATGAAAATGCCTGTTCCAAAAGGACGTTCTTTTTTATCAACGCCTCGTGTTTCTTCTTTGTAGAAGTGTTTGTTAATGAATTTTGTCATGACATTCTGAATGTGATAACATGTGTGATGTTTTGTAGTAATACTTTATTAATTCTGACTACTCTGATCTATTTCTTCGTAGAGCCATTCATGTAGGGCTCTAATTTTTTTTAAAATTTTTATCTAACTTAATTACTAGCACAATGAATCAAATGTGCTCTACTGATAGGTACAAGCAATTTTTGACCCTCTTAAGGTGTTTTACATTCAATTTAGTACAAATGTGAGAGTTAAGATTATAAAAATGTAATTTATTTGTTATTTTGAGTATTATATTAACTATCTTTTAAGTACTTGGGACCATTTCACTGTAATAAAAGTGCCTCCAATTGTGAAGTTCGTTTAATGTGGCTGAACTCCTAAGCAAGCAGCACCCACTCCAAGGGGCGATCTTGAAAATGTCGTGAAAATGAACGCACCTACACACCGATGGTCATCAATTCAATTTATTGGCCAAGAACGGAAGTCGTGGATGCGCGAGAACATGTCGAGCGTGGAGGTGGCGCAGCCGCGGAACGTCCTGGCGCACGTGTCGACGGGGTCCTGGGCGGCCCTGGCCCGCCTGCCGGCCGCCTCCGCCGCGTGGAACTCGTGGTCCTGGTGCAGCAGCACGCGCTCCCGAGTGGTGGACGGCCTGCGGGAGAGAAGAGCGTAGCGTAGCGTGCCTTGCAGCTGCGGACGTCGCACAGTGGATTTGCCAGAAGACCGGTGAAGGCGGCCAAAACTCTAGACGCGTTATGAGCTCCAGAGTCACCAAACAGGCCTCGAACCGAACGTATGACTCCACCAATGGATTCCTCGTTGGGAGAGCAATCCATTGGTGGGGTCACACGTTCGGTTCAAGTCCTGTTTAACGACTCCGGAGCTGAAAACGCGTGTAGACTTTGGGCCGCCTCCACCGGCCTTCTGGCAAATCCACTGTGCGTTGGGCGGGACGGGCCTGCCCGGAGACTACCGCCGCTTACGTGAGCAGGACGTGCAGCAGCTCCCCCAGCAGCCCGTCGTGCCTGACGGTGAAGGCCGCCGCCTCGCAGACCGCCCTCAGCAAGCACTGCCGCCCGCTGCCCGCGCCGCCGCCCAGCCTGGAAACGCGTTCGACCTCAAGGAGCGCCCGGCCCAGTGCAGCGAGTTGCCTTTGTCACTTCGTGACGCGAGACTCACTGCTCCAGCGTGCCCTGCAGGGCGGTGTACAGGTCCCAGCGGCTGGCCAGGTGCTCGGTGAGGCCGCCGGCGTCCGGGGTGTTGGCGGCGGCCCGCGCGCTGCGGCTGGAGAAGTACTCCTGGGGCCGCGTGTACATGCTGACGTTGGACGGCGTCAGGTAGTTGCTCTTGAGGAGCATGCCCGTCGTCACTGACTGGTGCGGCAAGCTTAGTGGGATTCCGAAACCAATAATCACCTGGAGTAAAAAAACAATGATATAAATTAAAAATAATTAAACCAGGTGTTATTTTTTTTGCGCACGCGTTTTAAAGAACTGTATGATGGCGGTGTGATGCTTACCTGCACCCTGCCGGGCCGGAAGACGAGGCTCCTGCTGTGGCGCTCCGCGGCGTCCGCGACGGCGACCAGCTTGGCCACGACCAGCACGCCGACCGCCACCACCGCCAGCAGCAGCGCGTCGGCCGTCCCGGGTCGCGACCTCCTGGACCTCATCCTCGGCGCCGCGGCGGAGGGGCAATGGAAGTGGCGGCGCTGGACGCAGTACTGCCTTCCCCTGTCATGTGCGAAAAATGCCCCCTCCACGCCCACCCTCCCTCGCAGGCACGCACGCACTCACTCACGCCCATGTGTCCGCCCCGCCGTTTTCCCTCCCCCGACGTCCCGAGGGCGAGCAGCAGATACCCGGCGCGGCGGACCGCGGCGTCGGAAACCGACTCGAGATATGCGTCAGCCGGTTCTCGTCGCAGCGTGGAGGGGCGGCCAAAGACCCGGCTTGCCATTAACACCTCGCCGGGCTGTACCCGGACGGGTACCCGGATGGATACCCGGATAGCGGTCGGAAGCGGCTTCTCTGAGTCTCGCGGCGCCTTCAGGGGAAGCAGTGACGTCATTCGTTGGAACGCGAATCGTGTCGCACTGGTTGAAACAGTGCGTCGCATTCGTGTCAACCTAAATCCGGGACGCCACGCCACAGGTCTCAAGAATAGAAATTTGGTAAGTCTGGCTATTGACCCGTCTGGGAAAGAGGGCTTACGCCTTCGGCTGCTTCGAGCTACGTTTTGCTTACGCCCATTTTTATGTGCAGGACGCGGAGTCTCGAGATCCGGTGCGAAATCGCCTGTGGTTTTCCAAGAACCACAGCGAAGTATCGACTTAACATCAAGTTAAATTGTCTTACACACGTTTATAACTGCTTCGAAGAGTGGGTAATTCAGACACCAGGAGAAAATGATATGGTAAAATTTTTATTGCAGAGCAATTTTTTCAGATTTAAAAAAATGCATCGACACAAGTGATACCAGTGATCATCAGCATATCGTCACCAGGTCCCTGCCGCGTACACCAACGTTCGAGGGATGGTTGTTGTGATGTACAGTCCGGATCCGAAATGCAGAGGATCATCTGCGGTCCTAGGAGTTTCAAGTCAAGACAGGACGACGCCTGCCACTGGTCGAGGCCTTTTTTTACACGGCAGTGAATCATGTGAGAGTGTGGGTCAGTACGGCAGCATTCGCGTGAACAGATCGAGCGTGGCGGTCCGGCACCCGTTGAATATCCTGGTGCAGGTGTCGACGGGGTCCCGCGTGGACCTGGCCTGCCTGCCGAGCTTCTCGGCCGCGTGGAACTCGTTGTCCTGGTGCAGCAGCACGGGCTCGTCGGTGCTGGACGGCCTGGACCAACAAACGTCGTAAGGAGAGATGTGTTGCCTCCAATGTCAAAATGATGGCCGCCTAGACCGTGCAGCCACCCTGGGCACAGTGGGCCAGAAGACCGGCGGCCAAAACTCTGGACGTGTTTTGCGCGACAGAGTCGCTAGATGGGACTCGAACCGAGCTTGTGACCCGACCAATAGATTCCTCCGTCGGACGGCAATCCATTGGTAGGGTCACAAGCTCGGTTCGAGTCCCATCTAGCGACTCTGGAGCACAAAACGCGTCTAGAGTTTTGGCCGCCACCGCTGGTCTTCTGGCCCACTGTGCTGTGCAGCCGCAGCCTGTGAAACGTCGGTTAGGCCAGCCCGCAAGACACCCCCGTGGAGCGGGATAGCCTACCCCGCACTTCGCAGGGGCTGACGTTGGCAAGCACCAAACGGTACTCATTTCTGAGTGAAACCTTCGTCCATTTTCTGTGCCCATAACTCGTTCTTCTTAAGCTTAAGCGCGGTTATTGGGGAGACAGTTGTGGCCACGAACAGGGACGCCCCGTATTTTCGTTTCCCTTACGTGAGCAGGACGTGCAGCATCTCCCCCAGCAGCCCGTCGTGCCTGACGGTGAAGGCCGCCGCCTCGCAGACCGCCCTCAGCAAGCACTGCCGCCCGGTGCCCGTGCCGGCGCCCAGCCTGCGCGCAACATCAAGACCATTCACGACGACGCCCGCAGACTACGGTTGCGAGAGTCGTTTTCGTCGCTCTGTCTCTCTCGCACGCATGGAGCGTCCCGTATAGGTGCGAGGGAGACGGGGCGACGAAAACGACTCTCGAAATCTGTGTAGTGGTCACGGGCGTGTTTTGCACGCTGCACACTACGCACTCCTCTATCGCGGACTGCAGGGTGCTGTACATGTGCCAGCGCGACGACTTGATCGGCGAGGTGCCGGCGGCGAGCTTGTCGGCGACCTGGTTGTCGGCCGTGCCGGCGATGGCGCGGGCCTGGCGCGAGGAGAAGGCCTCCAGCGGGCGCGTGAACTGGGTCGCGTTGTTGGGGGTCATGAAGTGGCTCTTGATGACGTAGCCCATGGTCACGGCCTGCTGCGGCAGGTCCACGGGCATGCCGAAGCCTCCAATCAGCTGGAAGCAAGGTGAAGCAAGGGCTGGTTGGAGTTGTGACTTCGCTTTGCTGGTCGGTGTCTGTTATGCAGCTGAAGCGCACAGTGGGCCAAGAAAACCGGTGGCGGGTGAAAACTCTAGACGCGTTTTTAGCTCCAGAGTCGCTAAACAGGACTCGAACCGAACGTGTGACCCCACCCCCACCAATGGATTCCTCGTTCGGAAAGCAATCCATTGGTGGGGTCACACGTTCCGTTCGAGTCCCATTTAGCGGCTCTGGAGCTCAAAACGCGTCCGGGGTGTTGACCGCCTCCGGCCTCCTGACAAATCCACTGAGCAGCAGGGCGCTCACCTGGATGATGTTGTTCGACGTGAAGATGAGGTGCCTGGCATGGCGTCCGCCGGCCGACGCCGTGCCGAGGTTGACGGCGGCCACGGTCACCATTACGACGAGCGCCTGCAGCAGCGCCGGGCGGCGCGTCGCCATGTTGCCGATGGACCGCGAGGGGTTCACCATCGCGACGGAGGAGGGCAGCCTAGACTGGACGCCGCGCGACTCGAACGGACCGCCGGCCGTGGGCAGACAGTGCTCGCGACGACGCCCCGCCTCCCCCGCCTAGCTCCGCCCCTCCGGGCCCCTCCCGCACTACACCGCTAGAAGCGGCGGCCGGACTCGGCCAGGCAGGCAGGCTAGGCGACGAGGAAAGCGTTCCGCAGTGGGCCAGAAGACCGGTGGAGGCGGACAAAACTCTAGACGCGTTTTGAGCTCCAGAGTCGCCAAATGGGACTCGAACCGAACGTGTGACCCCACCAATGGATTGCTCTCCGAACGAGGAATCCATTGGTGGGGTCATACGTTTGGTTCGAGGCCTGTTTGGTGACTCTAGAGCTCAAAACGCGTCTAGAGTTTTGGCCGCCTTCACCGGTCTTCTGGCCTACTGTGCGTTCCCTTCCCCGGGCCGGTTGCCGCGTTGCCGGCCGGCGAACCCGAGTCCCGCACACGGCCTCGTCGTCATCGTCCTCGTCGTCTTCATCATCGACCTCGTGCGCTGCCAGCTGCGTCGCGGCGGCAGGCGGCAAGTCGCGCTGGCAGCAGCAAAGCAGCGGCAAATTTCGGCCATTGGTATAAAGCCTAGAAGACCGTAAGGCAGATCGGCGACGTGCTAAGCGGCGCGGTTAGCACCCAGCGCCGAGTACTGTTATTGGGGAACGCGGGGGCGGGGTGGGGTGGACTCCCGGCTGTACTGGCAGTGTCTACGTAAATGGTTCAAAAGGATAAAGGAAGGTGATTAACTTTAAAAAATAAAATTTGGAAAACGCCTTTAAAAATATATCACCTCCAGTACACTGGACTACCGTATGAAAGCATGCACTTGCGAGCAGTTAGTACCGAGTGACGGCAAAATAAGATATTCGAATTCGGCTCGAACCAGGGACTTCAGTGAAACTGGCAGATTAGATAATCATTGCAGCCTCCCTCCCCCATTTTAAAAAATTGTACCGTGTGGGGAAGACTTCGTGATTGCGCTTCGCATCAAGTCGTAAAACGTTTGCAAGCCTGACACCTTAGGATCCAAACCAATCAGAAAGTATTTTTGGCGGAGAGTTGGCTGTAGGCAGCTTACCTCCTTTATTCGCAACCTCACATGATGAAAATGAATTTTGTGTCTCACAACTGCCACAACAATGAAATAACCAGACCAGTTACAGTTTTAAATGTTTATTTAGCTTATTTTACAAATCCTTAAGAAGATACAACAATCAAACATCACAACAAAAAAGAGACTTCGAAAAATACATCGCGTCAAGTGGAAATGAAATCAAGCGAACACAGCAGCTATGCAACCTCCACCGACGCCACCAAGAGCGAGAAGTTGGTGCTGTGACTGCTGCACGGTACGTGCTTTCCACCGAGCGAGGCACATTTCGGCTGCACCCTTGCTCCTCCAAGCCAGCCGAGCAGTGGGACAGTCACACTGTCGCCAAAGTCGAACTCGTGCAAGTAGAAATTGAGCTGGATTGAGCTGTCAGTAGTACGACATGACGCGCGTGAACAAGTCCAGGGCGGAGGTGGCGCAGCCGCGGAACGTCCTGGCGCACGCGTCGACGGGGTCCTCGGCCGACCTGGCCTGCCTGCCGACCGCCTCCGCCGCGTGGAACTCGGCGTCCTGGCGCTGCCGCATTGGGTCGCTGGTGGTGGACGGCCTGCGGACAGTGAAACAGTTAGAGACGGTGCTCTTCTGGGTCGTGGTAGCGTTGAAGACCGCAGTGGAGGCGGCCAAACCTCGAATGACCCCACCAATGGACTCCTTGTTCGTGCAGCAATCCATTGGTGGGGTCACACGTTCGCGGTTCGAGTCCCATTTAGCGACTCTGGAGCTCAAAACCCGCCTTGGATTTTGAACGCCTCCCACTGTAAAACCAAACGTGGACAACTCTACATTTGAAATGCGGAGGTGTGGAATTTTCAGTCTCCAAGTGGAGACTTACTCCACGCCAGGAAGTGTGGACTTGCCCACGTTTGGTTTCACAGTGACCCACGTTGCAGCCGCCGCTTACGTGAGCAGGACGTGCAGCAGCTCCCCCAGCAGCCCGTCGTGCCTGACGGTGAAGGCCGCCGCCTCGCAGACCGCCCTCAGCAAGCACTGCCGCCCGCTGCCCGCGCCGCCGCCCAGCCTGGAAACGCGTTCGACCTCAAGGAGCGCCCGGCCCAGTGCAGCGAGTTGCCTTTGTCACTTCGTGACGCGAGACTCACTGCTCCAGCGTGCCCTGCAGGGCGGTGTACAGGTCCCAGCGGCTGGCCAGGTGCTCGGTGAGGCCGCCGGCGTCCGGGGCGTTGGCGGCGGCCCGCGCGCTGCGGCTGGAGAAGTACTCCTGGGGCCGCGTGTACATGGTGGCGTTGGACGGCGTCCGGTAGTTGCTCTTGAGGATGAAGCCCGTGGTGACGGCCTGGTGTGGCAGCTGCAGCGGGATACCCACGCCCATCTGGATCTGGGGGAACATCGGGGAGCGACGGCGGCGTGGTGATGACCGCACGCACGGCGAACAACGCACAGCACAGTGGGCCAGAAGACCGGTGCAGGTGGCCAAAACTCTAGACGCATTTTGAGCTCCAGAGTCGCTAAACAGGAATCGACCCGAACGTGTGACCCTGCCAATGGATTCCTCATTCAAAGGGCAATCCGTGGGGTCACACGTTCGATTTGAGTTATCAGCGACTCTGGGCCTTAAAACGCGTCCGGAATTTTGACCGCCTCCAACGGTCTTCTGGCCCACTGTGCAGCGCCCTCCTTCAGACCGTCTACCTGCACTTTGTTGCCTGCGGGGTAGAAGACGAGGTTCCTGGCGTGGCGGCCCGACGCGTCCACGACGCCCAGGTTGGCCACGCCGAGGACGGCCAGCACGGCCAGCGCGGCGTGCTGCTGCCAGGCCGGCGGAGCCTTTGGCGGAGCCGCCATCACTACTCTAGTGCTCCAGTGCTCTCGCAGTGCGCGTGGGAGTGCACCGTAAGGGCCGGCAGGTGGATGCCGAGCCGCGCTTCCGTCGCTCTGTCTCTCTCGCACCCATGGGGCGGTCCGCAGGGGTGCGAGAGAGACAGAGGCGGCGCACTGTTCGTCTTCGGACTGCGGGCACAGTTAAGAGCAAGGACCGTGGGTCATTAACACCCTCCTCCGACCCGCTGTCCCGGCCACGGCCATTCGGACCGGCTTCCTCACACGGTGATGTGCTCTTCGCGGACGACCATGGCGCGGCGCGAGCGAGGGCGTGAGCGTTCGGCGGGGTGGTGGTGAGTAGCGCCTTCATGTTCGAACAAACGCACTGCCGCCACGCAGGGACGGCCTTGTTGAACGCGGCCTGCAGACTGGTGCCGAGAGTCTCTCCCGCACTCATGGGGCGCCCCGCAAGGGTGCGAGAGAGACAGAGCGAGAAGCGGCGCTCAGTCTGCAGCTCGGCGTTGGCACGGCGTTGCAGGGCGCGGCCGGCCTCGGCGTTGGCGCTGGTCCTCCTCGCGGCCTGCGTCCCGGACACCGCCATGGCGGCCAGCTTCGTGGCGCCGCCCACGCACGTCGGCTACAGCCAGTTCCTGCTCTTCCCGCAGAGCAGCTCGTCCATGGGGGTAAGTGCAGGCAGACAGACAGGCGGACAGGCGGACGGCGAGGCGGTCGGACGCCAACACAAAAGCAAACTCCAGCCGGGCGAGGGAAGGGGGAGGGGCACCCGCCCCGCTATGGCATAGTGAGGGCATAGCGAAGCACGGTGGAGCCAAAATAAACCCTGATGTAGTGTTGCGCCCGTGGCGGCGGAGGAGGGGTGGAGGGTGCAGGGGGCGGGCATTACAGCCAATGCAGCAGCGGGGGCTAACAATAGACAGCCACCCCCACCCCTGGAAATCCAGACCGCCGCCCTGCCCGCTCAGCCCCCCCTAGAGGCCCCCCGTGTCTCCTGGCTGGGAAGGAAGGAGGCCTGGCGGGCCTGGCGGCGTGTGCAACCCCGCGAAGGCCACCCTGTTGATGGCCAAGGAGACCGCCAGGACGGTGAATGGACACAACAGCCATCGAACCGGTATTTGACCCCCGACCCTGACCCCCGACCGGCCCACCTGGCCGTGTGCAGACTTGCGGCCTCCAGAGTCAACGCCGGCGCCTCACTGTGAAACACTGAGCGCAAGGATTGGCCGGAGTTTTCCGGACTCTAATTTCGTTTAGCTGGAAAGCAACGCGGACTGAGCGAGGGTCCGCTCCGTGCACAATCAGTAGAAGTCTGCTCGTGAGGCAATTACCGGAGTCTCCGAGTCGGAGTCGACTGCGAGTGCACAACCAGTGTGTCATTTCGCCGAGTCTACTTTTAGCGCCCCGCCGAGCTTTTATTGGGGCTTGCCACGGCTTGCCACGGCTTGCCACGGCCAAGCTAGAGGCCGAGCCAGGCCGGCGAGGGCCTCGCCTCGCCTCGTCGCGGCATCGCATCGGGCTTCGCGGGTGCGAAGAGAAAACTTTTGCCTGTCCCTTTTTATTCCATTATTTATTTTCATTAAAATGTGGCATCCAGGGGCCTGCAAAGCGTAGACGAGCACGCGAAAACTGGCCTGGCGGGGCGGGGCGGGGCGGGGCGGGGCGGGGCGGGGCGGGGCGGGGCGGGGCGGACTGCAGGCGGAACGCCCCCAATTGCCGCAAAGGTGGCAATGCCGCAGTAACGCCGGTGCCGGCACTGTAACGCAAGGTGGCGAGAATGCTGCGACTAGCTGCAACCCACAAGCTGGTCTCTGGTCTCGGCCGGCGAAGCGATCAAATCGGAGCGGAATGCGGGTTCGAACCTCCGTCCCTCCTCGGCCACGCTACGCAACGCGTGTTCCGTGTTCGGAACGATGCATCAAAACTTTCCTTTCCCTCGGCGGTCGCGCTGCAGCAGCATTCCGAAGCATCGCTTCGTCTCTCTGTCTCACTCGCACTCACGGGGCGTGCCGTAGCGGGTGCGAGAGAGACAGAGCACTGGTTCGGAGTCAGCCGAGCCGGGGAGGAAGCCATTCTTTTTAACAAGCTCCGACCGACCCCTGCTGTAGATGTTCCTGGCGCTGTCCGTGCCCCTGGATTCGATCCACCACGACGTCAGCTTGGCGTACAACTTCGAGGCCAACTACGCCCTGCCCTCCAACGCGACCGAGCTCACGGAGCTGGAGGCGCAGTACGGCTTCAAGCGGTCCCTGGAGGGTGCGGCGGCCGCGGGCGAAGCCAAAGCCGAGTCTTCGGAACGCACCACGCGGTCCCTCCGCGACCTGGGCCGCGCCGACTTCTACGCCATGATCGTGGGGAGCATGGCCAGGTAGCGAAGTATCTCTTGTGTTTGCTTTGTGTTTATTTTCTTCTTCTTGTTGTTGGTTTGACTTGGAACGATATTTGCAGAGCGGGGCTGCCCGGGAGGACGTGCCTGCTGCGCGCCGTGTGCGAGGCGTCTGAGTGGCCCATGGCGGAGGGGCTGCTCGGCAACCTGCTCACCGTCCTGCTCACGTTAGTGCCATCGACTAATCGACGAATCGTCTTATTGACTTATCGATTAAACGACTAATCGACTTATTGACTAATCGATTAATTGACTAATTGACTAATCGACTAATCGGCTAATTGACTAATCGACTAATTGACTAATTGACTAATCGACTAATTGACTAATCGACTAATCGACCAATTGACTAATTGATTAATCGGCTAATTGACTAATCGACTTATCAACTATTGGCGGTTCGAGAGATCTGTTTCTTGAAAACTCGGTTTCTCTCGGCAGGCCGTCCACCTCCGCCGACGAGGACCTGCATCCGGCCTTCCACGCCGCGGAGCGACGCGGCCGACGCGGCGCCGACTGCGGCGTCCACTACAAGGGCTGCCCGACCAGCCTCCTGGGCCTCCTCACCGAACAATGAACGACAAACGAAACAAAACAGCAAAAAAAACTCGAAATAAACAGTAAATAAAGAACGGTGCTGTTCGATATTCCATTTTCCCCTACTGACCGTGTGACAGCGTGCACTATTGAAGGGTGCGCCACCCCACCCCGCCCCGCCCCGCGAGTCGCTCATTTGCAGCCCCCTCCCCTCCCCCTCCCCCGGGGACACCGCTCTGCCCCCTCCAGCCCCTCCAGCCCGCCGCCACCGCCCCCGCCGCGCCGGCCTGGGCCCCGGGCCCCGGGCTGTGTGCACACTGTGTGCCGAATGAGTCCCCGCCGGGATGTCGCCGCGGTCGGCCGGACGGAGCGCCGCGTGCAGGACCCAGTGTAGGGCCCCGTCGAGGACAAGCGGGCCGTCCGCAGCCTCAGACCGAAGTCCCCGCAGCGCTGGCCGCGCTGGCCGCCCGCTCCCCTACACTGGCACTCGCCGCGCTCGCCGCCGCCACGGCCCCGCACCACGCGCACTACGCGCACGAGGTAAGGGGGCGTCCACAAATGACGTAACACCGAACGCGTCAGAATCATGTCACTCTAGCTCTGTCCCAATCCTAGGGAGGGAAAGAAACAGAGCCAGACCATAGGTGATTTCGTTGCAGCCAGCGTCACGTTATTAGTGGGCGCGGCGTGAATATCGCGGCACCGCCTTCGGGGCCTTGAGACAAGACGACAACATGGCCTGATACGACGGAAGCTAAATGTCACTGTTCGCTTTATGTCGTCCGCGGGGAAGCGAGCAGACGTCGCGTCGCCATGGTGCGGGGCAGGCTGGCAGGGCAGGCTGGCAGGGCAGGCAGGCGGGCAGTCGCGGCCATGTGGAGGAAGACGGCGTGGAGGGGCGGGGGAGGGGCGCCACAGGTGACTACGCCACTACAGGCCGAGCTCAAGAAACACACGAGTATCGGGATTGGGGGAGGGGGATCTTGCCTTCCGCCCTTTTGCATTGATCGACCATATTTGTGTGTCGTAAATTAGCCCGGCTAGACCGGCGAGGGACGCCCGGTCGCCCGGTGCACGCGGTGCGTCGCGTTTACCGCGCTATCACCGTCCCCCATCTCGTCGTCGACATCGTCGTCCCCTCCCCTGCCGCCTGATTCCGAACACTGCTTCGTCACTCTGTCTCTCTCGAACCCCTACGGACCGCCCCATGAGTGCGAGAGAGACAGAGCGACGAAAGCAGTGCTCGGAATCAGACGGCTGCCTTGCCCTCCCCGCCGAGACGTCCAAAACGTGCGGCGTAGACCCGAACTCGAGGAACCAACCCTTCGACTGTGAGTCAGCATCGAAATGAACGCTGACACAGGTCCAGTGGGTTGATGCCGAACAGAGCTTCGGCGCTCCGTCTCTCTCGCACCTGCACCAAACGCACGTGAGTGCGAGAGAGACGGGGCGACGAAAACGCCGCTGTGCACGCATCAGCGGCATCAGCGTAAAGGCGGTCCCGACGCGGCGAGGTGCCATTGTCGGCCCCCGCCCGGTAACAGTGTGCTGGCGGTGCCGGCCACCTCCTCCACGGCCACCTACTCCACGGCGGCCTCGGTGTCCCAGCCATGCAGCACGCGCAGCGCTCGGCGGCGACCTCGGCCTGGCCGGGCGAGCAGCACTGAGAGCCGCACGGCCTCGCGCAGGACCGCCCTGAGCGCGCCGAGCGCGCCGAGCGCCCGCGCATTGCCGGGTAGGCAACCAAAGCAGCGCGCCGTACGCCGGGACAGTCCACCGCGCACGGCGGGGCAGCGCAGGGCCGTGCCACCACACGCAGTGTTGCTACACCAGTACGCAAACATACTGAGTGCCGCTAGGGTTGCCAACCCCAGCCTGCCTGCGAGGCACTAGGCAACCTCTCGAGAGCAACGCACGGCTATTGCCTCGCCGCAGGCAGGCTGGGGTTGGCAACCCTTGCGGCGCTGGTGCCAGAGCATCGTGGTACGTAGAGGGAGTTTTCGTCTAATGTGGCAACACTGACCACAGGCTAGCAAAAAACCGCAAAAACACTCCCCTGCAACGCGTTGTCGTCTTGGAGGGCTGGCGAATGGATTCGGCAGGCTGTGCTGCTCGCTCAGCGTGCTTTTAAGATCCCCCCTCCCTCCGAAACCACGTGCCCGCGCCACACTACGCGCATGATGGCAAGAAAATAAATCCCGCGTTCGTGAAACAGCGCAGAGTTTTCGCAAAGGCCGCGAGGATCGAAATCGAAACTCGAGAATCCCCGCCGGACAGTATTGTTGACAAACTCCATCCACAAGGACCGCTCGTCGGTTCGGTCCTCTCTCACATGGGAAGGCGGCCCTACCGGCACACCATAACACAAAGGCACACTTTTTCGGACACCTGCACACCCCGGGCTAAAAATTCACAGTGTTGCATTACAGGTGAGTACCGAGGCACGCACTTCTGCAAGGTTAGGGGGCACTCTGCACTCCCAGGGACGCAATGGCTCGGGCGTCTTCAAACCACTCGCCTCCAACGCATCAGACTTTCTTTGCCGCACACTCCTCTCGTTCCTTTTCGGCGGTGGAGGCGGTCAAAATTCCGAACGGGTTTTGAGCTCCAGGGTCGCTAAATGGGACTCAAACCGAACGTGTGACCCCACCAATGGATGGCTCTCCGAAAGAGGAATCCATTGGTGGGGTCACACGCTCGGTTCGAGTCTTGTTTAGCGACTCTGGAGATCAAAACGCGTCCAGAGTTTTGTCCGCCTCCAACGGTCTTCTGGCCCACTGTGTGACGCCACTCTTCTCCACGTGTGTTCTGCAGCCATGTTTTCGTGATGGTGCTGACCACGGGGCTGCTGCGGGGGCCGGGGCCGGCCGGCCAGGTCGCCGCCATGCCGGCGCAGGCCGCCGCCGCCGCGCTGACGGCGAGCCCAGAGGTGGCCGTCAGCGCGCCGCGCGACAGCAGGTCGTCGTCCTCGTCGTCGTGCGGCTCCTACAGCGACTGCGAGGAGAACGAGGACGAACCGCCAGCGGTAAGCTGCCTCCCTGCAGACTGATTCCGAGAGTCGTGGCTCTGTCTCTCTCGCACCTGAAGGAGACGCTCCATGAGTGGGAGAGAGACGGAGCGACGAGGCCTCCTCTCGGAGGCCTTCTCCTGCCTGTCGATACTCCGCGCCTGCGACCACTCAGCGCGGGGTATCGCCGCGCGGAGGGGCGTGGAGCTGAAAGCGGGTAGTCTGTCTGTCCCTCAGCGCCTCAGCCTGCGGGACGACGTCGTGGTGCAGCCGGTCGACTTCCCGCACGCCTACTGGGAGGCCAGCGGCGAGGAGGGCGAGGGCGCGGACAGCTGCGTGGACGAGGAGGACGGACTCGAGCACGCCGGCAGTGCGGCGCCGGGCGGGGCCGCCAGTGCACTGGCCAGGGGGGCGGCCGTCCCCGGACACGCCGCCGCCAAGGCCACCTCAAGTAAGCGCGGGGCGGGGACTACCCCGCGCGTCAGGGGCCGCGCCACCCGGCAATACCCCGTGCGCCGCGCGCTGCTGTAGCTTCCCTTGATTACACTGTGTCGTCGTTGGTTTCGCCCTGTAGAAGTGTAAGGCACCTAGCTCGTAGTAACAGTGTACCCGTAGTACAGCACCTGGCTTGCAGGGTCGTCCTGGGTGGCATCCGTCCTCAGCAGAATCCTGCGCCCCTTTAAGTGGCGGTCCACTTCCGGTAAGGACTCCTCCACCCCGACGCCTAGGACCGGTCTGGTCACATCTCGAATGCTTCCCTTAGCTGGGTACAAGGTTTGGATGCGTTATGCGTCCTGCACTTACAGTGAAATTGCTGTATTTTTGTTCGTTCACATTATTTACGGCGCTAGATCACGTGAGAACGGGGTCCCCGATTTCGTTAAAAAAGTTGTCTATCACCCACCATGGAGTGTAAAGACTAAACCCCAGTTCAAAGGATTCCAGTAGATACCCGATCTAAGTTCCTTTGGCCGTCGCCAGCTGAAAGTAGGGAGACCTGGCACCTTAAAAGCATGCATGAAGTAAAGTAGTTACACTTGTTTCCGCCCGGTAGTGCTTTATTAATTGCAAACCGTCTGCAGGTTGTCACTTTGCGCTTGTCCTTCCCCACAGGCCTGCAGCTGCACAGCCGGCCGGCCGAGCCGCCCAGGAGGGCGTCCTTCAGCGTGCTGCCCAAGGTGCAGCAGGCCGCCCCCGCCGCCCCCGCCGCCCCCGCCGCCCCCACCGCCCCCGCCAGCAACGGGCCGGAACGGAGAGCGCCCTGGAAAAAACGCGAGCCGGCGCTGCAGAGCAAGAAGAAGCGACGCCGGCGGCGGAGGTAACGGCAGTACGGCAGTTCATTTATCGATGCGGGCGTGGCAAGGCGGCGTAGCGGCGGTAGTTTGGTTTCTTGCTTGGCCGTCCTGGAAGGCAGAAAGTGCCGCGTGCTTGTAGACGCTTGGCACGGCTTGGCACGGCTTGGCACGGCTTGGCACAGCTTGGCCTAGTGCTGGTTTGCGCAGTGTCCCGCCAGCCCCGCCCGCCAGCCAGACGCAGACGGGCGGACGCGGCGCCTCGGCGCCCGCCAGGACCACCAGGACGGTGCGGGCCGCGCGCGGCCTGGGCCATGGCCTCGGTTTCCGCCGCAAGCCGCACGTGCACGAGGAGGCCGAGGCCGAGGCGTCCGAGGCCGAGGGCGTGGCGGACAGCGGCCCGCTGGCGGCGGCCTCGGCGGCGATGGCCCCGGCTAGTGGTCTGTGCGCCTGGACTAGATCGACGTGAAGGTGGTGGGGCCGAGTCCTGACTGTCACGGTGCACAGACCACAGTGTCCAGCCCGTAGACCCCGGCCCCGTCGACGTGGAGCACTCCGAGGAGGTGGTCCCGGACACCGAGGCCACCCCGGACGCGAAGGCCACCCCTGACGCCAAGGTAGCCCCGGCCGGCGGCAGGATCAAGTCCACGGGACTGCGCTTGTGGCGGAGGTTGTCCTCGTCGCTGGCGAGGGTCAGCTCGCAACCCGTCGCCATGGCCTCGAACACGGCCTCGGAGGTGACGGCGCGGACGCGCTCCGCGGCCAGCCTGGGCGCGGCGAACAGGGAGGACCCCGACCGCGCCGACGGCAAGACGGCCGAGGCCGACCGGCCGCCGGACGCGCTGGCCGACCACGACGACGGCCTCGGCCTGGACAGCAAGACGCTGGTGACCCGCAGCGCCGACAGCAGCATGCCGGGGTCGCTGTACCACTCCACGACCACCAGCCACACGCGGCTCAGCAGCCTGGCCGAGGCCGGAGCCGAGGCCGGCGGCAGGGTGGAGCCCGCGGAGGCCGACGCCGCGGACAGGCGAGTCGAGTGGCTGGTGTGCACGTGTGCAGCACGGGCGGGGACTTGAACGGGAGAGGCGGCGTGGACATGCGACTAGCGTAGACTGGCGTAGGCGGCTGTGCCCAAGTGTGCCTGCCTGCCTGGCGGAGGCGGAGAAGAACGCCTCTCCACCGGCACATCGCGCCCCTCTCATGCAACATGATAAAATGCCCCGCCACCCGGTGCTCCGTGGCACTCCGTGGCTCCGCGGTGCTCCCTGTCGCCCTGGCCGTCAACCCCCGCGCCCCGCGTCGTTCAATATGCCGGGGGCCGTCCACAAATGCTGCCCTGTGCTGCCCCGCCAGGGAGAGGGAGGGAGGAGGCGCTCGACCGCGGAGGCATCGTGACAAAAACTGTTTACCTGTCTGTCTGTCTGTCTGTCTGTCTGTCTGTCTGTCTGTCTGTCTGTCTGTCTGTCTGTCTGTCTGTTCGCATTACCTATGCTGAACGGTTCTATTTTATGGGATATCCATTCTAAACGTTGTACTGGGTAAAAACATTAACGGCAAAAATAATTCTTAAGCTAAATTTTAAATTTTAATTTGCCTTTAGCTCGGGATTTAGTTTACACCTAATTTATCATTTCTTTCCTAGTCTGTAAAGTTCCAGTCGTTTTTTTCGAATGCATTTTTATTGTTGCAATTTTATTTTGGCGCTGTGTGCGAGCGCACATCCAACTGAAGTAGCACTTTCTCATGCTCACACGACGTTGTACGGTGTACTAGTGTGTTGAGCGTGTTTATCGTGACCTCTTAATAATCCGCCACTGCACCGCCACACCGAGCCAGGTGTGCCCCAGTGAATAGGAATCGCAGGAAGTAGTTACGGGCAACGAGCAGGAAGGGCGGGGCCAGGGGGAGGGGAGCGGAGGGGAGGGGGGAGAGGGGGAGAGAGAAGTGAGTTCTCTGTCTCAGCACTCCACCACTGCACGCGGTTTCCCGTGACTTCCACCGGCACCCTCTAGGAGCAGGGCAATAAATAATGATAAGGGGAACAACTGCAAGGGAAAAGAAGTCGCATGCGCATTTCAAATTATTCGGTGCGCTTTCTCGGCTGGAATAGCTGACAAGTTTACAATTAGCGCCTAAAAAGGGGGGAAACTGCACAACAAAAATAACACATTTTTTTTTTCGTGGTTGTGCCACTACGGTTTTGCTCGTCGGGCACGGTAATTTGGGCTCGAGAAAAGCAGCTGCCTGTGCATGCTGCCGACATGCTGACATCCCGTAGCCAAGCCGTAGGCACGCCGTGCCGTGGGCAAAGGCGTAGGCCTAGCAGTGGGAGTCAATGTTCCGCCGACGGACTAGCGGCATGGCGGCCTGGCTTGCCGTCACGCAAACTCCTGGCCGTCGTCTGCCAGCTTGACTTGCCGGCGCGTCGCCTGCCTGGCTGTGGGGCTCACTGTCCGGGCCGTGCCTCGTCTAGACGGCTCGCGCGCAGCCGGCGCAGCCCCGGCAAGGCCTACGGCACGGCCTACGGCAAGGCCTACGGCACGGCCTACGGCACGGCCTACGGCACGGCCTACGCCCCACAGCCCCACGGGTGCATGGACCCCCATCGTGGCAAGCAGGACTTGCGGTGAGTCGATGATGCACTTCCGGAAGCCTAGGGCAGCCTAGGGCGCCGTCAGCCTCGTCAGCCCTCGGGCCCGTCGCACAGTGGGCCAGAAGACCGGTGGCGGCGGCCAAAACTCTAGACGCGTTTTAAGCTCCTGAGTCGGTAAATGGGACTCGAACCGAAGGTGTGACCCCACCAATTGATTTCTCGTTCGGAGAGCAATCCATTGATGGGGTCACACGTTCGGTTCAAGGCCTGTTTAGCGACTCTGTATCTCAAAACATGTCTAGAGTTTTGGCCGCCTCTGGCCCACTGTGCGACGTGGCGGCAAGCTCAACGCCCTGGGCGGCGGCAGGAACTTGAAGAAATTCATGTCGAATTTCGCCGTACCAGACCTTAGCGAAATTTTCTGGTGTTGCTCATTCCGCGTGGTTTGCTCTCATCCTCGAGGAAACGGGCTCACCTCGTTCAACGCTCTGCCGCTCTTCTATTTGAGCGATGACTGTGCCACTGCCGGGTCCCTACAGGGGCGTGCTGGGGGGCCGCCGCGGGGGGCGGGGGGCAGGGGGCGTCGAGGGGCTGAGGGGGCGACAGAGGGCGCTCCTGAGATTGGCTGTCAGAGCCGGGCGTCGCCGATGACACGTGGGGCACGCCGGGCCTGGCCTGGGGCTGGCCTGGGGCTGGCCTGGGCCGCGGGGGCAACGGGCAACCTACCCCACCAAACAACGAGCAACGCCCCTGCCGCCCTCGCCGTCTCCATGGAGTCCACCGCCGAGGCGGTGTAACGAGTTAGGGCCCCCACCCTCCCACACGAGGGTGCTCCCCCTCCCCTCCCCCTCCCCGCCACGCATAGGCGGCGGCCGGCAGAGCGCCGCGCCCCGCCTCACTCGCGGCCGCGGCCCCACGCCCCTCGGTCCGCTGTCCGGCGCCCAGATCGCCCCGCCCAGGTCGCCGAGTCCGTGCTCGCAGTCGCCGCGGCACGTGGTCCCGGGCCACGCTTCCTCCGCCGCCGCTGCGTTTCGAGACCCTCGCCGTCATGCGTCGCCGGGCCCGGTAGTCGTCGCCGTCCCCGCCGTCCCGGTCGACGAGATGGTCGCGGCCTCCGCGGCCTCCCCGGCGCGCTCCGTGCGCCCGGCCCCGGGCTCGCGGCCCGGCAAGGACGCGCCGCGCACGCCGAGCGTGGAGCGCGCCGCGCTGCCGGACACCACCGAGGGCGTCATCGCGGAGCCGCCGCCCGAGCACGACGTGGAGGTCCAGGTCGTCCCGGTCACCGATGTCGTGCCCAGCACCGCGGCCGCCGTCGTCCCGCCAGAGTGAGTGTAGGGTGTCCAGGGTGCGCCGCAGGCGGCCGCGCCATCCGCCTGTCGCGGCCTGCTTCTTGAGGTCACCAGAGTGTAAGGTGTCCAGGTTGCGCTGCAGGCGGCCGCGCCATCCGCCGTCGCGGTCTGCTTGTTTTGGTCGCGCGCTGGAGGACGATGAACAACAGCAGCAGTCTTATGGCCGCCGCGCGACCCCTTCGCGTGCACCATCGCACCACCAGCGCCGCCAAGCCGCGCGACCGTCACACTGCTAAAAGCGGCTAGAGGCCTCCACCGCGGTGCGGCCAGCACGGCCAGCACGGCCAGCAGGGCCGTCTCGGAGTAGTCGGAGTCTAGAGTAGAGCGCACGGAGGGGATGGTGGCCCGGCGTTGTAGTTGCACCAATGTAGGCGTTGCAATTTGGAAGTTGAGATGCTGCTTTACCAGAGTAGGATTCCTCGTAGTGGTACGTTGTTGTGTTTGTACTTTGCACCAGTCGGAGACAGGCGGAGGCTCCTTTGTTGACCGCCTGTAATTTCCGTGTACTCGCGGGTACTGTGCCACGTAGTGTAGTGCCAGTAAGAAGGCATCTGTTGTGGTGTGGTAGTCCGGAAACACCACAAGATTAACGTCCCTTCCCTTCCAATGCCTCTGCGCTGCAGGCTGAGTCCGAGAGACGGTTCCGTCGCTCTGTCCCTCTCGCACTCATGGGTCGTCCCGTATAGGTGAGGGACAGGGCGACGAAAGCGACTCTCGGAATAATCAGTCTGCAGCCCTCGTCGGAAGGTCCACCAAATCGCGTCCCTTATGCAAGTCCCTTCGCTCCCGCCCCGCGCCGCCCCCTCCTCTCCCTCCCCCTCCCCTTGGCGCCTTGCGTGTGGCGCACGCCAGTTTATACCGCCGGGGCATACTATTTCTCATGCTTCGTGTGAGTGTGTTGGTGTGCCTGAGTGCATTTGTGGTGCGCGTGTGCGTGAATGTGTCTTGGTGTTCGCGCGCGCGTGTCTGTGTGTGTGTGTGTGCGCGCGTGGTCGTGAGAGGGCGTGGCTGTAAAGGGGTGAGGGGCAGGGGGTAATGGTGGTGGCAACCAGTGTAGATACGTCCACCGCAGCCAGGTGGTCAGGCGGTCAAGGATAAACTCACCATGCGCTTGGCCTGCATGACGCCGTCAGGCTACGCCAGGCGGGACACGTCTGACACACTGGCTGCCCGCCTTGGCACACGAATAGCGCTGCGTTTTCTAAACTGCAGGCACCCACGCTGGAAAAAAGGTTGTGTTTTTTCGGTGACGTTTCCCTACAATGATACGTTTCGGTGTCATACACGTTGTAGAATAAAGCTGAGACTGCCTCACTGTACTCCACATGAAAAAAAAAATTAAGCCAAAAAATTTAAGCAGAAAAATTTAGCACCGACTCTAAGAAAATGTTGATTTTTCTACGGGAATGGTGAACATGGGAAATCTGTAAAAATGTGCCTAAAAAGTTTGGAACTTCTCTGAGAAAATGATGCTACACTAGATTACAAACAGGGTAAATTTTGTTACCAGTTAGTTCCCAACTTTCATTTATTTTTGCGTGATTGTAAGTGCAGCATTTCCTGGACCGCCCGGACCGCCTAGTTGTCGAGGGCCTTTTCGCCTTTTCGGTTCGGCCGGCGCCTCGTTCGCGTGATGTAGGGTGATGTGCAGCAGGTCAGCCTTGACGTCGACGGGGAGGTTCACTGCTCGGGGGCTCGACGCCGTCCTGCGCGGGGGACCGGGGGACGGAAGGGACCTCGACGGCGAGGGTCTTGACGGCGGCCGGGGCGCGGCGGTGACTGCTTAGCATAACTTACCCGTTCGATGCCTCTGTCTGTGACCGTGTTGCTAGGCCGGCAGGGCGGGGGGAGAAATAAGAGCAGTGGGTGTTCGAACCGCGGCTTACACTAGTTGAACGGCCGGCGTTGCACAGTGGGCCAGAAGGCAGGTAGAGGCATTCAAAATTCCAGATGCGTTTCGAGCTCTAGAATCGCTAAATGGGACTCGAACCGAACGTTTGGCCCCACCAATGGATTGCTCGCCGAACGAGGAATCCATTGATGGGGTCACACGTTCGGTTCGAGTCCTGTTTAGCGACTCTGGAGCTCAAAACGCGTCTAGAGTTTTGACCGCCCCCAACGGCCTTCTGGCGAATCCACTGTGTGACGCCGTGACGCCCTGCCCCTCCCCGCAGGCCGCTGTCGCTGTGCACGGCCAACTGCCGCTACGACGTGGTGCGGCGCGTGGCCAAGAGGTTCGGCATGAAGGACGTGTCCGAGGACGAGCCCTGGAACCTGTACTGGACCGACCTGTCCATCTCGCTGGAGCGGTGCAAGGACATGAAGAGGTTTCAGGTAAACTATTTTTTTTTTGTGAGGCACGCTGCCATGGCCTCGGTCACCCCACTCTGCTTTTCTGCTACATGTGGGTCGAGAGGGCGATGAGTTGAATAATAAAGGCAATGCCCCACGTGGGGCCCAGCCGGCCCTGCCAGGCCCTGCCCCCGCCATCGATTGTGACTCATGTCTCCCCGACGCGGGGTCTTCCCAACGATCTTACAGTGCCGACCCCATTGCCTTTCCAGAAAATAAATCACTTCCCGGGGATGGCGGAGATTTGCAGGAAAGACCTGCTCGCCAGGAACCTCAACAGGATGCTCAGGCTGTTCCCCAAGGACTACAATTTCTTCCCCAAGACGTGGTGCCTGCCTGCAGAGTAAGGACTTCATTCATGACTTCATTCTTTTTTGTACTTTTCATAAGACATATTTAATCATATCCTGGTTTTTAAGAATGCTAAAGACCATTTTTTGCGTTAGTTTGGGCGATTTGAACTCGTACGCTCGCACGAGGCGAAATCGGACGTACATCCTGAAGCCCGACACCGGTTGCCAGGGCAAAGGCATCTATCTGACAAGGAGTGTCCGGGACCTCAAACCGCACACCCGCATGATCTGCCAAGTGTACATAGCAAGGGTGAGTACACCAACTAATGTGGTCAAAATGGTACCCATTTGACCACACCAGTGGTGTGGTACGTTTGGTTTTTCAGTGCTGGCGATTGTACTGCAATGGTTCTGCTTTCTTCTCGCCCACAGCCCTTCCTGGTGGACGGCTTCAAGTTCGACATGCGCGTCTACACGCTGGTGACTTCCTGTGATCCCCTTAGAGTATTTGTCTACAACGATGGCCTAGTCAGGTAATACAGGTTGGTGCTGCTACTGCTGTTCTTTCCAAGCCCAGGGCTCGAAGCCGCCGCCCCGAAATTTTAAACTCTTCACCACCATCATTGGAACGCTACAAGTCTAATATTTATGCTCACGACATTAAAACTGTGTGGCTGGTGCCGCGACTCGAGCTCTGCGACTGGATTCTGCAGGTTCGCGACGAGCTCCTACCACGAGCCCAACAGCCACAACACCGCCAACGTGTTCATGCACCTCACCAACTACGCCGTCAACAAGCACAGCCGGACCTTCATCGTGGACGAGGAGGCGGGCAGCAAAAGGCGAGGACCGGCACCCCGCACTCAAGTTTCTCTTAATTGCGTTACTTAACTGTGTTTTCGTCTGGTCTGCAGAAAAATCTCGACGCTCAACAGGTGGCTGGAGAGCAAGAACTACGACGTGGTGGACATCTGGGCGCGCATCGACGAACTCATCGTGAAGACCCTCATCGCCGCGCTGCCCGTCATCCGCCACAACTACCACGCCTGCTTCCCCGCGCACGACTTCACCTACGCCTGCTTCGAGCTCCTGGGCTTCGACGTGCTGCTCGACCACAAGCTCAAGCCCTACGTCCTGGAGGTGAGCGAAAGTCGTGCCTCGCCATGTTGTGCAATGTAAGCATGGCAGTTACCGGGCCCGAACCGGCATAAGGTCAGTTGTGGTCTAGCCTTTCAAGTCAAGCCAAGGGCCCCGGAGCGCCGTTTGGGTAGGCAACACAACGCACGGCTACGCGGCGTGTTGCCTACGTCCGACTTCGCAGGCGCTAGCAGGTGCCGCGTGGGTAGGCAACCCAGTACGCGGCTGCGCGGCGTGTTGCCTATGTCCGACTTCGCAGGCGCTAGCAGGCACCGCGTTAGCGCCGAGTGGGTAGGCAACCCAACGCGTGCCCGCTCGGCGTGTCGCCTATGTCCGACTTGCCAGGCGCTCCACGCCGACCACTTGTTGACTGGTCTTTCAAAATCCGCTCCCTGCAGGTGAACCACTCGCCCAGCTTCCACACGGACGCGCAGATCGACCGCGAGGTGAAGGAGACGCTGCTCATGGACACCTTCGGCATCCTGAACATGGGCCAGTACGACAAGCGGAAGGTGATGGAGGAGGACCGGCGGCGCGTGCGGGACCGCCTGCTGCAGAGCATCGGCCACAAGGACGGCAGCAACGGCAGCAACGCGGGGTGAGGCGGCCGTCGACGCACCACGTGACACTCTAGACGCGTTTTGAGCTCCAGAGTCGCTAAACAGGACTCGAACCGAACGTGTGACCCCACCAATGGATTCCTCGTTCGGAGAGCAATCCATTGGTGGGGTCACACGTTCGGTTCGAGTCCCATTTAGCTGCTCTGGAGTTCAAATCACGCCTAGAATTTCGGCCGCCTCCACCGGTCTTCTGGCAAATCCACTGTGGCCGTCGTTGAAAGTGCGGCGTTCCTCGCAGGTCCGACAGCAACCTGCTGTCGGAGAACAACCCCTGGAAGGCGCAGTTCGACTGGGAGGACAGCAACATGGGCAACTTCCGGCGGGTGTACCCGTTGGCGGAGGGCCAGCCCGACAAGTACGAGGCCTTCTTCAACCAGAACCAGAGCTCGCTGTTCCAGGAGACGGCCGCGTCGCGCGCGCGCGAGGAGGCCAGCAGGCAGCAGCGCGACCTGCACGAGGTGAGGGAGCGCCGCCACGCCGCCACGCAAGCGGTCGTTTCCGTCGCTCTGTCTCTGTCGCACTTACAGAACATCCTGTATAGGTGCGAGAGAGACAGAGCGACAGTGTCGAAACGGTGGCCAATCTAATCCTGCCTACAAGACCACAACTTCCTTGCCGAGATGTTGCCTCGTCGGCAGGCTGAGGTCGGCCACCCTTTGAACGCATACTGGAAATATTTGGCTTCTTGGCAACACCGGGGTGAGGAAAAGACACCTTCAACTCGCCCTCGAACTCAACTGGGCATCGGTTTGCCTGGTTTGGTGGCGCCTATTTCTCTGCAGACTGATCCCGAGAGTCGTTTTCGTCGCTCTGCGTCTCTCGCGTTCATGAGGCGTCCCGCATAGGTGCGTCAGAGACAGAGCGACGAGAACGACTCCCGGAATCAGTCTGCTGGTACTGAGTTGGGGTAAGCTAGGGCTGGTTCGCACTGTGTGACGTCATTCTTGGACACGGCGACGGCGTGGCGGCCGCAGGGGCACCGGCCGGACCAGAAAGGAGCTGTCGAGCTGGCCGAGGCCAAGAAGCAGGGCACCAAGCAGATACACCTGTGCCAGGTGGGCCCTGCTGACCCGGCGGGGGTGAACAAGGCTTACCCTGCATCTGATTCGCACACAGTGCTGCCATATGAGTGGTCCAAAATTCCCACGATGCACCAGTGTCGAACGGGTTGCCTACGTCAGTCTGCCAACAAGGCAGTGCTAGCCGCGGGGGGGGGGGGGGGGAACTCTTACGGAGCGCCTGGCGACGCTGTGCGAGAGAGACGGATAGCGCCTACCAGATGCTGTAGGGCCAACCGCTGCAACCCAAACGCGTCTGCCGGACGCAGTGCTGCCACCTGTCAGTCAAATGCTCTGCCGTGCCGTCCAGGCCAGCTCTAGTCCCCGAACGAGCCGCCTCACACCACAAGCGATCGGTGGTCGCGTGGGCAAAGGCGTCGCACGGATTGGGAGGGAGTTGACGGAATCGGGTTCGACACCCGCTTGGGTGAAAAGTTTTTCGCCGCCACCTTTCCCAGTTGGTAGCACTGAATGTGGAGTTTAATGTTTCAAGTTGGCACTACAGTATTTGGTAGGCGCTGTCTGTCTCTCTCTCACACCGTCCAGAAAAACAGCACTAAGTTCCCCCCCGCGGTGCTAGCTGGGCTTTGCTCTCGGGAACTTGTCTGCGAGGCAGGCTGGGGTTCGGGACCTTTTCGACACCGTTGCATCGTGGCACAGTGGGCCGGAAGACCGGCGCAGGCGGCCAAAATTCCAGACGCGTTTTGAGCTCCAGAGTCGCTTAATGGGAATCGAACCGAATGTGTGACTCCACCAATGGATTCCTTGTTCGGAGAGCAATCCATTGGGGGGGGGGGGGGGTCACACATTCGGTTCGAGTCCTATTTAGCGACTCTGGAGCTCAAAACGCGTCCGGGATTTTTGCCGGCTCCTCCGGTCTCCTAGCCCACTGTGCGTGGGGGTTTTCGCAGCACTGTTGGCACGCGTGGTGGTCCTGGCGGTGTTGCAGGTGAAGCAGAAGGAGGAGGAGGCGCGGCGCTCCATGACGCTGGCCCGCCGCAAGGAGTACGAGCGGCTGCGGCCAGAGTCCCCCAACACGATGGGCACGATGGGCGCGCCCACCACCGTGGCGCAGCTCAGGAGGAACAGGGCCTCCAGGACCAAGCGCGGCGCGGCGCAGGCGCAGGGCACGGCCAAGCGACCCGCCGCCAAGTGCGTGCTCAGCTCCTTCCTGCCCGAGGCCATCTCCGAGTGCGAGGAGTCCGTGAGGGCGGCGGCGCTGCAGGAGCGCAGCCAGCTCGTGCAGAGCAAGGGCATCGTGCAGCTGGTGAGTGAGGCGGCTTGTGAGGCGGCGCACAGTGGGCCAGAAGACCGGTGGAGGCGGCCAAAACTCTTGACGCGTTTTGAGCTCCATAGTCGCTGAATGGGACTCTAACCGAAAGTGTGACCCCACCAATGGGTTGCTCTCCAGACGAGGAATCCATTGGTGGAGTCACACGTTCGGTTCGAGTCCCATTCAGTGACCCTGGAGGGGTGTACATCGTTTGTCCGACCGACGTTTGTCCGACCTGCCGAAATTTGTCCGACCTCCTTTTCCCTTAAATTTTTGTCCGACCGACGTTTGTCCGATCGACGTTTGTCCGATCACTTTTCAGGGAAGAGGGAGGGGGAGAGTGGAAATATTCCACGACGTCAGTGACTGATTGGTCGTCAGGATGGACAAGTAAAATCAACACTATAAAGAAAATTTCAGCGAAAGAGGGCACCCCGGCGAACCGGCCCTCTTCCCCGCTGGCTTGGTGAGCCAGTGGTTCCCCCATCTCATCACAGGAGCAACCTCAGAGTTAAACCGCAGTGGCCCCGTCATTGGTCACGTCATCTGTGATGTGGAGGAGTCCTCTCATAGTAGGCCAGGCTGCCACCTTTCCCAGTAGTCGGGTTTCGTTCCCGGCCCCCTTCCCACTCAGGGGCCATGCTACTGGTACTCAGGAGTCTGCGTCACCCTGCCCAGCAGCGGAACCACTGGGCTATGAGAGGCACACTGGACGCCGGCCGATTTTGTATACTTGAACCGCCTTCTTGCGATGCAAGCTTGGTCAAAATATTCGATATCGTACTAGGTATCGAACCCCGGACCCCGCAGCTGGGAACCGACGCCTCTGCGCTCTCGGCCACCGAGGCCCATGTGTGACGCTGTGCGAAGGGGAGCTTTTGAAGCCGCTGGTCCGAACCGTATAGTCAGACAAAAAGAGCGGGACGCAGGTATTCGATCGCTCGATCCGCGTGTAGGATTGAAACATCTCTACACGTTCGGCCACCGCGGCTCACCGGGGGACCCGAGTGGCGCGACGGATCCAAACCGGATCGGAAAGTCACTCCCAAAATGTAAAGAATTGTCGGGAGTCGAACCCTAGCCCCTGCAGGTGCGGGTCGACGCCTCTGCGCGCTCAGCCGCCACTGATTCTGGAAAGTGAGTCACATAGGGTCCCACTGCTGGCTCCACACTGTGGCATCCCGAGGAAATCATGATCACGCGCAGGGGCTAGGGTTCGACTCCCAGCAATTCTTGACATTATAATGTCAATATATATAGGAGTGGCTTTTCCGAAGTGGTTTGGACCCGTTGCGCCACACCGCTCCCCCGGTGAGCCGCGGTGGCCGAACGTGTCGAGATGTTTCAATCCTACACGCGGATCGAGCGATCGTATACCAGCATTCCACTCTTTTTGTCTGACTACACGGTTCGGACCAGCGGCTTCAAAGGCTCTCCTTCGCACAACGTCACCCATGGGCCGTGGTGGCCGAGAGCGCAGAGGCGTCAGTTCCTGCGGGATCGGGGGTTCAATACCCAGTACAGTAGTGAATATTTTGACCAAAGCTTGCATCGCTAGCTAGGGTTCGACTCCCAACAATTCTTTACATTTTGGGAGTGGCTTTCCGATCCGGTTTGGATCCGTCGCGCCACTCGGCTCCCCCGGTGAGCCGCGGTGGCCGAACGTGTAGAGATGTTTCAATCCTACACGCGGATCGAGCGATCGAATACCTGCGTCCCGCTCTTTTTGTCTGACTATACGGTTCGGACCAGCGGCTTCAAAGGCTCCCCTTCGCACAGCGTCACACATGGGCCTCGGTGGCCGAGAGCGCAGAGGCGTCGGTTCCCAACTGCGGGGTCCGGGGTTCGATACCTAGTACGTTATCGAATATTTTGACCAAGCTTGCATCGCAAGAAGGCGGTTCAAGTATACAAAATCGGCCGGCGTCCAGTGTGCCTCTCATAGCCCAGTGGTTCCGCTGCTGGGCAGGGTGACGCAGACTCCTGAGTACCAGTAGCATGGCCCCTGAGTGGGAAGGGGGCCGGGAACGAAACCCGACTACTGGGAAAGGTGGCAGCCTGGCCTACTATGAGAGGACTCCTCCACATCACAGATGACGTGACCAATGACGGGGCCACTGCGGTTTAACTCTGAGGTTGCTCCTGTGATGAGATGGGGGAACCACTGGCTCACCAAGCCAGCGGGGAAGAGGGCCGGTTCGCCGGGGTGCCCTCTTTCGCTGAAATTTTCCTTATAGTGTTGATTTTACTTCTGTTACTCTGAATACATTTTGTGTTAAAATGTCTTTGGATTGTCCTGCATGCAGTCTTGATTGACATAGAGAGTGAGCCGCGGGTGTTTAGATCAATTGAGCGCCGAGTTGCTCTCTAGCTGCAGCCTGACCGAGTGGCGGTGTAAGTGGGTCGGACAAAACGGAGGTCGGACAAAATTTTCAGCCGATTCACGGGCAAGTGAAATTTGGACAGGTCGTACAAAGGTCGGACAAACGATGTGCACCGTGGCCGCCCCCTTTGTCCATCCTGACGACCAATCTGTCACTGACGTCGTGGAATATTTCTACTCTTCCCCTCCCTCTTTCCTGAAAAGTGATCGGACAAACGTCGGTCGGACAAACGTCGGTCGGACAAACGTCGATCGGACAAAAATTTAAGGGCAAAGGAGGTCGGACAAATTTTGGCAGGTCGGACAAACGTCGGTCGGACAAACGATGTACACCGCCTGGAGCTCAAAACACGTCTAGAATTTAGGCAGCCTCCGCCGGTCTTCTGGTCCTCTGTAGGGGTGTGAGAGAGACGGAACGACGAAAACGTGCTTACATCGCTCGCACGAAAATCCTTGCAGATCTACCAGATGCTCAAGGAGAACAAGAGCCTGTGCGCCGAGGACTTGCGGAAGTACGCCGCCCTGAACGCGGAGGCCATGCCGGCGTCCACGGCGGCGTCCACGGCGGGGGCGCGCAAGGACGAGGACCCCCACCGCCTGCCCTCGCTGCTCACGCTCATCCAGAAGACCACGGTCAGTGCCTAGCTAGTGGGGATCTTCACTCTGTCTCTCTCGCTCCTCACCGCGATGCCCTGCAAGAGCGACAGAGACAGAGCGACGAAACGATCCTTCGGAATGAGGCGAACGCCCCGTTCACCCCCACAGTGGATTTGCCAGAAGACCGGTGGAGGCGGACAAAATCCCGGACGCATTTTGAGCTCCAGAGTCGCTAAGTGGGACTCGAACCGAACGTGTGACCCCACCAACAGATAGCTCTCTAAACGAGAAATCCATTGATGGGGTCACACGCTCGGTTCGAGCCCTGCTTAGCGACTCTGGAGCTCAAAAACGCGTCTGGAGTTTTGGCCGCCTCCACCTGTCTTCTGATCCACTGTGAACCCTGTCGGTCCCGTCACAGGGACAAGCGCATGCCGAGATCAACCGCGGCAAGGGCGTCCTGGACCCGTACGGTGAGTCAAGTCGTCCGGAGCGCACCGCTGTACAGTGTACCCTCACGTTGTGTTGTCGGTGTAGTTGCCTCACCCTGCTTCATAGTTCTGTGACTGTAACGCTTCTACTTTGGCCGCAGTGATTCTGTAGAGGCGTCAAGTCTTCCCGAAGAGGATCAGTGCCGGCGCAGCTTGCCTCGCGCCTCGCGGCCCCAACTCGGCCGCTCCACCTCTTGTATTTTGTTTCAAGTTTTGGGTGTGAAAGAGTTGATAGTTCCGTAGGCGGCGTCTACTAGACACTAGACGCCCTATTTGGTGTATGCTTTCCGTAGTGTATGTTTGGTTCAATAAAGAATCGGGCTCCTTTAGTGGACTTGAACTGAAGGTGGACTTCCCTCCAGATCGTAGAAAAGCAAATGGCTAAATAAAATCCCACGTAGTGTCGCTGCTAGTCCGGACCCCCGACGGACCTTTCAATAAGCAAGAGGTAAAGAGAAACTTGAGTCCTAACGTGTAGAAGAGGTCATCTGTGCTCACCCCACTCCTGCCTTCGTCTTTGCAGAGACGCTGGTGACCGGCCTGTGTGGCCCGTGCCTCATAGCGCCGGGGCCCGGAGGCGACCCCGCACCCGCTGCAGCCGCCACCCAGCAAGGCCTGCCCCTGCCCCCCACCGCTGCCCCTGCATCTGTGCCCCTGCCCCCGCGCCCAGCGCACTGCCCTAGAACGACGGTGTCGGGTGAGTCGATTTCACCAGTGGCGTGCACAGAAATTTTTTGAGCAGCCATGCTTGATGTCTACCTTTCAAGCGGCTGGCTAGTACGATAAAGAGGGGGTCCTATACCCCCCCCCTTTCCCCCTTGCAAACGCTACTGAATTAAACTGAATTTTTTTGTGTTCTTTATTTTTGCAGGGTTGGGGATGACTTGCGGAGAGGCCCCCTTCTGGGTGCGGCCAGGGCTGCGGACAGACTTGTGGGGCTCCAACTACGTGCACATCTCCCCGCAGTGCGGCCCGCACCCCGTGTCCGTCTCGTCAGTCTCGTCCCACCAGCCCGTCGCGCCCAGGATCACCCGCTCCACGCTGGGAAGGCTCGTCTCCACCTCCTTCAAGCTGCACAACCTCGAAAAGCGGCACGCCAAGCCCCAGGCCCAACACCTCTGACTTGGGCCCAAATTCTGAGCCATTGTCAGGCTTGTCATCAAGCGTCGCCATTTTACATTGTCCCCTCTCTAAACTGACAGCACTGTCATGATTCAGACCACTTCATCCTCATCCAATGTGCCTGATAGTTTGAAAGTCTGTCTATTTGCCTTCTAACATTGCCTTTGTATGTATGTGAACTGTGACCAAGTTTTAAACATTGTGTGATAAAATTAAAGCCTGTGAAAATTTAGAAATAAACTTGTACCATAAGAGGAATACGTAAGAGAACAGTCTCACATAAGCGCCATATACATTTATTTCATTCAAACTGCCTAGAGGTAGACAGCTTGCAATAACAGGTTCACAATAGCAACTAATTACAGATAAAATCCAAGATGGTTGTAAAAGATGTCTAGGTACAGAAATCCCTGATTTGGAACATTTAATTGAAAATTTAACCCTGTGGCCTCTCAGCAGGGAGTCCCTTGTCCTTGCGGTCAATGTAAATACGCCATGCCCTGTTGGTCTCCTGATCGTCATGAGGAGTAGGAGTCGGATAAGCGACGTTGACACCCTGGAAGAAAATAGACCATGATAGCAAACAAGCAGAGGGGATTTTACAATTTGGGTTTTCCCCGCGTGTTCTAAAACGAAACTTACACATTTGGGGTCGGTTTGAATAGCCTCCTGGATTGTCATCTTCTCAGATGGCATCAACAACTCCAGTTGGGCAAGTTTATCTTCCAGCTTCTTGATAGTAGCCTTGCCGTCCTCCCTTGCCTTGGTAACTTTAGAAGCCTACAAAGAGAGAGAATAACAGAAGGAAAATAAGACACAACTTAAAACATTGAAAATCAGCACTTTAATTTTGAATAGACGATTGAAACACTAACCATTTCCTGCTCCTTCGCATTGATCGCATCGTCTACATTGCTCTTGGGGTAGGGGATCTGGATGGCCTCGTACTTCTGCTTGATAGAGTCCACAAAAGCAGCTGGGATCTTGTTCTTGTATGCGGTCCAGTCAATTGCTGGTGGCTTCTCAGGAAGTGCCGCAACCCTGAAAATCGGAGAGAGACATCAATCTTAAGTCTAGGGGAGTTCCATCGACTAGATCCAAATCTCATGCCACAATAGAAAACCAAAGGAAGACATAATGAAAGCAATGAAAAATATGCAGAAAAACAAAAAGGTTGTTTCAAAGAACAACAAAGGCGAAAGGTAAAAACTAGATATCAGATGGATTTGCAAGGTTGGAAATAACAGAGACCATAACCTAAAAGAACATGAAAAGAGGTGTCACTTGGCGTGTGACAAGTGGCATGGAATCAAAGTACCGCCAAAAGAAAAAGGCAACCGTCGTGAAAATCGTAAAGAAAATATAGTGACTGAGAAAGCAAACGTGAAAATGAGAATGGCTGGCATGAGAACAAGACGACTTCGCAGACGACCTTACCTTCTAATGAAGGTTTCGTGGGCCTTCCTGATCTTGGCGAGCTTTGCAAGCTGTTCCTCCTCTTTGGTGGGGAACCGTTCGAGGATGGAAGCCCAGTTGACTTTAGCTCCTGCGAATCGTTTTGCCATCTTGGACTACGGTGGACCGCAAGTTCACTTGAAAATGAAGAGACGACCGACGACTCCACTCCGTCTGGCCCCGGAGGTCATATGGCTGGGATCGTGCGAGTAGTGCCAGTATAGTGCGTGTAGTGCGGTCAGATTGGTTTATTTCAGGCTTCATTTAGAAAAGGAATCTTTGAAATCGAATTTCTGGAGAAACGCTTTATTCCTTTCAGCATTCTTGAGCTCAAATTCTTGAATTTGCCATTGTGAATGTCCTACAAAATATAAGATTTATGTTGGCTGCCTCCCAATAATGACTCACTGCACTGAACAGTATTTGCAGACATGGTGGCATTTCATTATCCTTTCAAAAATCAACCTCTGAACTTTAATTTTAATGCCTTTTACGTTCAGACATGGATGTAACTTGCCGAATTTAGCGTACATCTGAGTATCAATGACCTTAATTTTTCCAATTAAGTTTTAAAACGCGTTTGCTCACTGTGTGTATAAAAAGTCAATGGACTAACTCAGCACTGAGACAGGTTAGTTTCAAGTAAAAATAATATGTTTTAACTTAGTTTACATGGAATGTCACCCATTAAAACTGTTTTCTTTACATTCAGACATGTTATAAGTTTTATTATTTTGCTTAAGCCAATGTTGAGAATACAACACTGCTTGATTTTAGGTGCAGCATTGCTGACACATTCAGTGTACGACTCAATTTGTTACAATGGATTACTTTATTGAGGGTCTTGCACTGGGCTTCGACGCAATTGCATTTGGATTAGTCTACCACTCATACAGATTCAAAAAGTCCGCCATCAAGTCAATCGAAGTAAGTAGCCTGGTGTAATAGCTTACCAATTGTTATTTCATATTTTTTCTTCAAAGAATCTACAATAGTCAGCCTAATCCCTCTTCTTTTTGCTTTCCCACAGAATGTCCAGTTCGTTGAGGTTGATCAGAAACTCGTTGATCATGTTGCCAGTGAACCTAGCAAGAAGTTAGATTATGTTGTTGTACGAGGCAAAGTGATAGCTTTAAGTAGTCCAATACGCAGTATTAATGCATGGAATACCTATGGTGTTGTCCAGAAGTTAACCACCAGAGAACACCTAGTTACTCGACACAATTTTGTTGGATTTTGGTATAATTTGTTCATCCTTCGTTTTCAGATTCTCAGTCATTAACATATGATGGTTGCTACAAATTTTTCTTTTTATTTAGGAGTGAACGTGAAAGAACTATCCAAGAGGTTTACAATTCAATTCCATTTGCTCTCCGGAGTGGAAGTGTTGATATTGAGGTAGCAGATGCCCTCTCTGCCCATTGCTTAGACCTTGAAACAATTTCTGATGTGTATGAGCCGATTTCAATAAGTTTATGGGACTATATTTGGGGTATGTCTGACTACTTTATTCAGGTTACTTACTCCTAGAATTTTTTTATGCATCTATGAGTTGCTACATGTTACCATACTTTTATTTTATGTTTTCTGTTAAAGGTTTTTTTACTGGTATTAGACCACAAGGGTTGCAGAAGACAGAGGAAATGGTAAGAGAGGGTGTTCTTCTTACCGGTATTGGAGAACTTGCCCTATCAGAAGACAAGGCTACATTGAGATTACAGCCCTCTCAAGATGGGTTACCATTCTTTCTGACATCCCTGCCCCTTAATACTCTCACAAAGAGACTGGAAGGTGAAAAACAGACTCTAAAGTAAGTTTGATTTTTCTAGTTGTGATACTGTATTTCATTTTAAAGCAAAGTAAAAGATCAATTTTAAACCTCTGTTACAGGTATTTGAGTATTGTTTTTGGAATCATAGGTGTAGGAATAATGGGTATGATGGCACATCGCTGGTATAGAAATAGGTTGGCTAAAAAATTAGAAGAGGAAGAGCACCTCAGGTTGGAAAAGGCTCGTAAGGAAAGAAGGCAACGAGCTCGATCTAACAACCATGAATATTCAGACAATGAACTCTGTGTCGTGTGTAGAGAGAATCCCAAGGAAATTATACTCCTTCCCTGTGGTCATGTGTGCATATGTGAGGACTGCAGTAATGATGTTACTAATCTCTGTCCCGTATGTCGAGCTGAAATTCTATCTCGAAACCCTGCATACATTTCTTAAATCTGGGTCTTGTTGATTGTTTTAAAATGTTATCTTTTGATTGAGGAACCAAACTATTTGAGCTCTTAGAGAAATGAGAGAAATGTTTAGATTCCTTCAAATTTTAATTATGTTGCACCCTTATTTTTAAAAGATTCTTTATGGGGTTTTATACTATTAATCTACATAGGCAGTGGCGGATTTAGGATTTATTTGACTTATCTTTTTATAATCCAGTTTGTTTTTTGTTTGTAAAATGTGTCAGTTGTATGTAGATAAAGTTACACCTTCAATTGCCAATAAAAAAATCATCTTCAGCATGTTAAAACTAAAAATCACAGATAACTTTTTCTTTTTTCTCAGCATCTTGTTGATCCCGTGCACGATTGGCCAAGCTTGACTTCCCAATTCCAAGTTTAGGTAAACCGCGATTAAGTCCTTCTAAAAGAACACAGGCTTTGCAGAGCTCTTGAGATGATACAGATCCACACCTTGAGCATTGAGTACGAACTGGTAATTTAACATTGTCCTTCACTTGCAGACTTTCACCTGAGGCCAAAATAACAAACTTTCTCTATAATGAGATGTAACTGGGAGTTAAAGAGGAAATTATCATTATTAAATGTATGTACCTGAGTGGATAATGTCCATTATCACAGAAGGACGAATCTTCTCTAGATCCTTGAGAAATGCTCTTGCATGACCTCTGTATGCGTTTGGAGCAAATACACACTCTGTGCTGAAGTAGACAAGTCTCTTAAAATAGGCATACATCACTATTTCTTTTTCATAAGTGTACTTCAATGGCTTTACTCGAGGTATTGTGCCTTCGGTCTCACTTTCCTGAGAACAGAAAAGTCCATTTCCAGTGACAGTTTCAGAGAACAACAAAAGCAAACGAACTCTTTAATGTTATACATACTGTAATTATGGATGTGCATCGCTGCAGGCGAGCAATATCACCTCGGAGAATATTCATCAAAACAGTTTCAGCTAAATCATCAGCATTGTGCCCTGTTGCAACACAATTCACTCCAAGCTGTGTTGCACCCTTATCCAGTGCCTGTCTTCTGAATACACCACAAAAAGTGCAGTTATTTTTCCTCCCAATCTATACAAGAGACAAACACATTATTAAACTGTTCAAATTTTTAATTATTAGATAAAATAACCTGAGACGAAATTACCTGAGCAACTATGGCATCCATGGTCCATCCAAACAATTCCTCATAAGAGAGAATCTTCAGGGGCATTTGGTAGTCATCTCTATTCTGTTTGACAGTTTCCAAACTATCGTCTCTGTAACCTGTTGATGTCAAACAGTAAAGTTAGTGCTCGATTTAAAAAACTGTGTCAACACAATACACTATGAAAAGGGCAATTTTATACCTGTAATGCCTTCATCAATTGAGAGTAGAACTAAATTCAACCCATAGTCATGCCTCTCGTTGAGCACTTTCAAGACATATGCTAGCACTGTTGAGTCTTTGCCGCCAGATGCAGCTACAGCAACAGTGTCGCCTCTCTTGAAAAGATTTCCGCTGATTATGGTGCTGTGGACCTCAGTTTCAAATGCCCAGAAGAAGCAGTCCTTACATAGAGCATCTCCTGTTTTGGGGCGCTGAAAGAAAGCACAGGAGAATGGTTGGGCGTCACAACTCAAGCCTTCAAACCTAGCAATAAGCCGATAAACATAATAAAAAGCATAAAAGCAGAAACAACCTTAATTTGGTTACCTTCAATATAGCATTTTTACCACACTTCGAGCTACAGAGAACTGGCATGGTGCAGAACAAAAATATCCAAATCTTTTCTTAACGTCTCTGGAGTTAAAAAGCAATGACACTGTCAGGCAAATATGTAAAAAAACATCACATTTGATGTTTATGTCATTTCAACACATGGCTTCGGCAGCAAAAATGAATCACAGTCCTGTGGTGTGAATAGTGACTCTCTTCGCACGGCACGTATTTGCTTTTGTTTACTTCTTCAGCCCAAGAAGTGCATGACTTTGTTTGGTTAGGTCTTCTGCCGCTTCAGCAATGATTCCAACACCTAGCCCTTCGTACGAAGTCGGAGACACTGTATTGCCCGGTGACGATGTCACTGCTGCCGTGCGAAGTGGCGCCGCTCAAAAAATAGTACTCGGCCCAGGACTGCGGCGCGAGGGTGGCCAAGTGGTGGCCAGCAGGTCCGGTGTGCTGAGGATGCCCAAGAATAATGTGTTTGTTGTGGAAGCATACCAGAAGCGGTACATCCCTGTCAAAGACGAGCATGTCGTGGGCGTGGTGACGAATGCTGGCAGTGACATTTTCAGAGTTGACATTGGTGCCAGTGTGTCCGCATCCTTGTCGTATCTAGACTTCGAACATGCCACCAAGAAAAACCGACCCAACATTCAGGTCTGTTGATTTCTCCGCAACTTTATTGCGGAGAAATAAAGGAAAATAAACCTCTGTCTGTTTTTAATATTAAATACACTGTTTTGAGTATAATCCCATCGTTTAATGGAAAGTCTTTACATTTTCGTTTGTGCAGGTTGGAGATGTTGTATATGCCAAGCTTTCTACAGCTGGACGTGACATGGAACCAGAATTGGTTTGTGTTGATTCTCATGGCAAAGCTAACAAATTAGGAAAGTTGGAAGAGGGTTTTCTTATTACATGTAGTTTAAACTTAATCCATAAACTCCTATCTGTTAATTGCCCCCTGTTGCAAGCGTTGGGGCAAAAGTGGCCCTATGAATGTGCTTTAGGTATGAATGGCAAAGTATGGATTAAGGCCAGGACTACCAAAGAAACGATTGCTATTGCTAATGCTATCTATGAGTCAGAACACTTGGACAATAGCCAAATTAAACAAATGTGTATAAATTTAGGAGTTATTGTCGACTCTATGTAATGGCACACCTGCCATATGCTCTAACATTATTTTTAATCCACACTCATCATGAAATTTGTATACTTGTGTACTTTCAAACCTATTTTAATGTAATGAACAAAAAGACTTTCGTAAATAAAAACATGTTAACAGGACCATGTAATGGACAACAAATATCATTATTTTCCCTCATCAGCTCCTTGCTTATCAGCATGTTATCACACACACTGGAGCCCCACATCCCCTTTCCGAAGGGGTAAGTATAGGGCTACATACCAACGCCCGACAGTAGAGCCTGATTCTGAGAGTCATTTTCGTCGCCCTGTATGCGGCGACCCGTAGAGGTGCAAGACCGATTGGGAGAGAGGCCCGTTACATTGCCCCTTTAGGCCTCTAAGGTAAATGACTCTCGGGGTTGCCTAGCCCCTACGTCGCTTAGAGCCCTACATCTCCGTAGGAAGGAATGTGGGGCTCTAACGTCGCTTCGCTCATGTGCTTTCGGCTTTCGGAGAGTGTCTCCGGGCCTTGACAATGGGAGTAACAGAGAAGGGGGCAGCTTCGTCTAAGGCTCCACTTCGCGCGTAAGAGCGAGAGGTGAGTTTCGGACACAGCATCTAAACCGTTCAAAGTAGAGGAGTATAACGAGCATGTCGGTTGTACCTGGAACAGAGACCTGCAATCGGCTCGCTCACTGGAACCCTCTGACTTGAATGGTAGGAGCTGTTGGGCGGGCGGTGTCACGGGTCTGTGGGTCTGTGGCCGAGCGCCGTGCTGATAGGCAACCCAAGGGGCTGGGCGTCCAAAAGGTTGCCTACCCTGCAGTCTGCAGGCGCTCCGCAGAGCTTGAACTTGAGAGGCTGGGCCACAACTGATCCTATGCCGTTCGGGCCCGGTAACTGCCATGCTTGCGTTGCACAACATGACATACCGTCCGTACAAAGAGCAGGAACCTTTACCTCGGCGGCCGGGGTCATATGCCACACCGCACCGTTCGGAGTGGGGTCACACGTTCTGTTTGAGTCCCATTCAGCGACTCTGGAGCTCAAAACGCGTCAAGAATTTTTGCCACCTCCACCGGTTTTCTGGCCCACTGTGCTGTGCACCTTGCACCAGTCCCTCACGGCGACTCATCTGAACCCTTGCCCCCTTGCTCGCCCCGCCGAGCGATTCTGAGGGCTCGTTCCGTCGCCGTCACTGTCGCCCTCGTGGGGCGTCCCGTAGGAGTGCGAGAGAGGCAGAGCGACAACGCCCGTCAACGCCAACCAACGGTGGTGCGGTGGGCCGTCTCCGTGCTTGCTTGCAGGTGTGAAGGGTGTGTGGCACACTGTGTACCGCATGCGGTGCGCGCCTAATGCCGCGGCCTGACAGCGGCGACCCAGTTTGGGGACCCAGTTTGGGCTCAGCTGCTTCACGCACGCACATGTGCGCCCCGCGCCGATCGCAGTTGCCTCCCAGCCGGCCGCCGCCCTGGCGAGGCGCGGTGCGCGCTGGCCTTCCCCTTCCGTGCCACGGTCAAGCCACATGTTGAGCACGCTTGGAGCGTCGCGCTCGTCGCGCTCATGCCACCGTCCTCCTCCAGCGGGAGCGACAGAGACAACAAAGGAAGCAGGTCGGGAGGACAAGCACGACAAGCAGTGGCTGTTGACGTTGCTAGGCACCTGTTTCGTCGATACCCCAGCCCCCTTGCCCCCCGGGCTGCGGCCTTCCCTGCCGCGCCCCCTCCAGAGGCGCCCCCCGCCCCCGGCTGCACCCTGACCGCCCCCCCCGGACCCCGGGCCCAGAGACCTAGAGGCCCCCGGGCCAGCCCTACCCCGCCCGCCCACGCAGCGTTCGCGGCGTCTTCGAGTCGCACAGGTCAGGTCAGGTCAGTGGCGCAGGCGAGCGCCCCAGACGCACGCGGCACTGGCAGTCGTCGAGTGTCAGAGGCGCGCTCGCGGTGGTGAAGGTCCAGCAGATTGACTCCGAGAGTCATCTTCGTCGCTCTGCCTCTCTCGCACTCGTAGGGCGTCCCGTGTGGATGCGAGAGAACCACACGGCAAAACCAACGTCCGGGTTTCCCAGGCGCACCCTGAAAAAACAGAGCATTTTTTTCCAGGGTGCGCCTGCAGAACGACTCTCGGAATCAGTCTGCAGCGGACAGCGTGTCTTCAGTCCGTCGCTTTGCCCGGCTTTGCCGTTGTCCGAACTCGGGCCCCTGCCCCGCTCTGGTTGCAGTGACCCCGTGAGGCAGTGACTGGCAGTGACCATGCCGACATCCTCGACGCACTGGTCGTACGAGCAGCTGCACCTGCCGAGGGTGGTGCCCGCCTTCTCGCCGCAGGCCCTGCAGCACAACGTGCGCATCCAGGAGCCGCCGCGCGTGCACTGCGTCCGGCCGCGGCCCCTGGCCAGGCCCACGCTCTTCCGCAAGTACTACGAGCGCGGCGACTTCCCCATCGCGCTGCAGTTCGACGCCTCGTCCAAGTCCATCGCGTGGAAGGGGAAGGTAGCCGCCCTCTCGACCCTCTCGCACCCCAGCACAGTGGGCCAGAAGACCGGTGGAGACGGCAAAAATCCCAGACGCGTTTTGAGCTCCAGAGTCGCTAAACAGACCTCGAACCGAACGTGTGACCCCTCCGCCTCCACCCGTCTCCTGACCCACTGAGGGAGGGGGTAAAGTGTTGCTTTTTGCCGACTTCCAGGGGCAAAGCAGTGCCTTTTTTCCCTCCCTTCTAGGCGGCCTATCCAGTCTCATAGGATTGGCTGATTGACTCCATTACCCCTCCACTGGATCCGCCCCCGTCGCACCCACCGCAGTTTCTAACTAAACACCCTCCAACTATGTTTTAATTTAATAATAATATTGTGTTGCTATTGCTCTTCATTTTAGGATAAAGTGCAAGACTTAGACTACCACCACTATCTTCCAATGTTTTTTGATGGCTTGTGTGAAACAGAACATCCGTACAAGTTTTTTGCTCGGCGCGGTATTCACGATATGATAAAATATGCTCCCCATAAAGTCTTGCCAGTTGTACCTCAGCTGATAATACCCATCAAAAGTAAGTTTCTGAATTGCATCAAACTGAATTTGTCGAGTGTTATTGTGGTGGTAATGTCTCTATTTATATTGTCCCCACAAGATGCCTTGAACACACGGATCCCGGATGTGGTTTGTTGCACAATGCAGATTATCCAGAAGATGGTAAAATCATGTGATATGGTGGGAGAGGCACTAGTACCTTACTATCGCCAAATATTACCAATGTTTAATTTGCTGAAGCCAATGAATGGTAATGGTGCTTATTCTTTCGATACCTGGGATTTGAAGGCAATTTGTTAACAGACTTTAATTATGATTTCTAGTGAACACCGGAGACGGCATTGACTATGCTCAGCAGCGAGATGAAAACATTGGTGACCTTGTCCAACAAACGCTAGAGATCTTGGAGCGCCATGGAGGAGAAGACGCTTTCATCAATATAAAATACATGATACCCACTTATGAGTCATGCATGTTGAATTAATGATTTCAAGAACATGCTTTTCAAATTACTATCAGCCCCAAGTTTCAACATCACAGTAACATTGTTGAGTTCAATGTAAGAAGGCTGTATGTGAACTCTAATAACTGGTAGTGAAATTCATCATGCGAGGCACTGAGCAACATTTCTAACTTGTGCTTTTTGCAGTTAAGTAGATACTGATTCTGATCTTGAAAAATAAATGCATCTTTGTGAAAAAGTCCATTAGGACACCAGAAATTGACTAGTGTGCCATTATCATGAATAACAAAAACTCATTTAATTGAGTAATGGTAAAGAGAGAGTTAATAAATAGAACTGAAAAGAAAATCTTGGTTTTGAAGATTCATTTTAATTTTTATCAATTGTGCAGGTCACTTATGTTTGTAATAAATGTTTCAGCAAGCATATGTTACTCCTTTCTAAAATTTATCATCATTCACTAATCATGACATCAATTCAAAAGTGCAAAAACCATCTTTGTTAACTTATCACAGACACTTGTATTAAAATAACAAAATCTCACTGAGGATCTTAAGACAACTAAAATTACTAATAAATAAAAACAGCAAACACAGTCACAACACAAAACAAGGTGTCCTGTGGAAAAAAGAAAGTGTTACCATAGACAGAAATTCGTCAAGGAAAGTGCTTCAAACATAAAAGAATACTGAACTTACATTTTCATATTCAGCACTTGCATAGTTGTCTGCGTCAGAATCCCACATACACCTTGCACCCATTTTCACTCCTGCCCCTCTTTGCTCACCAAGAACAACTTGCACTAATATTTTGTATCGATCAAATTTCATTGCTGTCAACAGACATATTCTACATGAGTACAATAATTTAAAAATGAGACAAACTTTAACAGAAGCAGACGCATGAAAAACTTTGAGGGGATTACCTGCAACTCGTTGACGTACGGTCAGAGCAATATCTTTAGTAAGAGCTGACATATCTTCATCTGCATAAACTTTCCCACTTAATTGTTCAGACAAAATGTTTTGAACCAACTCTTTAACAACTTGGGGTCGGAACCTGAGAACAAACAGAGAACAAATCATGGATGAGTATCAAAAAATATAGAGAAAACCTTCATAAATAACAACATAAATTACAACCTACTTTGCTACAAGATGAGGGCGAATTTGAAAGGATTGCTGCGAACCCGGTTGTTGATTATCAATGTTATCCACTTCGAGTTTGTCATTCGAAAGTTTGCTGTCACCCAGCATTATGAATCACTATAAAGAAAAACATAATAGAACTAAGACAATCACAAAAATATCTGATAACCACGAGACGAAAGATACCTACAAATCTCTGGGGCATTCACTAAAACATAACCTCTGGAAAGTGTCAGAAAAGTTAGACACTGCTTGAATGATAGGATTTATTTTTTTTCGTCCTGAAAAGGCGATAAATTAAGCTAAATGATTGAAAACTTAACACTGACAGTACTAATTCAAGTACAACTCGAACGAAACTGGGCGCAGCTGTTCTTTCTTTTCAAAACAAACAGCTTTGGCGGTTGCCAAGTGACAAGTGACGTCATGAAAGCTATTGACACCACTAAGAATTATTCGCAGTTATCATGAGCACATCCACATGTGTGCATATCCCTGTTTCTAAATTTTGATTATTTTTATGACTTTTATCGGCGTTTCTTCGTTGTTTTGCCATGTCACGTCTCATTATAAAAAATCTTCCAAGTAACGTGAGTTTTTTTTATCTGAAAGCGACGTAAAGTCTGGTGTTGAAGGGTTTTTAATGCATGGAATATTTCTAACCCTCAAATTTCTTGAGTGTTTTCGGGGGTCGGTCTCGAAACAAAGGTGTTGACAGTAGAATCAAGGATGTTTGACCAGTGGCGTTCGCCCTTCTTTCGTTCTCCAGCATTCAGATGTGCAGTTTATTAATATTCTTTGTTGCTTTCTTTTCCAGATAACTGACGATGCCCTCCGAACTAAATTTTCTGAAAAAGGTGTTGTTACAGATGTCCAGTTAAAGTATAAGAATGGAGTCTTCAGAAAATTTGCGTTTGTTGGCTTCAAAAAAGAAGAGGATGCCTCAGCTGCACGCGAATATTTCGACAACACATGCATTGGAACATCTCGAATTCAAGTGGAAATTTGTTCTGACATTCGTATGTTTCTGTTTCAACACTTCTTCTTCCCATGCGCCCCTCACAACTTTTTCTTCTTCTTCACCCTTTTCTTGCATTTTTTTCCTTTTAAATACAAGGTTCCAAAGACAAACCAAGGGCTTGGAGTAAGTACGCACCAGGTTCTTCTGCCTACAACAAACTTCATCCTGAGGAAGCTCCACCTCCGCCAGAACAGGAGGATAAAGAACACAATGAGAAAAAGAATAAAAAGACTGACAAAGATGTTGTGAGGGATCCCAAAGTGAAGGAACTTTTAGAAAAGGTACAGTGTATTCTTTTTAACTTGTACTTATTCTCTTTTACTGAATCACTGGAATGGTTTGGCTCACTGTGACATGTCTTACTTTTTAGTACAAGGATGACCCTCAGTTTGCTGAATACATGGAAACCCATCTGGGAAAGAACAGTCTGTGGAGCAATGATGCTGTTGGTGGTACCGGAGATGGGCCAGCTATTACTGAACAAGTTGTGGAAGACCTTCAAAATACTGTTCTAAATTCCATTCCTGATGAAGATTTAGCACAGGCCAAAATTTCTGATTTTGAGGTAAGTGGTACATAGATGTTCTAAAGCACTAGGTATTTTTTTTTAAATTGTAAAAAGTGCTATGTGACTGTCTGACTTGTGCCCTATGTTTCTTCCCTAGTATCTTCGAAGAAAAATGGTGAAAAGCAAAGAGAAAGAAAAGGGCAAAGCAGTTTCAGAGGAAAAAAGTAATACGAAAAAGTCTAAGGTAATTTCTGAAGAACCGAATTCGGATGGTGAATCTGCAAGCACTAAAAAGAAAACCAAATTATTTTATGTAAAAGTAAAGGGTCTTCCCTATAAAGCAAAGCGAAAAGATGTAAGAGAATTTCTGAAACCTCTACAAACCAAATCTGTTCGAATTCCAGTAAAAGTTAAATGTGTGGCCTATGTTGGATTTGCGACAGAGAAGGAAGCAAATAAAGCTCTTATAAAGGACAGGAGCTTTTACAGTAAGTGATCTTTACAATTTTATCCCTCCTCAAGATCTGTTTCTATTGCATTCTTAATGTAACAAGTCTAACTACCTTTTTACTATTCTCTGTGATCTCATTTACAGTGGGTAAACAAATTTTTGTTAAACCTTATGAAGAACATTCAGAAACTAATAAAGGAGATAATGTTCCGGATAGATACAGAGAGCAGGAGGAAAGTTTAAAATCAGAAGAAACTATTGCTGAATCTGGTCGAATATTTGTTAGAAATTTATCTTACTTGACTACTGAAGAGGATATTACGCAGTTATTTTCTAAATATGGTATAACAACAAGGGTGTCACTGTTTTGCATCAACTTTCGATACCTAGTTGAATGAAAACTAATCTTCTGTTTCTTTGCATTTGAGGTGAACTCAGTGAGGTTTTACTGCCTATCGACTTCCGTACAAGAAAAATAAAAGGATATGCTTTAGTAACTTTTCTTCTTCCTGAACAAGCTGTGCAGGCTTACAATGAATTAGATGGTACAGTTTTTGAGGGCAGAATGCTCCATCTCTTGCCATCAAAATCAAAACCATCTATTGATGAATTACTGGAACAAGGTTTGTGATATATTTGGTTCAGCCACTGCCGTGATAATTCTTTGTCTATTTGCAAATTACATTTTGAATAATGTGCTGGTTTTAATTTTAATTATTCAAACCTTTATAGAAGGTCTAGATTTTAAAAAGAAGAAAGCCTTGCTCTTGAAGAAAGCAGCCACAGCATCTCACAGCTGGAATACTTTGTTTTTGGGTCAAAATGCTGTCACTAACATCATTGCTGAAACATACAATACCACAAAAGAAAAGGTAATCTTCATACATTATAGCAAATGTGTGCTGTTGGTATTGTTTTCACAACAAAGCATTGATTATTTTCTAATTTTGCTTGAAGGTCCTTGATGACAGTGGCAAGGGAAGTGTTGCTGTTCGTTTAGCTCTCGGAGAAACACAAATTGTTACAGAGACAAGAAAGTTCCTCACTGAAAATGGTGTTCAGCTTGATGCTTTTAATAAGGTATGAGGTACATGTTGCATCTATAATCAAGTTACTTACAGGATACAGTACAATCCGCTTAAACCGTTTTGCCCGATTGCGCCGGTTCCGGACGTCTTAAGCGGAGAACGTTTTAACCGAAATTCGAAAAAAATGATTGAAAAACGCGTTTTTTTGCCGTAACTCAGTAGAGAAGACTGAAAAGACTCTAAAAATGCTTTGTTATGAAATCTTGAGTGGTAATACATTTAATGGGCTCTTGTCCAGCTCTCAGAACGCCCCGTGTTGTGACTTGTCGTGCCGCCCGCGCCGCCGCCGCCGTAGCCGAGCCCCGGGGTAGAGTGGCAAGGGGTAGTGGCAGCGTGGAGGTGCACGCGCTCGACATCGGAACGCAAACATACGCGTATTCGGCGAAAAAAGCGCTTCTTTAACGGTGCAAAACGGTTTAAACGAATGAAAAACGGCCCGAAACAACGATAAAAGCGGAGAAACGTCTTAAACGGAGACGGTTTAAGCGGACTCCTAATGCATTGTTTCGGCCTATGATTCGAATGTAGAATCGCTCTGAGACGTCTTAAGCGGAGAAACGGTTTAAACGGATACGGTTTAAGCGGATTGTACTGTAACTATAAATTAGATTGATCCATCTTCACAATTTTTTTCATTCCCACAGCCTTCTGTTCAGAGATCAAAGACAATCTTATTGATAAAAAATTTACCTGCTAAAACTAGTGCAGCCGAAATTCGTGAACTCTTTGAGCCTTATGGGGTTTTAGGAAGAATCATTTTACCTCCAACTGGTGTTACTGGTACACATTTTATTTCAAACATGTAGTAGTACCATGTCTTACAGAATAATACAATTTGACTAAATGCTCTTGATTTTAAACATCTACATCTTACTTTCAGCACTTGTCGAATTTTTTGACAAAATGGAGGCAAAAAAGGCATTTTTAAAATTAGCTTACACGAAGTTCAAGGATCTTCCATTATACCTTGAGTGGGCACCTGAAGGATCTCTCACTGAGTCAGACCCCAATAGTTCAACAAGTGAGTATGCAGAACTTAACAAAGGAAAAAGTGCAAACTTTCTTATACTTTATTTTAATTTTCGACCTTTACAGAATCTACCCCTGTAGTTGTAGAAACTAATGAGGAAAAAGAAAAGACCGAAGAAGAGCAAGTGGAACCAGAAACTACTCTGTACCTTAAGAATCTGAGTTTTAATACTACAGAAGAAAATATTAGGCAGGTATGTGTACAAATTCCTAATGTTATATCCTGATAATGAGGAACAAGAAGTTTCAAATGTCACAATCTTTCTTTATGGCAGCATTTTGCAAGATATGGGTCACTGGCTAAAGTTACAATTGCCACTAAACCCAACCCAAAAGTACCTGGAGAGCGGCTTTCTCAAGGGTTTGGATTTATTCAATATTACAAAAAGAGCAGTGCAGATAATGCATTGAAAAACCTTCAAAATTCTGAATTGAATGGCCACAAAATCGAAATAAAGAGATCTCATCGGACTTTGAAGTAAGTAGAATGTCCTTTTTGATTAGTTAATAATTTTTTCCTTCAAATGAATATGCAACAGCTGTCACTCAAATATTTGAAATGTTATAACTGATTGACTCTGTTTTTGATGTTTGTAGGGAGGACACTGTTCAGAGGAAGACGGTAAACCAGGCTAAACCGACAGGCACCAAGATTCTGGTCAGAAATATTCCCTTCCAAGCAACAAGTGATGAAGTACTTGAACTATTTAAGTAAGTTATCCAAAACATCGGAAGAATTTAGGTTTATTTGATAATAACTCTTTACAACTGCAACCTTCATCTTTGTGTTGCAGAGTATTTGGGGAAATTAAAACTTTGAGACTGCCAAAGAAGATGGTAGGCACTGGCAGCCACAGAGGTTTTGCATTTGTTGACTACCATACCAAAAATGATGCCCAGGTATGATGCGCCTGTAAATGTATCTCAATTTTTAGTGCCTGCATTACCCAATGCTTACATTTTATCTTGAATTTTGTTCCATGGTTTGGTTGCAGAATGCAATGGACTCTCTTTGCCAGAGTACCCATTTGTATGGTCGCAGGCTTGTGCTCGAATGGGCGTCTCCAGATGATGAAGATGTTGACGCTTTGCGTAAGCGCACAGCTGAACGATTCGCTGGTGATGAACCACATTCAAAGTCATTTAAGAAGGGTGTCTTTGACATGAAGACAGCACCCAAAGGAAAGGGAGATGAGGCTGATAGTGACTAAATCATAAGTTTTGTTTGTATAAAATATGTTACAAAATGAAAAAAATTACATAACAGTAAAACCCTGCAAGGCTATGAATGTTTCTATCCCACAAGATGTTTTGACTGCAGTACATTTGTAAATTTCACTTCAAGCTCTGAAAGCAATACCCCTGCCCCCACCTTTTCCGTTCTTTTAGTCAGCGCTCCTCCTAATGTCGTGTGTGGGCAGAAAGCGCTATTTTGCCCCAACACAGGCTGACCTACCACTACTTTGCAGAGTTCACAGCAGTTGGCAAATGAGAAAACGTCGTGCAATTCCTACCTAAAAGCACCGCTGGTCGTTCCCTACTTCTTGCCTGCAACAGCCTCTTCGCACGCAACATCCTTATTCGCAGTGGCAATCACCGGATCCCTCAAAAAATCATAACCAAATTCCCAAATTAATGGCTGCTTTGGTGCTGCTGACATATTATTAGGATCTAGGTGATCTGACACACGTCACATAACATTTTCGGACCTTGCCCGCCACCCTTTCGTTCATAAATTTTACAGTCCTTATCCGCACGCAAAGCTGTCTAGTGTACTGCACAGTGTACTAGACGCAGAACGCAGCGCAGACGCAGACGGACGAAAGTCAAACAACGCTGTTTTGGTTTGGCGTGACTGACATTATTTATGTGTCTGAAGCGTCGGCCGCTTTGAAACCTCATCTGTGCCGCTGCGTTCATCGCCAATTTTGAGCTTAAAGGTAGGTAGAAATTTTTCCTTGTAATACGGCTCAACAATGCACGTGGCGCAATTCTTTATCTCATTCATGCTGGTCCTGTTACGTCGTGACGGTTGTGACACGCGTTAGGTTATTGGCTTCTCTGTCTTTGCATGCAAACAAATCACGTTATTTTTCCGTTTTCATTCAGATGAATCCCCCGAACGGTCAGGTCAAAGCCGTGGGAAGAGGGAGAGGGGCTTTTCGTGAGCAAACCACCGAGCTTCGCCGACCCCAAGGAACACTATCTCCACCCTCTGGTAAGATTTATTGATGAATGGATTGCTTAGCACTTGTATTGACACCATATGTCAGTGGTGTTACTTTTCTGTAGTAACTCCTTTTTCATTGTAATTTTTCCTTAAGATATTTATATTGAGAGATTTTTCCATACGGTAATATTGTTTCAGAACCATCAAGTTCTGATAACGACACCAGTAAGGACGAAGTGTCAGATGTCCTGGCAGTTGCCATGAAATCAAACCTCTCTGTCCATGCGAAAGAGTTTCGTTCAAATCTTTCTGTGGATGCCAAGGAATTTGTGCCCAAGTTTGGTGCGTCTTCAGCTCCCAGCTACTCTCAGGTTTGTGTGATTTATTAAATAAATATATAGTAAGAGTTGTGCAATAGTTAACATTTTACTTTCTCATTGCAGAATTATGAAGAGACTAATGCTTTCTATGATGACTATGGGCAGGCTGAAGAAGAAGGGTCTGATGTATCACCAGAAGAGGTAAGAATTTACCGTCAGTGTAGTTTCTTTCATATTTATTGTGTGACTATTTTTACAATGTTCTGTTATCTTTCAGTGGGCTATACTCCAATTAAATGAAGTGATCAAAATGTTAACTTGCGACCCTGGCAAATTTGATCAATTAGCCAAGCCACTAGTTGATGATCTTACCCCAATGTTAGCTGTGGAAGAAATAGTAGAAAATGCTGCCACGCTTATCATCGACCAGGTCTGCTTTTGCGATAAGTTGTGAGTTTTAAGGTTTGTCTATTGCAGTTTCTTTGGCAATAAAATTTTTATTTATCACTTCACAGGCAATTACTGAACCTAATTTTAGATATAGCGGAGCAAGGCTATGCAAGTTATTAAGCAAAGTTCGCGTCAAGAAAACAATAAGTCATTCTTTTCGGAGCATCCTGTTAAATAAGTAAGTCATAATTTGACTTGATAAAATGCAATGGTTATTTTTGTTGTTCGACTTAAACATTCTTTTTCAATCACTTATATCAGGTTAGGTGAAGAGCATGACAGAATCGAAAGCAATTTGGTTAGGAAACCTGACCAGGTATATGGTTTCATTCAATTCCTAGCCGAATTATACATCCAGCTAGAGTTAGAAACTAACCAAAGAATAAGTATTTTGGGTGATAGCTTGTTAATGGCGCTGAAGATTCTTATCCAAGTGCCTAATGTCGATAACATTAAAAACGCATGTAATATTCTCAAGGTAAGAAACCACATTGTTAATTTAGAGTGGTTTATGCCGACCAAATTAGAGGTCACAATCTTTCATTTGTTTCCCATCATTTTAGCTTACTGGAAGAATGTTAGAAGCTGACCAGTCAGACATGAATAGCTTTTTCTCTGATTTACAAAAACTACTGGATGATGAAAATACACCAACAAGAGCAAAAAATATGTTAAGCCACATTTTAAAATTACGCAAAGAAATGTGGGGTCATGCAGTAAGTGTGGAAAGTATTCCATCAGCCTTAGCGGAAAGTGAACAGGTGAGTTGTATGAAGAATATTAAATGCAACTAAAAATTTTTGTCAGGACCCTTTAAAAATTACCTTACCATCTTTCTGATTTGAATGATTACAGCAGGCAAGTGATGGTGTTTATTATGGACCAGACCACCGAGCTCTCACTGCTGAGGAAATCACATTTTTGAACGAAAGTTGTGGACGTGAGGAGACTGTTTCTGTAGGGTGAGTAGCAAACTTGTTCCCAGGTTCTCCATGAAAAAACAATGTTTATTTACTAATCTTATTCTTTTAACCTCAGGGATGACTCAACTGTATGGGACCCACATGTTAATGAAGATGAAAACGCTGAGATAATGGCAGCATTTAATGAGTTTGTTAATCAGAAACCTCGCCATTGATTTTAAGCATGTTGAGTCTGCAGCCATAACTCCAGGGCGGGAAAAAAATCAGACAGCCATATTTATGTTGTTAAAAAAAATGATAAAAATTGATCCCTTGAGCAAAAAAAAGATAAATTTCCAATTTATGACAACCACTCATGGCAAAGACTAAATCAATTAATTATCAGTCATGTGTTGCTTGTTTGACTATTTCTTGTGAAATTTCACCAAATCGAATTGTTGGCTGTGAACAAGTTGTAAAAAGCTGTCTACAGGAATTGTTTGTTTATTATACTATGGTTAAGTTAAATTTATGTGTTTAAAATGTTGAACTATGTAATGAATGAGTTATGTATAATCAATTTAATTTAATGTTTACACAAAGGTTGCCACATGACATGAGGAGCCTTGTCTCGCTTACCTGCTTATAAATTTAAGTTTGCTTTTATGAAATACTATCATTTAGGTTAGTATTTAAGTGACATTTTCTATCTTTCCTTTGAGATTGTCTTATTTGTGTGCATTAGGTGTTGGCCATAATGTATTTGTGCTCTCATTTACTATTAGTCATTCAGTTTATTATTTGTAGTACTGATTAGGATTTGTTAAGCTACAAGTTATGTTTTTTTTTTCTCTTTTTCATTTTATCCTTCAATTATTTTAAATGTTTTATGTTTTCAATATTGCATAATACTTGATTAGATGTAAGTACAATCATATATGAGAATAAAATTTATTTATTTAGCTATTACTGAGAATTCTTGGTGCCTTTCAAAGTAGCTCGATGTGTTTTGGAATAGGCAGACTTCGACATTGAAGACAAATATTTCAGAGCAATAAATATCAAATTTTAATTGACAATCAATTACTACATGAGAATCATGAACACTAGGTGGGTACAATAAGGAATGACAAGGGGGAAAACGGAAACCTCCTTTCCGTTTACATTAATTGAGGGAAGTAGACAGATATTTGGACATAGTAAAGAGTGTACAAAGTGGTTGGAAAAATAAACACATTTCCTAAACAAATTTTGGACATTCATAACAATTTATAAAAAAGGATCGAAAAAGCCACCATAATCAAACCATAATGAAACACCACATAGGAAATGGGGGTCGAGAGGCAGACATGTCCCCCCCCCCCACCCCACCCAATTGGTCTTTGAGGTCAAGGACCACTGACAAACATACAAACAAAAATGCAAGTGTAATAGATACCCGAGGTATGTGGTGTGGCGGCCAGGTATCAACATGCAGGTAGCAGCAACATTATCACTTGGCAACTATTGCTAAAATCAATATCTTTTGACACATTGGCTGTACCCAGAGAAGTGAGCAGAGATTTGCATGAGCGCATCAATATCTCATACCAACCATCATGAGAATATCACAGGTAACAACTTTGGCTATATTACAAATTTCTTAAAATATATTACGTAATCATAGAAAACTAGATTTTTCATCAATGACATAAATATAATGTACAGTTAGGAAGGAATGGGAGTTACTATCTAATACATATGTACATCAGGTAAAGTAATATAAAAATACTTTTACAAGTGGATCAATTTTTTAAATAGATGGTAGACAGTACATTGAGAGCACTTACCAGAAGTTCTTCAAAACCCTTACGATTTCAGAAACTTCACCCAAGAAATCAGATCAAACCGGTTGAAACACAATATATCAAATTTCAAAATTAATTTCACCATATTTTGGTAACACCACTGATAAATGTTTTATCTTGAGGGCCTAAGGGCCAAAGGGAGGACTAGGGCCGGAACCATCCGGAAGTCCCCGGCCAGGGGTTAAAAATGGGTTTGAAGACGCACCCACACCGTTAGTCCTTGGTTCAGTAGTGAAACCGTTCGCACTGTTCATGTTGCTTGCACCATTCACACCATGCACTCCATTTAATGATGATCCAGTTAAAGCACTTAGAGTATGGCTCGGGCGAGTACTGCAGCCTCCAAGGGATGAGTCTGTACTCAACGCATGCTCATGCTGGTCGCAATGAATCACACACAGATGGTACGATACAGCTGAGGCATGACCCGACCGCCCAGAAGTGAGAGGCTCGCCCTCATCCCAGACATCTCTCAATGGATCATAGACTTCAACGATTGACAAAAAGGAAGAACCATCATATCCTCCTGAAAAGAAAATAGCAATCAGATATCATTGTGCTACAGCAGTTTCACAATAGGAAGGAAAATTCTGTTGTCTCCATTCCTCACCCATGGCATATAATTTTCCATCAAGAACAGTGACACTCAAGGCAGAGCGAGCAATTCTAATTGGTGCCCGGAATTCCCATGTGTCAGTTTCAGTATCATAACGCTCAACTGAACTTAATTGTTTGGATCCATCATATCCACCAACTATGTACACATGATTGTTGAGAGTAGCAACACCTAATAGAGGAAAAAGAAATTGTGATGACCGCGCTAGATTTTGCAAAAAGTAGGATCAGTTTAAGGTACATTGACTAAACTAGCAAATTACTCACCAGCTCCACTACGGGCGACACGCATAGAAGAGATGGGTGTCCATTCATTGTTCTCTGGATGATAGCATTCAGCACTGTTAAGTCTCAAAGAGCCATCATAACCACCCATTGCATACAGCATTCTGTTAACAACAGCTACTCCCACTCCTAGCCGCTTTTTGGCCATGGGACAAATCAAGGTCCACCTGTCTTCATCTGGATCATACCTGTTTCAATAGAAATAATAAATACAGTAAAAAGATAAGATTTGAGCTGCATCATCCTCCCATTTAACTGACCGGATGATGAGGCAAAAAGGCAGACATACCTTTCAACGCTATCATGATAGTCACTTCCTGAGGAGCCCCCCACCGCGTACAGATACCCATCCATGACTGCTACACCCACCCGATTGCGAGGGGTGGTCATGGGGCTGCAGGGACGCCACTGATCTAAGACTGGATGGTAACGGTCTACCCAGTCTGAGTCGTAACTGCTGCCAGGAGCATTGTTTCGCCCACCAACAGCGTAAAACATACCCTGGAAGTTAACAAAGTAGCACCATTTAATGATGAAAACTGAAATGGCAGAATGTGCACAAGCTAATCAAGCTTGAGCATAGACATTCTTACCTTCAGAAATGCACCACCAAGTCCTGACCTTGGTACTGTCAGTTTTGCAAGAGGTGTCCACGTTCTATCGTCTGCATTGAAAGCTTCTAAAATATCTAATGAGTACCTAAGATATCCACCAGCGATGTAGATAACTCGTGGTGTGTTGGGTGTCCTTTCTTTCACAACTGGCTTTTTATGTAATGTCATGTCCTAAAACATAAAGAAACAGCATAAAATTTTGAAGAAAGCATGTTTAAGAGTGTTTTGATTTCAGTGTACTTACCTTAAAGATTTGAGCTAGATACTTGCGGCATTGAGGCAGCTTTTTTAGTAAATCACAACTTTTCATTTGTTTTGATAAGAATGCAGGAGTAAGAAATTGACAGCGCACAGCTTGAAGAATGTGTTCCATTTTAGGCCTACGATTTTCTTCGTCATATTTAACCCACTGTAAAACTGCATTATAAACTTCCTGTTCATCCTGAACATTGAGGGCATCTTTCTTGACTAGAGCTACTAACTGCATAGCAGACAGTTGGAAGAATTCTTCTTCTTGACAAATCTGGAAAACAAATATTTTTTTACATTATTACTAATATTTAGGGGACCAGAAAAGGAAAAAATACATGAACAATTGGTGAAGCCAATACTAAATTTTAGGATCCCTTTTTTAAAACTAAGTTGATTTTAGAGTTGATTTTTGTGAAGGAAATAACAGCATACAGGAATTGAAGTTGTACCTGGCTAAAATGTTGTTCAATAAATTGGTTTGCTTTTTCGTGTAGCTCCTTGCAGCCATGCTGTTCAGCAAAATTGGCAATACCAATCACATTTGAGGGATCAAGTTGTCTTTCCAGAAATACACAGCAAGCACTAATAACATCTGGAACCTACAGAAATATTTAAATAAAAAGTTGTTTTTTTTTCACACATTATAACAGTAAATAAAGAACTGTAAGGAGCAATCTTTACTTGAAACATGGTAGCTGCGGGTAGGAGCTGGCAAACAGTAACTTCAGTGACTCTGATGACTCCTGTGTACATGAATGTAAGAATGCGCGCCAGGGTTGTTGGGCACACCCCCTGAAGTTTAACATGTGACATGTCACACTCTTTTAATCCTCCAGTAAACATAGCCTTAAGAGAAAACAAAAACAGTTAGCAAACTGTAAGGTCAAGTAAAAATGACAATGACAAGTTAATTGTAATGAAAGAAATGACACATACTTTAAAATAAGGGCTAGCAGATGCAAGAACTAATTTATGCGCATGGAACTGCTCCGATCCAGCTTGAAGGACGACATCGGTTAGCATATGATGACTTCTCATCATGCACATCATCTAAAAACACAGCAAAAAAAAAACAAACAATTGTTTAATAAAAGGAGCAATTTATTTTCAAACATACAACAATCAACAGGATATGAAACACGTCAAGGCGGGCAATGCCAACATGTAGCTACCTTTAAAGTGTCTCCTACATAATTGGTCATGTTGAAGTACATGTCGCCGAGGTCCGAGTTCTTGTCGATGGAGTAGGCCGAGCCGCCGGGCGAGGTGAGGTTCTGCAGGCCGTCGCCGCACAGCGACAGCGGGCTGGCGTCCATCATGGCGACCCCTGTGCCTGACAGTGTGCCTGACAGTGTGCCTGGGGATGCGTTGGCGGTGGGGAAGGTGTCCATGCGCAGCGCTCCAGGCGCTCCAGGCGCTCCTGCCCAGCCGGGCGCTCTCTGGAACACGGAAAGCAAAGTCGCAAGTCACGGGCAAGTCGCCACAAGACGACCGCAAAACCGCCGAACCAAAAACAGAACCCAGAAAGCCGGTGTGAAAAGGGAAGACCGCGTACCGGCACGGAGACGACCGGCACGCAGGGCACTCGCATTCGCGCCATGCCGACGGCCCACAGTGGGCCAGAAGACCGGTGGAGGCGGCCAAAACTCCAGACGCGTTTTTAGCTCCAGAGTCGCTAAACAGGCCTCGAACCGAACGTGTGACCCCACCAATGGACTCCTCGTTCGGAGAGCAATCCATTGGTGGGGTCACACGTTCGGTTCGAGTCCCATTTAGCGACTCTGGAGCTCAAAACGCGTCTAGAGTTTTGCCCACCTCCACCGGTATTCTGGCCCACTGCGCGGCCGGCGACGGTGCCCCCGACGCCAAACGCACTAGGGTTTAGCGGTTTAGCGCTACAAACGGGCGCAACACGGTACCAGCGCGGGGCCCTCGAGGCTCGCGGAGGCAAAGGTGCCAAACGCGGGGGAGGGGGAGTTTTGTGTACAGTAACCAGGTCCACGCCACTGATAAAGAAGACCCCGTTTTAGGCGCGGCACGCGGTGCACGCGGCGTGGAGCTAGCGCCCGCAGCGCCGCGTCACCGTCACCGGGAAAGGGAAGGGGGGAAAGGGGAAATCCCGGCAGGACTTCCACGCCGTCATGGCCGTCACGCAGGTCATCCCCGGCCGCACCCTTAAAACCTTACGAAGCATTTTGAGCATCAATAGTTACAAACTAATTTACTTTGTTATACAAAGAAATAGTTCGTAAATGACGATGTATTTTCTTTGCAAAGCTTACGAATGCTCAACATGCTTTGCTTTAGCATGCTGCTTTTCTTTGTAAGGCCTGAAATAGTTTGTAAGGCTTTCTCAGTGCGGCCATGCGTCTGCGACGCCACGCTGCTCGGCAGTGTCGCTTCCCATTCCGATTTATTCGCGACTAAATAGCTCGGGAGCTGACTCGCCAGCCCACAGTCGATCAGAGGAGGCACGCCAGGCCCCGCGAATCGACGTGGACCGTCTCCCGTCGCCCGCTTCAGCAGACTGATTCCGAAAGACGCTCACCCCCCCCCCCCCCCCCCCTCGCACTCATGGGGCGTCCCGTAGAGGTTCGGGGGAGACGGCGCGATGAAAACAACTCGCGCAATCAGTCTGCTGGCTTCGGAGACGTCACAGGTCCGACGCACACCTGCCGACCCGACAGGGAAGGACAAGGCATGGTGGGGGTGCGGCGTGTACCGCCCAGCCCAGTGAGTAGCGAGCAATAAGAGCCGGTTCTGCGATGTCTCGGCTGTCTCTGTCGCACTCACGGGGAACGCCGCCAGGGCGCGAGAGAGATAGAGCGACGAACCGCTCTTCAGAATCACACAGCTGCGGACCCCACTCTGCTCTAGAGGGAGAGGGAGTGAGAGGGAGGGAGAGTGAGAGGGAGGGAGGGAGAGAGAGAGAGAGAGAGAGAGAGAGAGAGAGGGGGGGGGGGGGAGGGGGGGAGGGGAGACAGAGGGGGAGAGAGAGACGGGGGGAGAGAGAGACGGGGGGAGAGAGAGGGAGAGGGATGGGGCGGGGCAGGCAGAGGTAGGGAGAGGGGTGAGAGAGAGAGAGAGAGAGAGAGAGGTATAGTGCGAGAGAGAGGGAAAGATAGAGAGGCGGAGGCAAAGAGAGTGCAGCTTTGGTTGGCGACAATGCAGGGGGGAAGAGGGCGTGGACGATGCACACCATGCACCTGCTGCCAGCTCTCAAGAGTGCCGGTGCGTCGTTGGTCGCAGGACAACGGGAGGATCGGCGATCGACCGCGACCTTGGGCTGCATGAGGCGGCATGGCCAAATGTGCCCCGTCACAACACATGTGACGGGCGAGGCGCGGCGGGGCGCGGCATTACTCAGCACTCCGCGGATGGCCGAGTTGAGCCGGCGCTGCCGAGCCGAGCGCCGAGGGCGCCGAGCCGAGCCGAGCCCTGGAGCAGGTGGCGTGCAGCGCGACGCACTGTCGTATCGCCTCGTATCAATACCAAATCAATGAGGCGTGAGATCAGCAGAAAAAGAAGGCAGCCCCTCGCCGGCGTGGCCGACGAGTGGGCAGTGACGTCCGACGTCCCGTAAGTCGCAACTCTTTCGAGCAGGGTTGTTAAAGTTAATTTAACGATTAACGACGATAATCGATTTTCAATAAGTTAATTTAACGGTTAACGCTAACTCGATAACATCTTGCAGACCAGTTATCGTTATCGAGTTATCGTTAACACGATTCCGGTTAACTTATCGATTAACTAAAGTAACTAATTCCCCAAAACGCATGAGTGTACGCTAAATTTATCAGAAAAACGTTTCTGACGTTCGTACTTTCGCGCCTCCGGCACTCCTAGTTGTATTTATTTTCTAACTGAAAGATACGTCATGCATACCTAATAGTCTAATTCGACTTTCTTTTGGAGATTCAATGTTATGTTTTATTATCCCTCATTCTCTCATCCATTTTAAACAAAAGTTAGTTACTTTTAACGATTTTCGTTAAAAGTAACTTATCGGTAACTCGATAACGTTGCCGAGAGGTGTTAACGTTAACTAGTTATCGTTAACAGGGGTCGGAAATTAACTTAACGATAACTCGATAACCAAAAAAATTAACTTTAACAACCCTGCTTTCGAGCCACTCGAGCGCCGACATGACCGGCAAACCAAAGCGCAAACTACACTGCTGCAAGCCCAGAGAGCGGGCCGTCACGGAGGTTGGTGACGTTTGGGGGCGGAGGGGGGAGGGGGAAGGGGCGTGTCGCACTAGTCCACTAGTCCGCACTCCACCCACCCCTGCCCCGTGGACATCGTGGACCTCGCGCCTCGCGCCGGGCTGGGAGTGCCGGGGAGGGAATTCCCCTCGGAGGAGACTGCGAGCCGGGCCGAGTCCACGCCCAGTGCGGCCTCTCACTCGCACACTCACAGTACAGGGACACCAAGACGAGAAGCACATTTTCTATTCACCATGGTCTGCCGGTCGTATTCGAACCGCGGTCCTCTTGCTGCTCTGCGCGCCGCTAGCGACGCCCCGCGCGGCAGGCTGTGCGGGCTGTGCAGGTCGTCTAGGCTGTACGGGCTGTGCAGGTCGTGCAGGTTGTGCGGGCTGTGCAGTTTGTGCACCACGCGCGTCATGCCGCCTCGCCGTGGCCTGGCTCCTGCTTCGCTTCTCACTTCACGCCTTTCGCTGCTGCGCCGCTGCGCCACTACACTGCTGCACTGAGGCGTGTCGACGCCCCGCCCGCTCCGCCGTCCGCCCGCGTCGCCGCGTCGCGTCTGAGGCGCGAGCGGCGCGAGGCGCGACCGGGCCGCCTAGAGGGCCGCCGCGGCCACCGCCACCGAGCCCACCCACACCCCCACGGCGGCCGCGACGCCACCGGGCCGCCACGCCGGCCGGGCCCGCGACTGATTTGAGCAGGTGCGTGAGGGGGAGGGGGAGGGGGCAGAGGAAACGTCAGCCCACTTTGAGGATGATCCCGACGACATAATGCTACATCATGGCATTCGTGCGTGCGGCGCGCGGGAACGACTTGCGGTGTGCGGTCGCCGCGCAGCAGACTGATTCCGAGTCGCTCTGTCTCTCTCGCACTCATGGGGCGTTGCGTACGGGTGCGAGAGAGACAGAGCGACGACTCGCGGAATCGGTCTCCTGTGGGCACGGTGGGCCTTCCCTCGCTGAAGGCCCTGACGGCGCTGCACTGCCAGCCATGCTGGCGGCCTGGCGGCGGCGGGCGGCCGGTCCGGGGCTCGCGCCGCCCTGCCACCAGTGCCCCTTCCCCCTTGGTTATCACACTGGCGGAAAAGAAAAACGTTTCTCGGCGGAAAGAGTTTGGCACGACGGATGCGCCAGGAAGGGAAAACCAACGAGGTGGACGGACGGGCAGACAGACGGGCACACTCACACAGTGATAAGGCAACAGGCGGTCGGTTGACTATGACTCGGCATTTCTGGGCCAGCCGACGCAGCCGTGGCTATACTGACTCTTGTATACACCGGACCGGTTTGCGGCGCGGTGCTGCGCGGTGCGGGCGTGCCGCCGAGCTGGCAGGCAGAGCGCCGCCCGGACCGAGCAGCCAGCAGCCCTGCCCAGCAGACGACAGCAGAGTGGGCCAGAGGACCCGTGGAGGCGGCCGAAATTCCGGACGCGTTTTGAGCTCCAGAGTCGCTAAATGGGGCTCAAACCGAACGTGTGACCCTACCAATGGATTGCTCTCCGGACGAGGAATCCAATGGTGGGGTCACACGCTCGGTTCGAGTCCTGTTAAGCGACTCTGGAGCTCATAACGCGTCCAGTCTTGGCCGCCTCCACCGGTCTTCTGGCCACTGTGGACTGTTGCTGAAAGTAAAGATCGCCGGCCGAGAAGGTCCCCGTCCCCCCTCCCCGATCGGTTTTTGGAGCGACGTAGTTCAAGATCGGTCCCCGGTGATAAGCCGCACGGCGCACGGCAACCCAGAGTCATGCCCAGAGTCATCTCGCTGCCCTGCCCGGCCCTGCCTCTCTCGCACCCAAACGGCGCGCCTCCTGGGGTTGACAGAGACAGAGCGCCGAAACGACGTGGAACGACGCCGCTATCGCGAAGTCTTCGATTTGTGGCACGAGAGGCCAATCACTCGTGCCAAATCGCGATGGCGTAGCACCGCGTAGTCCCGCGTGGCACGCCCCGCACGCCCACACTGACAGGTACTGACACCGCCACTGCCGCACTGACGCAGCCCCGCGCAGCCCGGCCGTAATCTGCCGCCTGACTCCGAAGGACCATTGCGCCATCCCGTCTCACTGCCTGGCACTCAGGGCGCCCCGCCGCCCCGTAGGGATGCGAGAGATACAGAGCGACCGGGCGGCTGCAATCAATCGCAGAGTGGCATCACTCTAAATCCCAGCATCGTGAGTCACATCTGAAACCCTAGATTACGCCAAATCAAAAGGCTCCAGCGACTTCTGGCACAGACTCATTCAGATAAGTCGCTCTGTCTCTCTCGCACCCATACGGGACGCCCCATGAATGCGAGAGAGACGGAGCGACGGAAATGCGGCTCTGTGGGAACAGCGGGCAGCTTGACTAGCAACACTGAAAACGTAATGGTCGGACACATGGTCAAAATTATGGCGTGACAACAAGTCACGCCAAAAATTGGCGTGACACGAAATTCACGCCGAAAACCGGCGTGACATGTGAGTCACGCCCTCATTTGGCGTGAATGGCAACGCGTTTTATGAGACAAGTCATGCCAAAAAGCGGCATGACAAGAAATTCACGCCAAAAATTGGCGTGAATTTTTGAGTCACGCCGATTTTTGGCGTGACATTCATGTCATGCCGTTTATTGGCATGACACTTTATTCACGCCCCTGCAGCGGCACGAAGTCACGCCGATAGATGTTCAGTGAACTGCCGATCGAAGCAAGCCAAGTGCACGCTTGTGCACCATCATCCCCAAACCACCTGCGAGTGGCGCGCGAGGCGCACAGTGGGCCAGAATACAGGTGCAGCGGCTAAAACTCTAGACGCGCTTTGAGCCGCCGAGTCGCTACGTAAATAAGACTCGAAACTTTCGTGTGACCCCACCGAAGAATTGCTCTCCGAACGAGGAATCCATTGGTGGGGTCACACGCTTCGTTCGAGTCCCGTTTAGCGACTCTGGAGCTCAAAACGCGTCTAGAGTTTTGGCCGCTGCACCGGTCTCCTGGTCCACTGTACACATCAGGTCCAGCTGCGAAGCAGAGCAGCGCGAAAGGACCAGCTGGCCGGTACGGCGAGGCGAACGCCCCCTGGCCTCTAGAGCGAGGCGGGACAGACTGCGTGTCCGGGCCTCGCGTCGCGTGCGAGGAGGTAAACACTGGTGCACACCTGTACACACAGGCCCTGTGACACACGTAAAAGAGATCCCGTTTTGGGGACAACTGTGACAACATTGTAGCACTTTTAATGTCGCAATTCACATAAAATATGACAATGAGCAGATTTTCATTCATTTTATAAACCTCTTAAATCTGTTTCGTCTTGACAAAAGAGCTTCTTAGCGATATGATTAATGCGCATAATCGTCAATGTGTCTATTGGAGGATGAGAAAGTGCATTCTGTGTCGGTTGCGCGATACTGCAGTAGTTCCGTATATGTTTAGATCAACGAATAGCCTGACAAAGCGTGACTAAAAAATTTGATTACGTAATCAGGACGGTCACCGCCCTCCCCCCTTTTTAATCAAGCGTAAGCCTTAGCTGTACCCCCCCCCGCCCCTATAAGTGATTACGTAATATGTGGAAGACCCCCCACGGAAAACAGCGAAATACCGAGTACGTAGCCTGTGCACGATTCATCGAAGTGCCAACCCCACGCGCCGTGACCGCCGCACCAAGCAAGCGAGTCTACTACGAGTCGGCGACAGAAGTCCGTGTCTGCAGCCGCCGAGTCGTGACGCTTACTCGTGCACGCTGAAAACATTACGAAGTATTTTGAGCACACATGATACAAACTAATTTACTTTGTTATACTACGAAGAAATGGTTCGCAAATTACGAAGTATTTTCTTGAAGTAAGCTTATGTATGCTTAAAATACTTTGTGAGAACAAACTGCTTTTGTTTGTAAGGCCTAAAATAGTTCGTAAGGTTTTCTCAGTGTGCCGCGAACGAGTGGACGGGACTGCCACCTGTAGCGCCTGCGAGGTAGGCCAGCGGTCCGACCCGCGCCTGCAGATTGATTCCGCAGATTCCGCCCACCGCATTCGTCGCGCTGTCTCTCTCGCACCTGTACGGACTGTACGGGGCGCCGCATGAGTGCGAGAGAGACAGAGCGCGGGCCACCAACACGACGCACGGTGACGACAGCCGAACAGCGCAGCGCAGCAAGGCGGCGTCTCGTGACGAGCACAACAACAAGATAGCGGCCGGCAGGAGCGCCGCGCACCCGAGACCCTCACTTCGCCTCAATCATGATTCAATGGGTCTATGACTCTCATGTCGACACGGCTAGCGCCTCACGTGCCGGCCCACAGTGGGCCAGAGCGGCCAAAACTCTAGACGCGCTTTGAGCTCCAGAGTCGCTGAACAGGGCTCGAACCGGACGTGTGACCCCATCAATGGATTCCTCGTTCGAAGAGCAACCCATTGGCGGGGGTCACACGTTCGGTTCGAGTCCTGTTCAGCGACTCTGGGGCTCAAAACGCGTCTTTGAGTTTTGGCCGCCTCCGCCGGTCTACTGGCCCACTGTGCGGCGCGGCGTGCGCCGTGCGGTGGCGGCGCTGAGGGCTCGGGAGGGACTTGGCGGGACGGATGGGCGACCTTCACTTCTGGTGTAGGAGTGCGTCTAGTGTGTAGGGCGTCCACGCACTCAGGTTCGCACCCGGACCCTTGAGTGAGTCACAGCGTGGGGGGCCACGCACTCGTACCGAAAGGGCCACTGAATGAGTCACTGTGCGTATCTGGCTATCTGCCGACAGGTGTCATCATATGGGGACGAGTCTGACCGGTTATCAATCAAACCCAGAGCCGAGGCCGACCTCACATCGTCCTCAACATACGAGACCGGCGGCGGGCACGGCCGGGCACGGCTGCACCGCGCTTCGGCCGCCTGGGCCGCGGCCTGGGCCGCCTCGGCGTTCGCGCCCCTCCACCGTGCACCACCGAGTCGCCAAAGGTGTCGCCTGGTTCCACTGGCATCGGTCATGACTGGTGGGAAAACAGGACCACCCGGCCCTTTTCATGGCGGTCCTCCCCTGCCAGTGGAGGTACTCCGCGACGCGAGGGACCTTTCCAGTGTGGCGGCAGGGAAAACCCTCGGGCGCGGGGTACCGCCTTGGAGTAATACTGTGGGGAGTCCTAACTGGCGCGGCGGTGGGCCGAGCTGTCCTGACGAATGCTAGAGAGAGAAAACCACTCGGCCGGAAAGGCACTCCGTGAAACCGACCGAATTCATCGATGCTGATTACATCCCGTCCATCTCCTTCGCCTTCTAAATCCATTTTTCAAAACCAGAACTTTCTAAGTTGACCCAGTCAGGAGCTATATGGTGGCAAAGTTCAGAAACTATCTCTTTCTCTCTCTACGATTCGCCGGACACCTAGTACCACGCACAGAAACGCCCTGAACTCCGAAACGGTATGGGTTAGCTCCAATCTGTTTGCATCCCGTAAATCCTCACTCTTTTTGTGACAAGATGAGCTATTGGGAAAGTCTCTAAGTTGAAAATCAAGCCTTCAGGGCGTTGGCAAACAGAAAGGTGCAGCTCTAGTTAGGACTCCCTAACAGTATTACTCCAAGGTACCGCCGCGACCAGGACGCGGCGTGTAGACGGCTTGTCGATTCGGCAACGCACGATTCAAGGGAAGAGTCCGAGAACCGATAGGTCTTCCCGGGACTCTATGCCGGTTCTAGGACTGTCCTAGTCCTGGAACCAATCGACAGGTCTTTCTGTAAGTAGTTCTAGAACCTGGGGGCTCTCTAGGACAATAGTGACGCGCGACCGAAACGAGCAAGCACCAGGCATGCGGCGAATAGAGAGGGGGAGGGGGCATATTTCACTGGAGACACACATGCTAACTTTGCAAGCAAAATGGGTACCATCCCTTGGGAACACCCTTTGCCTGAACTCCGATGCAGACCTCAGGTCAGGACAATCCACCGATCAGGCAATCCCCCAAAATGCACACAGAAACGCATACACCTCAAATATTCGCCACCTGCACTGAACAAATTTAAAGAGAGCTGAGAAAACTGCCCTACTTACAGGTACATCAAACTCTACGTTAAGTCTCATGAGACTGTAATGAAGGACTGCGCAAACTCAGTGACAGGTTCACGCCCGAAGGAGCCAGGCCTTATCAGGGAGATGTCTGATAAGCAACTGAAGTCACAACACTTTAAAAAGTTCCATGGACTCTGCGTACAAGCGAGTGGGGGAAGAATGAGAATGAGGATCCCGCATTGCATCCATCCACTAAACTGCACTTACACTGACCTCGAAATGAGAGCACTTTCAGTGTTTAAGCTCGCAGGCCAGAGAAGTTTTCATTTGCGAAGTTGAAAAGCTGTGCGTCTGAGGGGCATGCCAAAAGCTCACACCACACCAAGCATAAGGTGTGCTATCAATGAAACAAGAGTACATCAAGTGAAAGTGATTCCCAATTTTGGTCAAGGATGAATGAATTTGTCTTACACAGAAAAGAGAATATTTTTAGAGGATCAAGTCTGATGGCGATAAATCACAGCTTATCAACATCTAAGAGCAATAAAATTAATAATTAATGACAATACTCATAAGAGATAAGGTTAGCAAACAAAAACAAAAAAAGTATAAAGATTCGTGTTTAAAATAATAGCAATAAAAAAGGTGCACTTATAAAACGCTCGTAGGTTCATTCGAAAATATCAGAACGAATAATCGCAGAAATTTTCTTTCCTTTCCTTGAACTACATTCTCTGTTGATAACTGAGATAGGTTAGGGGGTCCCCTATTATTGCTACAGCTGGAGATTAATGCTTCAACCTCCATGATGTTTGATTCGCTGTACGCACCTGCAGCACCTAAAATCCGCAGAAGTCGAACAAAATTTTTCTACGAGTGGCGTGTCATGGCAACTACACTCCATCGAAACGATATCATATGCACGTCGAACTGAGCTCACGTTCACTACACACACACACACACTGACGTAGAGCCACAGCCACACACACACGTGCGGACTGACTCGAGCTCGGGCGCGCGCGACACTGCTGTTCCCCTCGCAAGCATGTCGAATATTAGCCGGTTCTGTCAGGGCGCGGGTCGGTGACTCCTGCCCTGCCGACTCTACGCGCGTTATCAACAGGTGGACCTACTCCAAATCTTTTCGTACCCACGTGCGGCGGGCTGGGCTACGAGTTGCGGATACTGATCGCACCCTAACATACGAGTTCTGACAAACTTATAGTGCGGGTGTGCGTACTGAGACCTCCCAAATGTAAGTTCTTGTAACCAGACACAATTGAGTATTAATAGTGATACAAACAACACATTGATCTGGTCAAGAAAAGTCTAATTTGGATTCCAATAAGTAGCATTTCACAACTGTAGATAAACTTGACAGATCCAGACGATTCATACTAGTCTTGAAATAAGCATCAGAGAATAGAATTTCACTGACTCAAAATGCTCACCTTTAGAAGATGTAAAATCCAGATGATTTGTGCTAGCCTTGAGTTAAGCAGCAGAGAATTTATCTGACTCTAAATATTCAGTCTTTCAAAATTACAATAAAACCATTCACTCTAATACATACTAGTATCAACTCTTCCACCTTACTTCTGACACAGTATCAGTGAAGAATTGACAACAGGCTCCAAGGGTCAGGTCATGAAGGATTAACAGAAGTTGGTGTGGCAAATTAAAAAGCATAGAATTTTTAATTTTTTTTATTATGAGACAATCATGTAAGTTTACTGGTTAGACTTGCGGGGAAGAGCCCTACCGCCCTCACGGAAGCCATTCCTACAACAAAATAATTTAAATTACAAATTTGATACAAAATAGAATAATGAGCATTTAAAACATTAAATTATACATTACCTGAAACGCCTCCTGACAATCCTGAGGTGCCTCATACGGCCAGTACCAGTGGTCTTCCTCCTCTGGGCCTTCACCGACCAGTTGACTAAAATACAAAACAGTGCGTTAGCTATGGAAGTAGGTACACATTGAGTTAGCTCATGATTGGTAACTTACAGTGGCGGAGCTTAGCAGATGGGTATCCGCATTGCGAACAAGTGGACTTCTGGATGTGGTAGGATGATCTGCCACAACGACGGCACAATGTGTGCGTCTTATTGCGCCGCTTACCAAAGCTGGAGGTACCCTTAGTCTGAAATCAGAGAGAAAGGAGGATTAGAACAAATACTTTATAACTAGGTCTAAGAGACACTTGACAAGCAGTGAGAATGTCAAGGCACTTCAAGCAGGAACAAAGCTGTTTACATGAACAGAATGGGACCAAAACACTCAAAGTTGATACATGACTGCTGTGCAGAATGGCTCACTGCCTCACAGAGACAAAGAATATGAAGGAAATGGCACAAATGACAAAGGTTCCAGGGAAACAAAATATCCTACACTACAGAGGAAGCTAGTGAGAGCTATAACCTCAGATGAAATAAAGACATATACGGGAAGTCTCAGAGAAGCTAATAGTACGCGACGTTTAAGTTACTGGAAAGACGTCGGATCAATTTAAAGACCTGGCTTCGCAGTAATAATACAATCCAAGTACCTGCCTCAATTAGAGGTTAGTCGGCACTGAGGTTATGCATAACAGAAATGGAAATTCGACCCAGATCTCCGAAAACAAACAGAAAACCAACAGTACCAAGTAGAAAGATCGCTACAGCAGAGTTGGTTGTGAGTAAAATGATTTAAATAACGACTAGTAGGCAATCGACATGAACGAAAAGCCGCACATGAGGGTACAAGGGGGCTCCTACGAAACAACCCCAATAACTACACCATGAAGGAAAACTACGAATACTACTGAGATTTCCAGCGTCCTAAAGGCCTGAAGAATATTTTGAGGTCTTCTTCCGTGCGCTTACCATGCTGATGGATACAAATTAGACCGATAAAATGCACTATTCGATCCAACTCACCATTTTGAGATGCGAATGTTTGGGAAGGAAGTACACTAAAGAAACGCCTTGTCGAAAACCGCCGTCGACGACCGGCCGGTGAATCCGGAAATGGCAGGCCGGCAACAGTGGCGTCAACTAAACCAAGCGAAGGGCCAAAGTAGTATGGTCTTCAAAGTGGGACGAAAATCGTGAGGAAAAATCCAATTCTGTTTAAGTTTATTTAGTTCAAAACATATTGTGTCCTTACAAAGTACAGAACACTTTTTTCCCTAGCGGATGAAAGTTTCAAATTTGTTGAGGGAAGGATGGCTAGGCCGGAAACAGAATTGTCATCCGCTGAAAGCGCGCGAAAAGGACATTCGCTTGAAAAGATACACAAAAGAATTTACTTTGTTTCTCGGTTTCTGAGGGAATAACTTCCATTACACTCTTGCACTCTGGAACTAATTTATCGCTCTGATTAGGGATTTCAGCCACATTCGAATTTGGAAAGCATTTGTGCCAGTGGAGAGCAACGGGAACGTCGCCCCCTGCCGACGCTGAGCCGCTGCCGAGCCGTGCAGCCGTGTGTCAGCATTGTTGACGGTTGCAGACGGTTGCGGTGTACCTTCCCAAAGTATTCATACTGTCCTTAAAAGTCCCACGGCAAATGATTCAAGTGACGTGTGCTGTAAATATCTGACTTGACTACACGATAGATTGAACCGAAGGCGACCAACGACATGTCTGAGTATAAACTCAGCTGCTCTCTTACGGGGCATTCCTTGGATGTCCGGGCGGTTTGCACCGCTCCCGACTCCTCTATTATTTCGGGATCTAGGGATGCCACCGCCAAAGTGTGGCGCCCAAATGGGTAAGACAATTTTTAAGCAACTGATTTTTTACTGTGCGGTATTTTTTTTAACTTGTATTACATTTGAAGAGGTTGTCGCCTGATAAACCTAACCTCAGTTAAAGCTGACAGTTTTGTTGATTTACTTGGCATGTTGCTAGAAACTCCTCCTTATATTGGCTTTGAAAACTAACTATCTTTTTTTTGGTACTTTATATTCTAAAATGAGCTATGCACCACTAATTATATGACCAAAACATAATCTAGATATTTAACTTTTAATGTAATTTCACTTTTTGTTATTTTGTTTTAATGAATGAAGCTAGCACCTTGTTTCTACTCTACCCTCTGATTCCAGAATCAACCCAGGTTACCATGAAGCCCAAACATTGAGAGGACACTCGAACTTTGTGACCTGTGTTTGTTACTGCTCTCCTTCGGAATCATACCCAAATGGATTAATTTTGACATCTGGTAATGATAAAAACATTTGTGGGTTTGTAGCGGAGCAAGAATCTCCTCTCTTCACCCTCAAAGGACACACTGACGCAGGTACTGCTGTTTTAAAGTTTCATCAGCGGAGGGGAATACCTCGGTTAATATCGGTAACTCTGCATTTCATGTTGTTTTACAGTCTGCTGTTTGTCTTTGGGAAGAGAACCCGGCACAATTTTGACTGCATCATGGGACAAAACTGCCAAAGTGTGGAACTACACAACAGGAAAACAAGTTACAACTCTCAGGGGTCATGAACTTGCTGTGTGGAGTGTCATCGAAGTGTCTCCAGGTCGGATTGTCACAGGTGCAGCTGATAAAACAGTCAAAATGTGGGAGAAGAGCTCTGCAACTTGTTTGTCAACATTAACAGGTAATTTGAGCCATATGTTTCTCTCTTTTGTCCGATGTTTGGAAAATCATCCTCATCCAATTTTAAATACATTAATTTACTTTTTGTTTGTTCCAGGACATACAGATTGTGTCAGAGCACTGGCTAGAGTAAGTGACCATGAATTTTTGTCCTGTGCTAATGATGCTACTGTTCGTCAATGGTCGACAACAGGTGACTGTTTGGGTATCCTCTATGGGCACTCAAACTATATCTACAGGTGATGAAATATTCATTTTCTTAAAATATCTAATAGTCCTTTTTTAAATTATCTTCTCATAGTTTAAATTTTAAATTTTTAGTTTGGCTGTAGACCCGAATGGGAATGGTTTTGCATCAGTTGGAGAAGACAGCTCACTACGAGTGTGGAAGGATGCAAATGTTGCCCAAGTGCTAACTCTTCCTGCTCAAAGTGTATGGAGTGTGGCTTATCTTCCGAATTCAGACATTGTCACTGGATCAAGGTTTGTCTTTTGATGTTACCTAAAACAGTCTCTGCAAAATTTTCTTACACAAAATTTAAAAAAAATCTAAAAATAAATTTTGCAGCGATGGGGTAGTGCGTGTCTTTTCAAGGGACCCTATGAGGCAGGCAAGTGAAGATGTCCAGAAGTGTTATGAAGCAGAGATTGAAGCAATGTTTAAAGTTTCTTCACAGGAACTTGGAGGAGTGAAAATAAGCGAGTAAGTTTTCAATGAAAATAGTACTGGTGAAAATACCACAAGGAATTAACATCTCTAATGCTGCTTTTACATTTAAAGTTTGCCAGGCAAAGAAGCTTTGTTTGAACCTGGAAAATCGGATGGACAAACTAGGCTAATTCGTGAGGGTACCAAAGTGACTGTGTACAGTTGGTCTGCTGAACAGAAAGATTGGACAAAAGTTGGTGATGTTGCCGGGGCCAATGAAGAAAACTCAGGGAAATCATTGCACCAGGGCAAGGTGAGTTTCTGAGGCACTAATTTATCTTTATTTCAATGTATAGTAGTAATTGCCATGTTGCCCCCTTTAATTTTCTAGGAATATGACTTTGTGTTCAGTATTGATATCAAAGATGGTGTTCCTCCTCTGAAACTGCCCTACAATGTTTCTGAAGATCCATGGGTAGTCGCCCAGAAGTTCATCCATGACAATGACCTACCCCAGGCATACCTCGAGCAAATTGCAAATTTTATTGTTACCAATGCCAAAAAGACACAACAGCCAACTATTGCCAGTGCCCCTCAGGGGCAACCAGAGTTTTGTGACCCATTCACTGGTAATTGTTGATATAAGGCTTTGGTTGTGAGTGACTGTAATGATCTTCATATTGCATTACATAATCCTTGTATCGTGCTCCACAGGAGGCAATCGATACATACCAGGTGGTTCACAGGGTGGTTCAGCCAGTTCATCCGGAAACTTTGATCCTTTTACGGGAGGAAGTAGTTACGTTCCTGGCAGTGCACCAACTCGAACCGTTCCACCAGTTACTACAGCTGCAGGAAATTTTGATCCACTCACAGGTGGAAGTAGTTATGTGTCTAATGGAGCAAAGGTCATCAAAGACAGTGCACTTTCTAAACTCCACTTCCCCCAGAAATCGTATGTACGCTTTGATCAAGCCAACCTTAAAGCCATGTTAGGTGAGTTTGCTTGTTGCACCAGTCAGCAGGTTTTGTTTCTTTCAATGCCATCTGAATGTATTTTTCATTGCATTTCTGAAATTAGTTTCTAAAGTGTTTTGGTTTATGTTCAACTTTATGTTTTTGCTTGTTTAGATAAATTGCAAGAGCTGAACCAGAAGTTAGGTGGTGAACCTCACCAAGTTGAAGGCAATATATTGGAAAATGTAGTAAAGCTTGCTGAGCCCCAGAATTCTCTTGACTCAAGTTCCACTTTGATCCTGCAGAAAATCTTGAAGTGGCCTCAAGGTATCGAAGCTGTTATTGTGAAACACCATTGTTGGCATAATTTTCAATGCAATATTTACTCATTGTTCTTGATCCAATCTTTCAGATGTGGTATTCCCAGTCCTGGATGTAGCGAGATTGGCTGTTCGACATGCTAATATGAATCAAGAGCTGTGCGATGGCAAAAATGGCAAAGATTTCATGTCAATGTTACAGTTGTATCTACAGCCAGCTCCAGGGCCAAATCTTATGTTGGCTTTGAGGATAGTTTCCAATATGCTTGGGCATGCTCCTGGTGAGGCTTTAGTCACTCAAAATGCATTGTCCTTGCTGCAGCAACTAGATCAGTATACTCCACCATTTTCTAAACCGCTTGAGGTAAGAAAGTTTGGTGTGTTTCTCATTTGCTTGAGTTCCAATGTGTAGAACTTACTAACCTTCATTCTTCCTCTCAGGTTGCAATTGCTACCCTTCTCCTCAACTTAAGCGTTCTCTTTACAAGAAAGTCCGAGCTCTTTTCTAGTATTGATGCTGTTGGGGCCAGTTGCCTTCACGTCCTACCTCTATTCTCTGACAAGGAAGCTGTTTATAGAAGTCTTGTTGCCTGTGGAACTCTACTCTCCCATAAAAGCCAAGACTTGCCTAACTGGGCACAAGAATTGTGGCCTCATATTATTAGCATGTCAGAGAATGATGATGAAAGAATCCAAATATGTTCTCAGCAAATCTTAGCTATTGGAAGTTGATTGTAGTTCTGTTTTATTTTCAATTCTCTTCTGTAGATGATATCTGTATAGTAAGATGAGTTAGGCAGGTTGTACAAGATACTAAAACTGTTCACATGTCACTAGCTATGTATTTTATTCTTCCTCAGTTTTTTGAAGTGGAAGAGTAACACATTGGCACTTTCTCTTGATCAAAATTGTCAAACAATTTGAAATAGTGGAACAATTTTGTGTAAGTACCCATTATCTGCTCAATGGTTCAGCGTTCTTTACTAATCTTTCAATGTCTGCATACTGTTTTGCCTTGTCGCTCTTGTGTACTATTTGTGTACTGTGATTTCAATTACTGCTGTATGAAATCATCATATTTTATTAATAAGAATTTGATTTGTGAAACTGCACTATCACAACTGTGATATCAGATTAGGGCCTATGGGATTGTATATACTGTAGTATGAATTAATGTGTCAAATTTCGATTTTGAGCTTTATGTGCCTGTAACACTGACTGCTAATTCCTCTGCTGTTTCTACTGGTGGGGTGACAGATTCATAAATAAAACTTAGATACTTCTGACATTTTTTAATTCTTATCCTAATCCTGTACAATGCATTTTAAAACTGGGAAACACCCATGCTTAATATGGCATAGGAAATACCATATTTCATTCAATGTATCTGTCCTCAAATCCAGAATGTTTCAATAAAACAAATTATTCACATCCCCAACATTTCACTTGCTTCTTTTGTCTGCTTGACAAGGCCTTCACTTGCATACTTTTCTATGAGTTCTTGCTTTCTTCTTTCTAGAAGAGCTTGTTCTACTTCTTTCTGAGTCGGCACAGGAACATGTGCAATAAACCTCGGCTGATGAGGTCGATCTTCCCTATTTTCAGACTCCTCTTCATCTGAGGACTGTTACAATCATTATTAGCAAAGAAGTTCAACAAGATAAAATATAATAACCAAAATTCTGAAGCTGTACTTACATCACTTTCAGGGCCAACAGCATAAATATTTTCTTCTGGTTCATCTTCTGCTTTACTACTTTCCCCTTCCATTGACTCTTCTTTCTTTGCTTTCCATTCACTAACAGCTTTCTCCAACGCTAGAAAAGTGATTAAGTTCTTAATACTGAGACGATGCGATAGACTCAACCCACCAAGCATTATCAACATTTTACCTTTCTTTTCTGCAACCTCCTCAAGAGGCAGGAGGAGACCATCATCATCGTCTCTGTAGCCATAGTAATCTGCATCTATGTCTTTCATCATTTCACCACGAGTTTTGCGAGGAGGAGCAGGTGGTTCTTGTTCAAATAACTCCCTAACACCTAATGACAGTAATGATCAAGTTGAAGTAGTAGTTAAGGCAACAATCAAATATAATATGTAGATTTTTCAGTTAACACTTACCTGGTAGTTCCTTAGCAGCGCCAAAATACTTGTACCCTCTATTTCCAGGCACTTCTTTCCCTTCATGATCTAACATACGAGGACCAACTCTTCTGTAGTCTGGACCACCAAGGTCTTTAATCTGTACTTCCCAATGACCTTTTTCTCTTAATAATTTGTTGATTTCATCGTTTAAATCTCTTATACGAAATTCTCCAAGACCAGCTATTGAAAAAAAAGGTAAAACAATTGAAATACAGACTAGGTGTATTAGTTTTAAATTGTTATAGGATATGTAGGATATTACATACCATTTTGAATCTGAGCTACTTTTTTGGCAATTTCTCTGATGATTTGCATTCGCCATTTCTCTGCCTTCGCCAAGTCATTACATTCAGATGCGAGATATGGTCTCCTTTCTTGAATCTTGGGATCATCTCCAACTTGTGCTGCCCGCCAGCGGGCCAGCGTTGTCCTAAAATTGAAGAAAAACGAAATAAAAAAGAGCAATGTATGGAGGAGTTAGTATTAAGACAACGAAGTGGGAGCTTGATGAAGACAGTAGTTGTTCTTGGGAGAGACGTTGCAAGACAAAAATTCATCGTTCACTCTCATACTTACATAGCCTTCTCTGCATTTCGAGCCTGAAACAATGAAAAAATATTGGAGTTAATATATTTTACAAACAATAAAACTTGTTGAGAATAAGTCACATTGGCCATTGTCATTCAGAAAAAATTATATATGAAACATGGAATACTAGAATGGGGCAATGATTTCAATCAACTTGTACAAGACTGAAGTATGAAAGGATGTCAACCGGCTATTAAGTTATGGGCTTAAACCTGAAATTCACTGCATAAATGATAAATCATTCAGGATAGACGGAAAAAGTAGGAAATGTTTGAAAGCAAACACGACCCAATCAAGGTTATGAATTTCAGAAGGCGATAATGATCCATTACACTATTTTTCCAGCGGAGCAATTAGCAAACAGTTGGAAACGGTACAAGTAAAATCATTTAAGGAGCATATTTTTGCTGTACAGAGGGTATTTCTTGAGCGTGACATTTACGTACCATGGTGAAGTTGGGTTAAATCGCCAGACTCTGTTTGTTTGTGGTTTCGTTTTCGTTAGAAGGCTGAGTAACTTGTCAGCACAAATCTTCTGTCTGAAATATTGTTTTTCCCCGTAGCTTTTCGGGAAATAATATGTTTGAAACAAGTTCATCAAAATGAGAAACAATGTTGAGCAAAATCCTGGCAGGTTGTTAGATTTTAAGAGAGAAAGAAACCTCCCGGGGAGATCGCACCAACAAGCTGTTCGGTTGGTCAAACTGCTGTAGTCTGCTGCTGGACATCCGGGTCGCCGATCCAAAACATCAGAACCTGTCAAAAACTGTCGGCCGGTGCGGGCAGGTCGCGGTCAGTGAAGAGTGCAGTGGTCGCGCTGTCTCGTGTCGGGCCCCAGGGTCGAAAGTGCCCCTCGCCGTTAGATCTGGCCGTTAACTGGGTTCGTGAAACGTCAAGAAACAAGCTCCTCGCGCTGAAATCGTCGAACAAGCAACCCAACAGCACCGACTGCACTCCGTCGCCGTGTCACACAACTCATCTCCAAGACTCAGTGTTTTCTCGGCCAGCCTCACATCCTTGCAGTGTTCTTGACAGGTCAGTTTCGTGGCAAAGTCGTAAATTGATTAATTAGATTCGGCAAATGCCTCCCCTCTGCCATGGCCCGTCGAGCCGCGCGCGACGGCGAGCCCCACCGACCGTGTTAGTAAACATTAGGCCATTTCGTGTATCGCAGAGCTCGTTTTGGTACTTGGGCATTTCTTCAGTTGGTCTGCGATTGAATTGAAGTTTGTCATGAAGTGAGTCACTGCAGGACCTGTGCCTCGCCGTCCAAAGAGATTGTCGCATAGTGCGAGTGAGCCGACGGGTCCGGTGAATGGGTTGCGTCATCACGATCATCACCCTCCATTCCCTCTACTGTTTCAGGCGGACAGTTCTACTGCATCTCCGATTCTCTGACCGCGCGTCGTCTCAGTCGTCCCGTTCAGCCTGTCGGCAGTTTCGCAGCCATGACTTTCGAAGCCAAGGCCCCCTCTAGCGACCCGGTCATCAACGCCAGCAAAGCCGTAAGTTGAATCACGCGGTTTTGGTCGCTGTCTCTCTCGCACCCACACGGGACGCCCCATGAGTGCGAGAGAGACAGAGCGACGAAAACGACTCTCGGAATTACTCTGATGTCAATCTCATTATTGTGGGGGGGGGGAGGGGCTTTGTCGAGCGATTGAAGATCGGTTTGTCGCTCTCTCTCTCTCTCTCTTGCACCCTCTCGCAGCCGCCCCCTTCCCCCTCCCCATGAGTGCGAGAGAGACAGAACGACGAAACGACTCCTCTAAATCGCTCAGCTGTCCTGATTTTGACTGCACTGCGTACAGGCGTCGCTGCGCAGTGCACCGGTGCAGCTGAGGGAAGGCGTTCACACCTTCTTGTCGCTGGCCAAACTCAACCCCGATCTGCACCCTGCCGTACTTGCAGCCATTCTAGGTGAGTCTGTCCTCCTCCCTCCACTCAAAGTGGGCTGGAAGACCGGTGGTTGGCGGCAAAATTCCAGACGGGTTTCAGCTCCAGAGTCGCTAAATGGGACTGGAACCGAAAGTCTGACCCCTTCAATGGGGTTTGCTCTCCGAACGAGGAATCCATTGGTGGGGTCACACGTTCTAAACGAGTCCAGCTTACCGACTCTGGAGCTCAAAACGCGTCTAGAGTTTTAGCCGCCTCCACCGGTCTTCTGGCCCACTGTGCCACCTGTCCCCTGTCCTGCGCCCCCTCCTCTCCCCCCTCCATTTGCCCATTGCCTCCCCCTCATGCTGCAACTTGTCTGACGTGCAGCGAGGCCAGCCTGCGAGAGACGTTCATTGCTGGAGGCAGCGCGCGCCTCGACGGAGAGCAAACTCTCGGGCTGCAGTCCGGAGCAGGGCAAGCAGGGCAAGCAGGCCGCCAGCCCCGCGGACACGCTGTCGTCGGACTCTGACGAGGTGTGGGAGGACGCCGTCGAGGACCTGGACTGCGCGGCCAAGAAACAGCAGCAGGTGAGCCCAGCAGACTGACTGAGAGTCATTTTCATCGCTCTGTCTCTCTCGCATTCATGGGGCTTCCCGTCTAGGTGCGAGAGAGACAGAGCGATAAAACGGCTCTGGAGTAGTCCACTGCGTCGCGCGGTGGTTCGAACCCCGGCGCACAGTGGGCCAGAAGACCGATGGAGGTGGACAGAACTCTAGACGCGTTTTGAGCTCCAGAGTCGCTAAACAGGCGTCGAATCGAACGTGTGACCCCACCAATGGATTCCTCTTTCGGAGAGCAATCCATTGGTGGGGTCACACGTTCGGTTCGAGTCCCATTTAGCGACTCTAGAGCTCGAAACGCGTCTAGAGTTTTGTCCGCCTCCACCGGTCTTCTGGCCCACTGTGCGGCGGCAGACTTGTTTCACTTCGAGTGGCTCTCTTGCCGCAGCGTTGGGCCCCGCGGTAACTTACTGTCCTCCTGTTGCAGGACCATGCCGTGGACATGGCGACAGTGGTGGTCGGCGACAAGGTCGACGACGGCGAGCTGGAGCGCCTGGAGCGAGACGCGGCCGACTTCCAGCGTGCCTGGCAGGAGACGCGCCAGCTGGGGGCGTGGACGCGCTACACGGAGTGCCGCAAGAAGCTGGCCGAGCTGCGCGAGAGGGCGAAGCGCGCCCGGAACATCGACGAGGAGCGCACGCAGCAGGAGGCCAAGTACGTGTGGGGCCCTGCAGACTGATTCCGAGAGTCGTTTACGTCGCTCTGTCTCTCTCGCACCTTTAAGGGACGCCCCATGAGTGCGAGAGAAACAGAGCGACGAAAACTTCTCCAGGAGTCAGTCTGCCGAAGGATTTCGAAGGAAGGTATCGTCGCTGTCTCTCTCGCACCCCAGTAGCACGCCCCATGAGAGCGAGAGAGACCGATGATTCCCTCGGAATCCGAAGGCTGGGTCGTGGGTTCAACCCCCGCCCGTTGTGGCTATGTTTTTGCGTTTTTTTTTGTGTACAACGTTGCTAATCCGAGTGTGCTCGCCCAGGTGGTCGCAGCTGGAGGCGCTCAGGGAAGTCCACGAGCGGCGGCTGGCCGAGCTGAACCGGCGGCGCGAGCGGCTGCGCCTGTCCCGGCAGTACCACGAGCAGACGCGCCTCCACCACGCGCAGCTGGCGCAGTCGCAGCTGCAGCAACAGCTGCGCGACCTGGAGCAGCGGCAGCAGGCGCGCCGCCTGCAGCACTTGCAGCGCATGCAGCAGCTGATGGCCGAGCTGGCCGAGGAGCGCGCCGACAAGCAGCCGCTGCGCCGGTCCGCCTCGGAGCCCTCCACGACGTCGCCCTCCCCGGCGTCCAGCGCGTCCAGCAGGGCCACCGCGGGCAGCGCGGCGCAGGACGACGTGTTTACGCACATGTGGGACGACTTCAGTCACTGGGAGAAGATGGTGAACGACGACAAGGAGAACGCGGACCCCGCGGACGCCACGCCGAGGCCCGCCAAGGCCTGCAGCAGCGCGTGCAGCGCCGTGGCCTTCGGCAACCCGCCGGACCTGATCCCCGTCATCCCCGTCATGCCGTCCTCCGCCGCGGGCGCCGGCGTCTGGGGCCAGAAGAGCGTGGGCGGCAACCAACACGGCAACCCCCACTACGGCCGGCGGCACAGCGTCGCCGTCGACGGATTCGAAGAACGCAAGAAGTGGTTCGAAGAGGCGCTGCTTTCTTGGCACGCCCAGGGCGACGAGGAGGACTTCGGCACGTCGTCGTTGACGTCGTCGGCGCGGCCCCGCATGGACGCCATCGGCGACGGACGGAGCCAGCGCCGCGACGCCTCGCCCTGGCACACTGTGCCCTGGCACACTGTGCCCTGGCACCACGCCGCCTGGTCCGCCTGGACCGGCCCCGCCACCAGCACCTACTGACGTGCTGCAAGTTCCCCTTTACGATCTCAAAGGACCAATGAATTATTTTGAATGCACTTATGCTTTATGTTCGGAGACTGATGGTTTAGTTTTACAAAGTGATTTTTTCTATTTTTAATTTTTGATTTTTAGTTTTGCCGGTAGTTCTGGCGCATTTTCTTGATTTACTTTTAAAAGTGCAAGATTCATGATTTTATGACTAAACATGTGCCCACATGGTATATTTTTATTTTTATTATTGACTAAAGTGGTGACTTTCACCTTCGCAATATGTTTCAATTTTTGTGTTTCTTTTGAACTTGCATTCCAAAGAACCGTCCAAGTTTGCTAAACGCCAACGTATAGATTAAATAAAAAAATGAATTTTTAGATATGACTTTGTAGTTTTTATTGTATCTTTTTGGAGCGGGATGGAGAGCAATTCTGAGAATGGAGGGGAAGGGGTATTTTGGTGAGAGGGGAGCGAGGGTTGAAGTTTTTTGGGGGCGGGGAGCAATTCTGATTCTGAGAAGGGAGGGGAAGGGGGTATTTCGGTGAGAGGGGAGCGAGGGTTGAAGTTTCCCTAAATTTACATCAGTCCAGCCACAATGCACCCGGGACGACCCGGGACGAGAATAGGGCGTGACACATGGAGTTTGCGACCTGACACCGGGCTCGGCCTGGCTTGGCCGGCTTGCCTAACGAGCTGATGAGACTCGACCGCTCTGCCACTGAGCACCCCATAGTCCGTCGGCGAGGGGTTTACATTCACACTGCAGGCTGATTCCGAACGGCGCCTGTCTCTCTCGCACTCATGGGGCGTCCCGTATAGGTGCGGGAGAGACAGCGCGACGAAAGCACTGTTCGGAAGGAGCCTGCAGACTGATTCCGAGAATGGTTTTCGTCACTCTGCCTCTCTTGCACCTATACAGGGCGCCCCATGAGTGCGAGAGAGACAGAGCGACGAAAACGACTCTCGGAATCAGCCTGCTGCTGTCAGCCCCGGCGGCGAGAGGGCCGGCAGGGGTCGGCCTGCAATTACCCTACCCTGCTTCGCGCTTCGCCCTGCGGCCTGCCCTGATTTCGGACCTTGGCCCAGTGGCCTGGTTCCTTTGCCTGCTCACATGCACGGCCAGGTCGCCAGGCAAACACTCGTGCACATGCACCTCACTCACTCACGCTCTCTCTCTCTCTCTGTCTTCGCACACAGAGCTTTGTTTCGCGCGCGACACGACCGCGTTGGGCTGCAGGGCACCGGCGGGGCGACCGCCACTAAATCTGGCCGATGAAAAGAAAAGAGAGAAAGCGAATAAATAATGCGCATTGGAAGGGGCAGGGAGAGAGAGGGAGGCAGCACGTCCCAAGGAAATGCTGGAGCGGCGACGCACAGTGGGCCAGAAGACCGATGGAGGTGGACAGAACTCTAGACGCGTTTTGAGCTCCAGAGCCGCTAAATGGGACTCGAACCGATAGCTTGCAGCTTGCACTCGGCTCCGACACTCGCCCCCCACACTCCCACACTGCGTCGCTACGTGAGGGCCGCGCGAAATGCGATGGTTAAAGTCAGCCTTTCTCACCGGTTGCTTTACCGCGCTTTAAATCTCCACGCCAGTGCCCGCCCGCTTCGCCCGCTGCGGCGGATGCTGTGCTGCCCGTGCTGCCGCACTGAGGACCGTTTCGTCGCTCTGTCTCTCTCGCTCTCTGACGGGACGCCCCGCGAGTGCGACAGTGACAGCGCGCGCCCGGGCCTCGCCGCCAGGGGGCGCCGCCGCACAGTGGGCCAGAAGACCGGTGGAGGCGGCCAAATCTCTGGACGCGTTCTGAGCTCGAGAGTCGCTAAATGAGACTCGGACCGAACGGGTGACCCCACCAATGGATTCCTCGTTCGGAGAGCAATCCATTGGAGGGGTCACACATTCGGTTCCAGTCGTGCTTAGCGACTCTGGAGCTCAAAACGCGGCCAGAGATTTGGCCGCCCCCACCGGTCTTCTGGCCCACTGTGCGCCGCGCCGCCGGAGGGCCTGGAGGGACGCTGGAGGAGCCGCTGGAGGGAGGGAGGGAGGGAAGGGTGTGTGCCCTTCCCCTTGCCCCTTACGCACGCACTAGGGCCCGGACGGCAGCCCCCCCCCCCCCCCGCGGAGTAGAGTAACGTAGTAGGCTTGGTTGGCGGCGCGGCCGCGCGGGGCGCTGGCGTCGGCGCTGGCGTCGCGGCGCTGGGCTGCGAGGCTGGGCCGCCAGCCCGCCAACCCGACGCCCCACTCCGCTGGCGTCGGTGCCGTCGCTCTCGGAGCCGGTAGGGTGGCATCGCACACCGCACAGCGCACGGCACCGCGTCCGCGTCGTCCCCGAGCCTCGCCACTCCACTCGCAGCGCGCAGCGGCAGCACAGCAACACCGGCTCGCCTCCCGCGCACGGCCGAGCGCCCCGGTTGACTCGGCTCCGGCCGCGAGCTTCACTTCGCGAGCGCCGCTCCGCAACACGCCAGCCAGCCAGCCAGCCAGCAGCGGCAAGCGGTGAGTGACAAATGCGTAAACACGCCGACGGCATGACGGGGTGCTGCGCGCTAATTCCTGTGTTTGTCAGCGTACAGCACACTGATTCCGAGAGGCGCATCCATCGCTCTGTCTCTCTCGCACGCATGGGGCGGCCCTCTCCGGTGCGAGAGAGACAGAGCGATGGAATGCGCCTCTCGGAATCTGTCTGCTGCGTGCGACACGCGCGCCCCCACTGTGAATGCGTGTGGCGTTCGGCGTGGAGCTTTGAAGACGTGCGATACGGATGTGAAGCCACCCCAAGGCTGCTAGTTGGAACCCTCAACTTGAAACTTGAGTGGCGTGGCGCTCGGTGCGTTCCGGGAAGTCCAGGGACGGGAGGGAAGTCTAGGAGGGAATGCCACCCCAGCAGCATTGCACGCTCCAGTAAACGGACCAGTTCGAAGAAAAATCAGAATAAAATCGAGTGCAATTGCACGGCAGCGAAGAAATGATGTTTATGAAACTGAAGGAATAGAGGGGGTTGAGCTGGCGAAATTTAATAACCCCAGTGCTCGGAAACGGAAACGGCGGGAACGACGAGAATTAGGGGAACGACGGGAACTAGGGGAACGACGGGAACGACGGGAATGGCGGGAACGACGAGAAAGCGCGCAGCATTTGACTGCCGCTGTGCCGCTCGGTCTGGTCGGATTTAATATGAGCCAACCGCCGCGGAGGCTCCGTCCCTGCACCCCTTTGCGTGTCGTCAGTCGTGCCCAGCGGTCCAGAGGAGTGCCGTCCCGTCGCTCTGTCTTTGTCCCACTCATGCGACACGCCGCGGAGGGCGCGAGAGAGACAGCGGCAAGCTGCTCTTCTGAATCGCAGGCCGCGCCGTCGCCTTGCTGCTAGGCGCGCCGGGGCTGTCCAAGACCCCCTAATCATCGTCAGGGAATGTGCCCCACCCCACCCCGCCCCGCCCCGCCCCGCCCCGCCCCTCCGCATCCCCCGTTGCGGCCACGGTTTCCGAGAAGACGGCCGCCCGGGTTCCGGGTTTTTGTCTCAACGCGGCCACTTCTACATGTTGGCGCAGGGAGGGGCCACGCGCTGCTGGCGCTGCCGGCGCTGCTGGATTCTTCCCCTGATTTCTGTCCTGACAACGTCCTGCCCGCGGGCTTCGACGAAAACTGGACGGCGAGTCGGTGACCGTTCCGTCTGGACGGACGGGCCTCTGCCCTCGCTAAAGTGTGCCAACTGCTGCTGCTGGACACTGCACTGCAAACCCAATACAGCAAGCGAACCAGCCAGAAAAATCTTTTCGTGCAAAATAGGAGCGATGATTTTTTGGCATCCAAAGGAGCACCAGCTTATATTCTGTCTTGCAAATATGGATTAGCAGTGGAACCTTGAACGGATAATTGACCCAAAAATAATCATATTTCTAAAATACGTTTTTTCTTCGAAGTCGGTTGACGATGGATCGATCTTTCTTTATTTCAACCTCGGGGCGTGGTGTGGGCAGCTCTGCCGAGCCGTCCTCGCGCGAAACGCCGCCTCTACAGACAGGGCACGCCCGCGGAAGGGTGTTTCCGGCAACTGTGGCGCACGTCCCCGTCAACACGGCGCGCGCTCGGCGGCCTTGGTGGCCTCGGTGGCCTCGGCGGCCTTCGCGCACGCCCGGCCCTTTTGTCTACCGAACGCTCTATCCGTGTTTCGTACGCCGAGCCGATTACGAGAGTCGTCGCTCTGTCTCTCTCGCACTCATGGGGCGTTCCCTATAGATGCGAGAGAGACAGAGCGACGAAAACGACTCTCGGAATCAGTCTGCAGCCCTTGATCACTTGCCTCCTTCATCTTCCTACCCCTCCTCTCTATACTCCCCATACCCCCTCTGTTCCCCTCCCCCCTCCCACAACCCTCCCTCCACTAATCCCCCTCCCCTCCCCTTCCCCCTCCCCTCCCCTCCTCTCCCCCTCATCTCCCCATTACCTCCCCCTCACCTCCCCCTCAGCCCCCCACCCCCTCACCCCCACTCAACCCCGTCCTCACCTCCCCTTCCTCTTCCTCTCTTCCACGACCAAATAGTGAGAAACAAATCAAACCGTAATTGGCGCGGTGACTGCGAACAAGCACGACGTTATTCTTTTGTCTCGGCGGCGCCATAGGGGAGGGGGGATGGGGCGCGGCGGCCCGCGCAAACAGTTTCAATCAATGCCAGCGAGATATCGGCGGGGCGGTATCACACGGCGGACGGGACGCGGACTGGCGGACATACAGTGGGCCAGGCGGCCGAAACTCTAAAGACGCGTTTTGAGCTCCAGAGCCCCTAGACGGGACTCGAACCGAGCGTGTGACCCCACCAATGGATTCCTCGTTCGGGGAGCAGTCCATCCCATCGGTGGGATCACAATTTCGGTTCGAGTCGGTGCAAGTCCTGTTTAGCGACTCTGGAGCTCAGAACGCGTCCGGGATTTTGACCGCCTCCACCGGTCTTCTGGCCCACTGTGCAGTCGCGGTGTCGGTTTCGTTTGTTTCGCCACCTCTCGCCGTCCGGCGAGGCGGGAAAGCGGCGAGGCCCTGGCAACGTGCGGACGCACTGACGTCACCGCGAACACTGAGGTCGAAGCTTGCCCAAGGAGGAAGGGGTTCCGTTTCCCCGTGCACAAAAAAAAATCCAGCAACATCAACAACAGCTCCACCGTGCCAAGCAGCAACCATAATGAACACGGCTTCTTGTTTTTTCCGGGCATGTTGCATGGCATACATTTTGCATGGCGGGCAACGCGAGGGACGCTTGGCCGGGTAATTATTGCAAACTCGGATTAATGCTTCCAGTCCATTTGCCCGGGGAAAGCAGTAAGACGAGGCGCCGCTGGCTCCCCATTGGCTCCCTCCCCATTGGCCCGAACGGAGGCTGTGCGTGTTGCATGACAAAAAGGCCCTCCCGTCTACTGACCTCCCTCCCCTCCCCTCCCCTTCCCTCCCCTTCCCCCCTTCCCTCCCCTTCCCTCCCCTTCCCTCCCACCCCTCCCCCACCCCTCCCCTCCCCTCCCCTTCCCTCCCCTTCCCTCCCCTCCCCCACCCCTCCCCTCCCCTTCCCCCCTTCCCTCCACTTCCCTCCCCTCCCTCACCCCTCCCCTACCCTCCCTCCCCTCCTGCAGCAGGAGCAAGCCGCGAAACAGTACCGCCCTGACTGACAGCTTTATTTTGTGTCGCGCGCCCCGCCGAGCAGGCGGACGGACGGACAGGCAGGACAGACAGATAGACAGACAGACAGACAGACAGACAGACAGACAGACAGACCGACGGAAAGGCGGACGCCCAAGGTGAAGTGACGGCAACACAACACATCCCTCGATACGGCGTACCGCGTCGGCAAGTTTAAGTTGTCCCTGTAATGGAAATAAAGCAGCGCAGCCCGACAGAGGCAGAGAGAGAGAGAGAGAGAGAGAGAGAGAGAGAGAGAGAGAGAGAGAGAGAGAGAGAGAGAGAGAGAGAGGGGGGGGGAAAGGGAGGGAGCCCCTGCGGAACAGAGGGTAGGCAGGCCGTCAGACGCGCGGGCTCGGCGGGCAGGCCTACCTCAGCGTCCTCAGGGGCTCTGTCTGGCGCGGCGCTGGCCTGGCGACTGCAGACGCTGCGGACCCTCTGCAGCCAGCAGCGCTCGTCTGTCTGTCTGTCCAGTTGTCTGTCTGTCCAGCTGTCTGTCTGTCCAGTTGCCTGTCTGTCCAGTTGTCTGTCAGCCCACTGTGAGAAAAAAAGTGCGGAACAATTTGCCTGGACCCTCCGTCGCCCTCCGTTCTTGTCAACTGCAGAAGTTCCGTACTTGTTTTCCGTACCCCTTGACGTGAGTTCAAATACGGACGTTCCGTGCTTTCTTCTGTGTTTCTATGGAATTTATACAGTGCTCTGTCAGTCTTCTGTCTGTCCCATTAATTCAATTTCAACCCCCCCCCCCCCGTCCCGAGGGGGCAACAACGGATAAATTTCGTGTCAGCCGGATTACGGATTATCCGCATTACCCGCGGATTACCCCCGAATTACATCAAATATTTTCCTGGATTACCTTTGGATTAACGCTAGATTGTCCCGGATTGCCGAACTACCCCGGATTACCTCCAAACTTCTGGTCATCGGATTACGCATTACCAATTTGCTGTCAGCTGGATTACCGAAGTCGTTACCCCCTCGCGCCGTCCCATAGTAAAAATATTTTATAAACTAAACTCTCTGTCTGTCTGTCTGTTGTTTGGTCCTCGCCGCGCACAGAGCACAGCAATACTGCTTTCTAATTCCTGCGATTCCTGTCGGATGGTAAACTTTCCCAATTGGCGGCGAGGGAGGGCTGGCTGCGACCCGAAGCGACCCGAAGCGACCCGAAGCCTGTTTGTCGAACTCAAGGAGTACTCGGCGGGCGGGCAGTTCGCACGTTGGATTACAAGGCTGTCTGGCCGAGCCTTTGCCGAAGCGTCGTCTCGTCGCGCTGTCTCTCTCGCACTGCCGCCCCGCCGCGGGCCGCCGCGTGAGTGCGACAGAGACAGCGCGACGAGACGGACGCCTTTTCGGAGCCGGCCCGCTGTATAATTAATCCCCGCCAGCGTGTCCTTATCCGAGTAAACTCCGACGATTCTTGATTATTCACTAAACACGTAACGCCTTCTCTGTCCCTCTCGCGCGCGCATTGGCATCCCGGCAGCGACAAGGACGGAGCAATGAAATTGCGTAATATCTGGACTGCGTTGACGACTACTACTTGTCCTCGCCGTCGAACAGATGCGGCCAAGGCTTCACGGTCGGCCGGACGGCGAGAGAGAGAGAGAGAGAGAGAGAGAGAGAGAGAGAGAGAGAGAGAGAGAGAGAGAGAGAGGGGCGTCTTAAGAATTCTGGAAGACGTTTCTATGAATAGGGCGTAATGCTTCCGAGGAAGGCTGGCACAGATACGTCATAATGAGATTGTGCCATAAGGAATGAATGTCTGTGTGCGTGTGTGTGTGTGTGTGTGTGTGTGTGTCCGTGCGCGCTGGGGGATGGGCTCGGGGTGACGT